CCCACCGATGTGGTCAGGGACTCAGAGAATTCCGGGAAACAACAACTTTTGGATGCGTTGGGAAAACTCTTTACCGTCTCTGAGGATGTCAACGTGTGCTTGTATTGTGGTAGCACCCAACATGGCCATCTTGAATGTGAACATGAGAAGAGGGATGAAGTCAGAAAGGTGCTAAAGGCCGTCCGAGCGTCGCTCGAGGCTGATAGTCCAACATCTGATGACGTCGATATGGAGCCTCCTGAGCACAAGAAGGACGGTTCAGGTGCTACTGATGGGTCGGGGCAAACGGATGAACCTACAAAATCGAGGTTTAGTGAACACCAATGGTACGACAGCATCAGAACTATGTCTGAAGTTGGTGACCTCGATGAGTATGGTAGATTCTGCATAGAAGGACGTGATGTTACAAAGCTAGGACCACAGAACATTGTTGACCTCAACGAAGTGGTCAGAGACGCTATTGTCAGAGGAGGAGGTGACTCTTGGTCAGTGCCAGACTTCATGGCAAGCTACTCTGATAACAACATCAGGAAGCCCTTCTACAAGAGAGTCGAGGCGCCGCAAGATGGTTTCTTGAAAATCATCCCGACTACGGGGGCCCATTTCTTCAACTGCTCTTACTTTGGAGGTGTAGAATATGCGGCCAACTACCGCTTCGAGACTGGCAACCGGCTCAATACCTACGAGGACAAGGTGAGTTCATCACTAAACAGGATCCTGCGGCACAACGTGGGGAAGGTATCAGAACAACAGAGTCTGTCATGTGATGACGCCGGCTGGGTGCCCATCGAGGAGGTGCTCAAATGTGAGTCCATCTGGAGGCACGAGTACGCACGCTGGCCACATGTATTCCTTGCTCCAAAAGGAAGAGCAAATGATCAGAGTGCATGGAATGTCGATGAGGCAAACTACCGCATGACATTGCTCTTCAAGATCATGTTCCACTGTGCCCGGTATGGACGTCGCGTTCGTGAACAAGTCTTGGCATTTGGTATCAACAAGGACATTGAGCGCACCAGCCTGACGTGCATTGACAACAAAGTCGATGCGGACACGAACATTCCTGATGAAGGTCTACTGCTCTACCCTGTGGCGGTCCGTGCTCCTACGGGGCACAAAGAAGGATCTTCAAGGGACGACGTCTCATTGCTGTCCTCATTACTTTCACATCCAATCGCGCCCAACACCATTTTGTCGTTACCGGTTTGTTTCCACATCACCAAGAAGACCAACCTTCGAAGCATTTGGAGGCAGGGATTAATTCCAGGAGGTCTTGGAGAAGGTCATCGGATGTTCACGTTCTTCAACCCGTATGTGCCATGGGATCACAGATCATGGACCATCACGAAGAGCGTTGATACGCGAAGAGGGGACTACATTTGCTTGTTCATCCCGACCGAGACCTTGATGGTGGAATATGGCGGTCGACTGACTGACTCGGGACAGATCGTCTCACCAAAGATCATCCCGTTCTCGGCAATCAAAGGAGGATGGATTCAGGACCCAAAGGACCAAAACAATAAGACATGGCTCCGGTTGTTCGTCCCGTCGGGCGACGACCAGGTAGTCCGGTCTGGAACTATCAAATCAAGAACGGTAGCCACCAAGGAGTCCATCTTGAGGGTTGCAAGTCAGTGCATCGACGCCGAAGATCAACCGTTTGACGAAATCGCCATGGATGCCATGAACATCGTCAACCAATTCAAGAACAACCTCATCGAGCCTGGCGGACAAGAGCAATCCCTGGCCCGCATCAAGCTGATTGACTACATAGTCGAACGCAAAAGGGTGCAAACATCAGGTTGCCGCCATTGTCCTCACTGTCTCAATGAGACGCCGACAAAACTAGCAGTGTGTCTAGTTTGCTGGACGGAACTTGAAAGTTGTGGAATCCGTCCCTATCGGCTACAAGCTCCTGAAGACGATGAAGATGAGGCCACGAAGAAAGAGATCGATGAAGAAGTTCGTCGACAAGAAGAATCGTTGTTCAAGGATACGGTCCATCAAGCACAAGAAAACGTATCCGAATCCAACGACTATGGCTTCAATCCTGACGAGGTCGACTACAACGAAGGCGATGATGAGGAAATGGATCAGGAGGAGGAAGCCCAACAGGAAGACGACGAAATCGTTGAAGAAGACGACGATGAAATGGAAGTCGAACCTGAAGATGAACCCTCTTCCAAACTTCCAGCATGGACCAAGAACCTCGAGAGCGGCAGCAAGGGTATGCCAGAAGACGGACTTATCAACAATGATGTCTCCGAGGCCGCGGCTCACTTGTATGACAATGCCGTCATGTCAAAGATCATCACAATGTTCAGGCTCTACTACAAACAGAGAGTCACTCTGACCCCAGAGGAGTACTATGAGATGATGACGGAAACCAAGCGAGTCCGGCTGGACCTGGACGACTTCTGTCCTTATACAGGAGAAGACCAGGATGGCAACCTCAAGCGCCCGACGGAGCTGGAGTTGGATGAACTCTTTCAGGAGAAAGGGAAGAGGAATTCATGGTCAGAAGGAGAGAAGTTATACTCAGGGCGACCAAGAAACATGATGATGCCTGTCATCAAGACTTTAGAGATCTATGAGAAGATGATGGAATTTCTGGTACGCGCCGGGTACACTCCTGAGTCATTAGGCTTTCTCATGCCAATGAACCGAATGCAGGCTGATGCCCAAGGGAAACAGGAGATGCGAGTAACCATCAGCAATTTCCTTCGACGACTGCTCAAAGGAACCTTTCCGGAGCACGAGTCATACACCTTCTTTCGCTCCGGGAGCCACGGCTTCCCCAACTGCATCGAACTCCCAGCTTTCTCGGTATATCTGAGCCTGAGGGAGAAAGAACAGAGAGTAGAACTGCTCTTTGCCGCCCAACAATGTGGCATTCCTTTACCTCAAAACTTTGTCAGCAAGATGGCTTATGCTATTCAGCTGGCCGAGGCCGAGGCGCAGAGGGGAAAGACCGAGATGAAAACGAAGATGGCTCCAACCCTTGGCGACGAAGTGGTGAGTGAAGTATTCAAAGCGGTTGGACATACTGCAGCTTCCAAGTTTGCTAAACCACCCGCACAACCTTCACAGACACCTGAAGGCACTGGTTCAGCATCATCCTCATCGGCTAGCGCACCAAAGGCTATGCCGAAATCCCATGAACCATCAAAGGCACCGCCTGCAAAGCCTTCATCGCCGAAAGCTGCTCCGAAACGTGCGGCAGGATGGGAGAGAACTCCGACAGCACCTCAATGGAAGAAAGTCCGCCGTGAGCAGTAAACCAATTGCTTCGATCCGTCAAAATGATCACTGGGCTACAAGATGTTTACCGTCTTTATGAACAGATGATCAGGAAAAGACCAACTGAGTGGACACTGAGCGAGGCATTAGACTAATTCGCTTAGGTTCAAGACTTTTGATATTCCCAATCTGCACGAGATTCTGCAATGTGCACGTGAATTCGTTAGTTAGCATTGTAAACCTTTGGTAGCGAAGCGATCCATTTCTCCCGACGGGTGAGTGGCGGGCTTAGCCAACGTAGAAAAGTAGATGTTAGCTAGCAATAATTCGCGTTGTACAGCTTGATGAAGCGCCGATGCATCGACAGCCAAAGAGTAGGTGAACCCTGAACCATTATACCCGACGGGTATGTGGGGAAGGGGGATCCGAATGGCACGTTTTATGTAAATAGGCGTAATTCAAGTAGCAGAACAAATCTAATTCAAAGTTCCCTCTCTCGTGTCCGTGGCTCGAAGAATGCCACGGGCATGGGGGGTGTCAAAGGGAACTAAACGCTAGGACACTTATCATGTACATATGTGATTGTGCATTGAAACGCCATATTGGCTCAAGTCCCTGCGCGAGGAAAAGTCCGAGCTCCGCTTGCAATGCCGTAACGCTGTCCAAAGCTACCAGCATAACGGGTATCACAGCTCAATAACTACATCCAGAACAAGGATCCATTTGTTCACATATATATATATATATTCATAATACATCATATATCATGCGTATGTTATTTTAATATGATATATGGGTACAAATATACCGGGACATTGCTATATTAGTGGGATGGTTCAAGGCGACAAGAATTTCTACGGATTTCAACGAGCCAAAGGGGATCATGTGAGATTCACCTAATGATAAGCTGCTGACTGCTTTAAGTGTGTTGATGTTAACCCTTATCTAGCCTGTGATTGGGGGTATGCATATAATAGATTATAATAGTATGTCTGTTTTTAGATCAATTGAATTGTTTGACCCTATGTTTTCAGGTTGCAGCAATGACATGTTTTGTTTTGTTCATATAATATATTTTGCAAGCATAGGGCAACCAACACTTCCATCCAGTAATTCAGAAAATCCAATAATATCAAAGCATCATCTTTTTGCATTCAACTGTCTCACTCTGGCCATTTGTTGTATAGTTTAAATGGTACCTTGTATAGTTTTAATGGTTCCTGTTGCTCGTATCTTGCTCGGGTCAATATCGCTATTGTCTATGTTAATGGTATTAATCTTACATATACAGCATATATATATATATTGTACTGGTTGGTGGTTTGGAACATTTTTTATTTTTCCATATCTTGGGAATAATAACCCCAACTGACTAATATTTTTCAGAGGGGTTCAAACCACCAACCAGTATATACACACAAGTAAATTATAGTGACCTCACCACGACCTCATTGGAATGATGGGAATTGTAGTGGTAACTATCTCAAAACGGGCTTTTAAAAATCAGCTTTGTCAATTGTTATAGTCTACCCATATACCTCCCTAGTATATCCCTGTTATATACCTATTACACCCACTATATATCCGTTGGTATACCCACTCATTAATCATATGTTCAAGATTGTTTAAGTATATGATGATAATTGAATATATATATAATATATAACACTATCACTTCGTTATATATATATATAGTGTTACACACATATTTGGCATGTGCCCCATTGTTTAAGGGTGACATCCACTCTCCGATCTCACAGGGCGCAGCCCATCCCCTGCTTTTCGCCCGGGCGCCGCGGCTCCGCCAGCGCTTCGTTTCGGCGCGCCCGGCGGGCGCTGGTGGCGGCGTTTGATTTGCAGATCCCGTTGGATGAGCAGTACAGGACGGGAGGGATGGGAACTCCACAAGGAAATCCACTGGGGATGTCCTAAAATCGGAAAATCCCATGGGAAAATCCATGGGGATGTCATTTTTAGGTCTGAAATCTGGGAAAATCGGGAAAATCCACGGAAACTGTTTCTTACGATCGGAAACCATGAAACGTTGAGGATTTTTTTCATGATTTGATCTATGAAAGATGGTGATTTAATCATAAAGAATTATGTGGATTTCTACTGGGATGAAGCACCAAGAACAGGGCGGGTATTATGAATGACAAATGATGGTTGACGATGATTACCATGATGGGGATAAAATCGGAAATATCACCAACAACATGACTGAGTCTGAAGCAACTATGCTTTGCAAGGCGAAACTTGGTGAATGGTAGTTTAGTGGTTTACACCCTTGACAGCTACCATTGAAAAGGGGAAGATGGAGGATGATAATTCTGGGGGTCTATGTGAGTTTCATTGGAGCAGTTCTTTGCTATGAATTTGACAATTGGCCGACCAGCTGAATTTTATGTTTTTTGAGTTCGCATCTGGAATTAGCCATGAGGAGGGTCAGGGTGGATTTCCTTTGATTCTCTGATAATCCAACCTGGCAAGGAAAAAATGTGGACATCACGATTTTGAACAAGTGCATCATCTACTTTGGTAGATGGTTTTCTTGCTATGTTGGATGGTTTACCCTCTGGTAAACTAACATAGCTATTGAAAATGACCATTTATAGTGCATTTACCCATTGAAAATGGTGATGTTCCATAGTTATGTTAGTTTACCAGAGGGTACAAGGTGGTGCTTTCCCTTGCTTTAACACACATGTTGTTCACCCCCCCCATGTAGTTCGTGCACTCCTGTAGCATTTGATGAAGCCAAATCATGATCCCACCATAGATGTTCTTTGCAGTTGGTTTGTTGCTAAGTACAGGGGTGACCCTCATTGAACATCATTGAACAACCAATAGCTCAATTCTATGAAATGATAAAAATTATGGTATCCACATAGCCCATCAAGTCTTTTCACAAGGACATTAGATTGATCCTTACCAACCTACGTTCCTTAACAATCCTTAAGTTGAAACCGCCAAACCAATTGGTTGAAGGCACGTTTTTTAAAGGAAACTCTATGTCGAGCAGCCTTGATAAATGATTGAAACACTAGGAACTAAACCATGCAACCCCCATTATCCCCAATTCAACCACTATGAAATCCCATTAAGTCCCATTCAATCAACATAAAATCCCATTACCTCAACATCACATCAACATTAGCTCCCATTTAGCAGCCATTTTTGTCACCATTTACCCTCTGGTTATTTAACAGTTTGCCATGGTATAGATGGCCCATAGAAATAGATGGTTCACCTATTAATAGCATGGTGATTTTCCATGGCAAGCTGTTAGTCATAACCAGATGGTATATCGAAAATCACCATTTTTAATAGGTAAATCCACTATAAATCACCATTTTCAATAGCTTTTTGCATGTTTTTCCATCGACGAGTCGTTCGGAGGACGTGGGGATGGCATGATGCGCCACTGGACTTTCTGCAGAACTTCGATCTGAGCTTGACCTCTGGCGATCCTCCAGAGAGAGCTACCTGCGACCGCGCGCTTGTTTTGGACGTTGCAAGGTTTTATTCGCTACCCTCTGTTAATTTAACAGTTTGCTATTGAAAATGGCCATTTATAGTGGATTTTCCCATGAAAAATAGTGATTTTCCATAGCTATGTTAAATTACCAGAGGGTATCCATGGTTGTCAATAGCAATTAATTAGCTATCCATAGTTATGTTTATCAATATATAGCTATAGATATAGCCAATTGGGGATAGTTATTGAAATAGTTAACAATACATAGCTATATACCAATCTATCCCCAATCCCAGAGGTTTATTCATATAGTTATCATATAGCAAATCATCCCCAATGGGGTATGGTAAAATAGCAAATGGGATATTAGCTATCCATAGTTATCCATAGTTAATTAATTAGCTATCCCCAATTAATATAGTTATCAATATAGCAATATGCGTATCAATAAAAATATCTAGAGATATAGGAAATATAGCTGTAGCTAGAGATTAGTTATCAATATAGCTATAGTTATCAATAGCAATTAGCTATTCATAGTTATGGTTTTATTAGCTATCCATAGTTTTATTGGCTATCCATAATAATCCCAGAGGTTTAGGATATACAATCATCAATAGCTATCCCCATCCCCAACTAAGGTTTATGGGTATACTGGGTAAACCACTCTAGTTATAAATGCGAAAACAAATGGTCAATTCTGACTAATGTTAAACCGTGTGGTAAACCATGGTTAATGAATAATGGTCAATTCTGACTATTCTGACTAATATTGTCTATGCTGAATAATGATCAATTGTGACTAATGGTGATGAATGATGATCAATGAATGTGGTAAACCATGGCAAAGCCTAGCTGCCATGAAGCCCATCCAAAATTAGAGGTTCAGAAATTGGGAAAGTGCCCCCTATGACTGGGATGAGAAAAAAAAGATATTTAAAATGACGTTGAAATGGTTGGTTAATGAATCAATGGTTAATGATATGAAATAAATCAATGGTGCTTTTGATAAATTTAGATGATGGTTGGTTTTTATGATGTTGATGGAATGGAATCAATGGTTTACCCATTCCCATTGCATACCCTGCATCTCTCTTTCCCATGACAGAAACTGTTGCTGAGGGTTATTAATGCATTGGGTTTACTACAAAAACGCAAGGTGAGACCTTCCAGTGATGTTTGTTGGTTTAGTATCACCAACTATAGCTGGTTGGTGGTTTGGAACATTTTGTATTTTCCCCAATAGTTGAGATGATGATCCAATCTGACTAATATTTTTCAGGGGGGTTGAAACCACCAATTAGATAGTTATATCCCCCTAATCAACCCAAACGTTAACCAAGTTATTCCAAGGTATTACTTGGCTATCGTAAACGTGGGCATCACCTTGTATGTTCAAGTGAGAATTGCGTATAGCAGTTGTACTATATTCTCATATATTCTTTTATTATGATATGGGAATATATGAGAATTATTATAGTTCTAATGTAAAATAGAATTATACACATGAGAATATAATACAACTACATATATTATTGCTTACAAATTATAGAAAACATGATGAATTTCCCATCCCAAACCCATTCAATCACCATTTTTGTCCACAGGGCCTCATGCTGCATTTTCCACATCAAAGCCCGAGAAATTCTCCGAGTCAAACCCGGCGCCCAGGTTCTCCTATTGCCCCCTGCACACTTGGCGCGATATCCGCTGACACCGCGCACACGCCAGAGGTGGCCGTCTTGGGGAGTTGAAAATCGCCAATGCTCCATTGGTTCACATCAAGAACATCATCGTATTTATGGGCTAAGACCTGGATACATCATGGAATATCACATCCCAATCCAAGCGGCGAAAAAAAAAGGAGTTCAGCAATAAAAATAAGGATTTAACTTGATTTAAGTGGCGACAATTGTGATGTGAGTATGTGATTGGAATTTTACAAACGATGCGCAGGTATATAATGAGGATATAACTAACACTACGGCATTGAAGTGTGTCTAGACGTGGTGGATTTATGAACCAATTGGTGATGTCGTGTTTAGCCCACCAGCTGGTAGCAGTAGCCAACCACGCCCATCCATATGCAAAACTCACCCAAAATCCGACGAAACTCCTGAAAGGCATTGTTTAAACTTCTATGTGTATATCCCGATTATGTCGTGTATGTACAGAACAACATGTATAAACATGCATATAAAGATAGATTGGATGGATGGACGGATAAATGGATATAGAGTAGGCTCGATTAGATTGGAGTAGACCAGATACATGCATACCTGGTTGGTGGTTTGGAACATTTGGATTACTACTCCATTCACTTGGGAATGTCATCATCTCAACTGACTCATATTTTTCAGAGGGGTGGATAGGTATACCACCAACCAGATATTTTTATTAGCCATCATTAACCATATAATAACCATATTAACCATATATTAACCATCATTAACCATATATTAACCATATAATAACCATATATTAACCATCATTAACCATATAATAACCATATATTAACCATTATTATAGTATAAAGTTGGTTTTCATCCCTCATTTTTGTTGCTTACAAACCACCATATTTGTAAGTCAAAAAAAGCCCATACTTGTAAGCCATCACTTTACTGAGTAAGAAAAATCACCAACCAGATTAATATAGACATAATCCCCATTAAACCAGGTAGTATAATCCCCTATAGCAATCCATTACCCACTGGTAAATTAACATGACGACCCTGGCATTTTTGGGGGTTGGAAGATGAGTGAAACCATTAAAACAGTTGGCTATGTTCAGGGTCTAATTCTGTTAATTTACCAGAGGCTAATCCACTTGCATTGTTATGATGTGGAATAAATTCCACTTATTTTTTCATTTTGACTAAACTAGAATAAACCAAATATTTCTAGACATAATCACATCCACAAAGTGAAGACTTGGAATTCAAAAAGTGATCGCATTCCCCCAAGTTTTCTGGTCTGATGGGATGACCATGATGACCATCCCCCAGAACCACGGGTTGAACATGGACGGTTTTTTCACTGATCCCACGGGTAGACGGCCGTCCCGAGTAATCATCATGGGTATATAAATAGAAAATATGGATATATAATGGGTATATCACTAATACCATCTATGTCTATCTCTATATCTATATAACTTATGGTATTGATTTGTTTTTTTTGGTATAAAGCCCACACTTGGCTTAGATTGGCTTAGTGTATACACTTCTAAGTAACATAAGCCCTACAATTCACATAATTCACCAAGTCCTAAGCCAACTTAGCCAACAGATAATATCAACTCTAAATCCCCCTAGTTTTAGTTGAGTTCCATGATGAGTTCAATCCCGTTTTCTTTAAAAAAAACGTAATTCCCCAGTTTTAGATGGGCTAAACATGGCTAAACGATTAAACCATGTTTACCCTCTGGTAAACATACAAAAAACTATGGAAAATCACCATTTTTTATGGGTAAATCCACTCTTTCAATGGCCATTTTCAATAGCTATGTAAGTCATTACCAGAGGGAAAGCCCTATGAAAAGCCCCAGTTTTCGCCGGGCGCCCAGGTTGCGCCGTGCTCAGATTCGCCTGGTGGAAGTGCCATGGATTGAGCCACCAGCGGGGTAGCCAAGTGACGCGCTGGTCGACGTGGGATGGCTGAATTCTTATGGAAATCTATGGGAGAACCAGGTGAATATAATATATATATATATATTCTAATATTAACTTTAAACCTAAATTTGGATATTGATGCGGATATAGTTGGATATATAATCAGATATTGTAAAGTGGTATATATAGGTAAATAACCAGAAAATTCTATGGTTTATGGATGTTTATGGTAGATATTTGTAGATATATTCTATATATCATATATCTATAGTTGATCATGCTTTATGGTGGAGATATGTAGATCGTTGATTTGGAATGATTGGACGAATCATGGTGGCAATGGAAATTCTTCGAAAAAAATGGAGGTTTCAATGAAATTTAATGGGCCTGATGGGAAAGTATCCCTAGTGATGTCCCCAACCAAGTGGATGGATAGAAACTTTGGATGTCTTCAACCAGCCAGCAAAAGATGAATTTTATGTGGACTACCAAAGTGATGATACCTTCTGGTTATGTCAAAAGTTTGCGAAATGGCCATAGAAATAGTGGATTTGCCTATTCAAAATGGTGATTTTCCATAGTCATGTTAGTTTACCAGAGGGTAACTCATGATAAATCATGGGAATCGTTCAACTTGCTGGTTTTGCCGCATTGATTTACCAACAGATTGCCATTTGACAGGAAGTTCATTGGTATTTCACCAGCAACATCTGTGGATTTAACAAGCAACAAGCAACAAATATTAATCGGGTATTCCAAACGTAGGGATGCAGGTGTACCCCAAGCTGTGGTCATTGAAGAACAGATACAAATATTATCTTAACCACCAGATTCTGGGTACCCTATTTTCAAACAGACCCAGCTGGTTAACTGGCTTAGGTTGTGTCATTTATGCATAATAAGTTTAAGAGGTAACTACACCAACTTGGCGTCCATTTAAGAGGTAAAGAGGTGGTCATCCCTACGCAATTCTCACTAAAACCTATGGTTTTTTCTTTCAGAATGGGGGGTGCTCCTCTCGAAAACCAATGCTTTTAGAACTGGTTGGTGGTTTCAAACATTTTTTATTTTCCATAATATATGGGATGTCATCCTTCCCATTGACTAATATTTTTCAGAGGGGTTGAAACCACCAACCAGAGAACATCATCTTCCTGAAATCTAATACGGTATCCTCCATTTTTCAACACACCCATTTCGAGCAATGTTCTACTGAAAACCATGTGTTATTGTATTTGTTTACCGTGCTGAATTGTTGGTGTGTCCTGCATTTTGTTCAGCTTTCCACCCAATCTTGGAGTGGTGACTTGTTATCCACGGCACTGTGTCACCTTGATGACAACACTGCTTTTGAATTGCCACCCATTTGTTTCCAATTTAACCAGAGTTTCCTGTTGTACATATCTATCTGGTTGGTGGTTTGGAACTTTTTTTATTTTTCCATATATTGGGAAGAATAATCCCAACTGACTACTATTTTTCAGAGGGGTTGAAACCACCAACCAACCAGTTATATAAATCTTGGATGGCGGTCCCTGTCATCTCATTTATTCATCCACTCATGAAAAGTGTTTGCCCTTGACCTCCACCGTTTGTTTCAAGTCGGTCGACAGACTCGGTACTGAACCCCATTGGTGCATATTCTGTGGTCTGTTGAGAGGTCGAACAATAGCACACTGTACATCAGAATCTGCAACAACAACTATAGCTGCAATATGCTGATATAGTGAACATGTTTTTTACGATCCCCTATCAGAATCATCACAATCTTCCAAAATATACTCAATAAAAAAAAGGTTCATATCAGCATCAGACTTGGAAATGGAAAGAGAACAGTCACTCGGCCTTGCCCAATTCTGCGGGATGATTTGGCTGTTGGGTGCCTTTTTGGTTCTGGCGGCAGCCAAGAGGCAAGATGCGGTCGATACTCAGTGGCAGCTGGTCCATTTGGGATGTATACCCTCTGGTTATTTAACATAGCCATGGAAAATGGCTCATTTATAGATGGTTTACCTACAAAAAAAAATGTGATTTTCTATAGCTACGTCAAATAACCAGAGGGTACATGATGTAAGGGACCCCTAGATAGCTAAAGTTGGACTTATACCTGGTATAACTGAGCTTTACGGGTAACATAACATAACATAACTATAGTTAATGGGGTGAAACTAAACCAACTCAAAACTGGGGGCCTCATCTTGTATATAACTGTTTATACAGATCTAAACATATATATATATACTTGGTAGATTAGTGATATATGGGATTATATAGGCATTTTTTAGCATATTTCATGGTGCATGACTGTAAATGGTATACGAATGCCGTATATTTGGTTCATGCCTGTGACACATTGTGAATTTTATCGTGACACCATCTTTCGGGATGAGCATCGCCAGATTTCGCGACTCGTGGTTCGGCGTTGGTAGCTTGGTAGTTCCCACATTTGGGATGAATATCCAGTTATCTAGGTCAATCTTGCATGGATACTTTAATCCTAACTAGTCTTTTGGTATTAATGGGAATATCTACGTTCACCAGCAAAGAATTTAATTTTTTGCAGTGTATCTAAGATTGGCAATGTTATAACAACAGCTATTTTGATGTGAACTACCGGAAAAGTTTGGAATGGTTAACGGTTTTTACCCCAGAATAATATGAGCCACGGTTTAAACCTCCAATGGGACACTTGGGTAGTCCGTCAATGACTCCAATGACACCGGCACCTGGCGTGACTGTGGGACCTGGGATCCTTCCGCCTCCACCGGCAGTACCACCTATGGTACCACCGAGACCTATGGTACCACCCCAGCCAGCCCTTCCGGTGGCGAAGTTTGCGGGCTACAGTCCCGCCAAAATGGGGGAACAACCTATGACCCACCCTTTGCAGCTCGAAGTGACGGATGTCAAGACTCCGCCTTGCCAAGTACCGTGTTTATGTTTAGTATTGGGATCCTTGTAAGGACCTGTGGCGTAAGCAAAACACTGGTGGGCGTAAGCCTGCGTAAGTATTGTTTACCAATATTGCTGTCGTAAGGATGGCGTAAGCTCATTTTCAACGGTTTTAAGATGAGGTTTTAATTAGTGGTATGTATGATATATTCTAACCTGACATGACCGGACGGGTTTTTGATTTTCCTGGGGCCATGGTAGCCCTCCTGTCTTTCAATTCAACACACCTGCATGGGATTGGTATCAATTTCAGGTTGCCTGGCGTTATAGAGTATGGATGGTTTTCTCCATTTCCATCGATATGGACCAATAATAAACATATGAAAAGATTCGCTGTTCAAGGTTTGCAGGGACCCACATGTACTTAAGGAATCTTAAGAATTCAGCATATCAGAAAGGGGCAGATGCAGAGAGTGACAGGCAACCTATGCATTGGAATGCCTTTTTTTGAAGGAACATTGGTTATCTTCAGTGGGTGTTTTGTGTAGTTGTTTCCTGACATCAGCGTAAGGACCGCGTAAGCGTCGCGTAAGCTGCGCGTAAGCCAAAGGTGCTTTTGCCAGTAGTTGCCCATGCCGCCCAAAGAGACATGCTCTGCGAGCTTCTGCTGGTGGTACTTCTTCATCATCTTCTTCCTCTTTTTCCACGTCTTCATCGTCCACTGATTTATTTTGCCAAACTACTTTGATTCTTGCATGTAAAAGTTGCTGCGCGTAAGCCGAAACTGTGGTGACGTTTTAAAATTTTTAAGCGTAAGGTCTGCGTAAGGTACTAGAACGTGCGTAAGCAAAACTTGTGCGCGCGTAAGAAAAACGTAAGCAGCAGCAATGTTTGGTGCCGCCATGCAAGACATTTAAACCACAGCTCATATTGTGTGGTAAACCCAATAATAATGAACCATCCCCAAATTCACCACAAAAGGGTGCAGTAACACCATCCCAAAGAACTTGAAACAGTAGGTTTTAATTGCAGGGTTTCCCACATTGATTGCAGGGTAATGTCAACCCTGGATGAATAAACCCCACACGGCTGTTTAATTGGTGGATTACCATTTAAGTATCATATCTGGTTGGTGGTTTGGAACATGTTTTATTTTCCCATATATTGGGAATGTCATCATCCCAACTGACTTTCACTCCATCATTTTTCAGAGGGTAGGCTTAACCACCAACTAGATTATTATTAACCATCATTAACCATATAATAACCGTATATTAACCATATATTAACCATTATTATTCCACCAACCAGATATTATGACTATTGGGGAAGTACGTCCCTAATAGACCATGGATGACCATGGGAGTACGCCACCAACCTTCGATCCAAATCTTCGCAAGGAAGGAGACCCTTCCACCTTGGTTCAGAGCCAACAGTTTCGTGTTGCTTCAGCCTCTCTTGGTCGCTCAACTGAAAGTTGTGGATTTTGAAACCGGACTTCACCAAGAAAAATGATAGCTTTATGGGACTTAATGATGATTTAATGGGAATTAAATGGATTTGAATGGGATATACCGTCTGGCAATCAAACATGGCTGGAAAATCTTCTCTTTGGTTCGATGATGTTTCCGATTTCAATGCCGATTTATAGTATTTTATAGTGATATAGTGGAAGTATGTGGAATTTCTAGTCATATATGTTTGACACCAGAGAGTAACAAGAGGCCTGCATCAGCCCCAAAACTCCGTTGTTACAATCAACCTCGCCGGGGTGGAAGGAGGGTTCTTTGGAAAGCAATAATGATCAAGAAAAAGTGATGATAGTTGTAAAAATGTATATCATCATTATGTCTTGAATGTTTCACATTTTTTTATTTCTTGATTATCATTGATTATCACTGCTTGGTAAAACACATTATCATACGTTTACAACTAAAATCATGTTTATCATTGTTTTTCATGATAGTTATAAACATGCGTATCTTAGATGGTAGTTATCAATAAACATTGAGGATGATCATTGTAATGATCATGCTCTTGATGATGATAAAAAAAATAAAGTAATGTTAGTTATCATAGCGCTGAAAACAATATATAGCGTCTATAGAAGATCGAATGGACATGCTCCAATCGTATCCTCGTGATTCACCACGAACTGAACAGCTACAAAACCAACCAGAACAACCACCATGTTTTGGAAAACCAGCTAGACTTGAAGGGAAGAATTACCGGAAAACCTGACATTTGGTGCTCAAAACCTATGGTTTTTCCACAGATAGCCCTGGTTTCCGTTCTTTTTTTTTTCGGTTGAACCAACCCAGTGACCACATGGAGGTTTCCTAGAGGTACCCCAGTCGTCACCATGCGTTTCAATACTAAGCCATGCTCTTATGACTTGGATGATGACTGGGTGTACCCCCAGCCGGAAACCATCACATTCCCATGAACATCCCGTCGACGGACTCCACGGACAGTGCCCCAGTTCGTTAGCGAAGTTGGTGGAAATAACTCCAGTAAGTTATGGGTTTATGGTAGATATATCGAACAGGATGGGGCCCCCAGTCGAGCGAGCGATCGCGTTCAGTTGGTTTATGTTTGTGGCTGAATGAACTATGGTTTATGGTAGATATAACGAACTAGATAACTATGGTATTCATGGGGTTAATAAACCAAACTTCTACTGGTTGGTGGTTTGGAACATTTTTCCATATATTGGGAATAATCATCCCAACTGACGAACTCCATCATGTTTCAGAGGGGTAGGCTCAACCACCAGCCAGTCTAACTATGGGGGCACGACCGACTCCACCCCAGGCCAGCCTTCTGAAGCCCGTCTCCTCAGTCGAGAAGCCACGCAAAGCCACTGCAGCGTGCTGCGACGGAGCTATCTGCACTCCGAGGACTGTGGACATACAGGACGCCTTGGCTGAAAAACAGGTGTTATTATAGGGATTCTCTAGGGATTTCATGATGATTTCATAGGATTTATGGGAATTACCAGGTGCTTACTTGGATGGGGATTCTATCACTGGTTGGTGGTTTGGAACATGAATTTTATTTTTCCATATATTGGGAATAATCATCCCAACTGACTAATATTTTTCAGAGGGGTTGAAACCACCAACCAGATGAGGTTTATTGGGATTTTCTGGTGATTTTATGGGATTCAGTGGTTCATAACCTAATATATTATTTCCGTTTCTCCCTAGTATTGATATAATGTAAGATATGAACGCTTTTTCTGCCGGTGGAACTCCCATTTTCGTTAGGTCAGCTTTGGTCGGGCAAGACAAATTCTACGAAAATGGAGGTTTTCTAAAATTTGGGATCCCCCAAAATCATAGGGTTCAATACTAACATGCTGTAAATTTGGATGATTTTGGGGTACCCCTATAAATTGGAAACCCCCTTTAATGGGTGAAGAAAGCACCCAGCTAGCAAGTTTCTTGGGTGACGGATAGTTTTGCCAATAAAATGATGGATAATCTTGAAAATCGTCCACAAACAGGAAATCTACCATTGGGGCAATCTATTGGGATTATGTACAAACGGTTTTGGTGATGTTTACCCTCTGGTAAACATACAAAAAACTTTGGAAAATCACCATGTTTAATGGGTAAATCAACTATAAATGGGCCATGTTCAATAGCTATGTTAATTACCAGAGGGTATATGATGGTGGTGTGGCACCTGCAACTTGGCTGGGGCACTGGGACAGATGCAGCTCTGGGATTGATGGCAGTCGTGAACGACTCCACCAGGCCGACCTGAGCTTCAGCAGGGCGGTGATAAAGTCAGCGAAATTGGAGACACTTGAGGACATGATGAGCGCCTGGAAGACTGATCCCATATGCACGACCATCGGCATCGGCTCTGGCGGCGCAAAACCAGGCGCCCACAATGTTTCTCCCAGCATTCATAGTTACAGACTATGTGGTTAAGACATGCTATGACTTATGACCCAGTGCTGAAAAAAACGCAACACTTAGCTCTGTCTTGGGTGATCCTTTGTTCATAATTCGCCGCGCCGCCGCACCTAATTCTGGGCTTCAACTGTTTTGAGGGTATTCCATTTTGGCGCGGCACGACATCCTGAACGACATCTAAAACGACATCCAAATCATGTGTATGAAATTTGAAAACGGAAACTAGCTGCAAAAGGCTCAGGTAGAGGTGTTGGGAGCTAGCGTTGAGGTGTGGGCTAACTCCGCGGCCGCCACAAGGATTGCCAAAACATTATCTTTTTGAGACAGCAATAAGCAAAAACAAGATTGTTGAAAAGAAAGTTGTTCAGCCACCTTTCTCTAAAGGGCTGCATTTTGACAGTAAACTTGTCTCTTGGAAATCCCACATGATCTGAACGACATCCGAAACAACATCCAAACGACATCTGAACGACATCCAGACCCATTATAGGTGACAATATGCCAGATTTGCTTTCCTTCTTTTGCTAACGTATAGGTAAAGGGGAACAACGCAGGATCAGAAGGCAAAGGCTGAACACCGTTCCCCGCACAGGCCATTGGCCATGAAAGACTTTGCAAAAAGCACAATCAAAGAATGAAGAATGCTCTAGAGCAGAAGAAGCAATGCCAGAGAGGAAGGCAGCATGAGATTGTTGCCATTTGCTAATTGCAGGCGAAAGTATCAGTCCCCTTCCCCTCAATTTCTTTTACAATTTAATTTCAAATCTCGTGCATGATGGAGATTTCAACTGCCAAGTTTCAGATTACCGCCGCATAGATGATGATTTGTGGTTGGGATTCGGCAGGGTCAGTATCCTCCGGCAAATGTGGCAGTGGAAAATCCCCCGATTTATATAAAGATGTTCATAAATTTATATATATATATATCCCACTTAAATGGGTTTAAAACTTCCATTTGTATAGACGATTGTCCCATTGATAGATGATTTTCCCAGCTTTAAACTTCCATTTCAAACGTGGTTGAAGTTTCCCATAGTTCCTATGATTTTCCAGCTGGTTTTCCCGAGAAAAACCTGCAGTTCGGGGATACCAGATCCGGGAGCCAAGGGCATCTTCTCCCCTCCGGTTTTCTGGTGACCGGGACTGGCAGAAGTGGCACCAAGCTGCTCGGATTTTTGAAGGAGTTTTTGGGGAATTTTCGAAGGTCCACTGAGATTTTGGGGAATCTATACAATATATAAATAGATATAATGTCAACCCCGGATTAATAAACAATGGTTTATTAATTAGGGGGTACTCCTCCAATAGTCATAATCTGATACTTAAACGGTACCCTCCCAATTAAAGAGCCTAGGGGTTTATTGATCCAGGGTTGACATTATAGGAAATATATGGAAATATATTGTACATGTATAAGCTAACGGGTGCCAAACCGTACGTGTAGTTACACACATTTTCAACATGGGGTGGGGTGGGGATGTTAACGTTCGTTAGCAGTTGAAGACGCCACGCATGCTACGCTGAGCATGTGGTGGGGTGGAGATGTGAACGTTCGGTTGAAGTTGAACACGCCACTGCTGCTACGCTGATCATGGGGTGGGGATGGGGTGGGGAGGGGTGGGGATGTTCACGTTCGTTAGCATTTGAACACGCCACGCATGCTACGCTGAGCATGTGGTGGGGTGGAGATGTGAACGTTCGGTTGAAGTTGAACACGCCGCTGCTGCTACGCTGGGGATGGGGTGGGGTGGGGTGGGGTGGGGATGTTAACGTTCGTTAGCATTTGAACACGCCACGCATGCTACGCTGAGCATGTGGTGGGGTGGAGATGTGAACGTTCGGTTGAAGTTGAAACGCCACTGCTGCGCTGATCATGGGATGGGGTGATGTTCAGTTGAACACGCACGCATGCTACCTGAGCTGGTGGGGTGGAGATGTGAACGTACACGCCACTGATTGATGGGGTGGGGTGGGGTGTGGGGATGTTCACGTTCGTTAGCATTTGAACACGCCACGCATGCTACGCTGAGCATGTGGTGGGGTGGAGATGTGAACGTTCGGTTGAAGTTGAACACGCCACTGCTGCTACGCTGATCATGGGGTGGGGATTGGGGTGGGGTGGGGTGGGGATGTCAACGTATATCGTGTGTTCTCGTTACCTGTTTTGAGGAGTGCATCATAATAATTTTTAATGTTTGTCATACTTCTGTTGATAGTGTCTTTCACCACGGTAACGATAAAGTTCATCCCAATGGTGATAAAAATCACCCTCTAATTTCATAGCGGTACTCATCAAATCACTAGTCAGTGAGGTCTACATGCACAATGATCAATGAAAGTGGCAAGGCAAAAAAGGTCCGAAATTTGTGCTGTAAGGGTTGCAAAATCCAAGAAAAATGACCTTTTTTGAGAACATTTTTTTCCTGATCAGAAGGCCACGAAACACTGAAAGGGTTGTCATTTTTTTCAGCATGTTGATGCGCCTACACGCGCGATTCCGCACCCGGCGGGATGTATAAGAAGGTTTGGAAAGTATTCAATAACCACAATAATATATATATATATATATAGAGGTTTCCTAAAATATGGGTACCCACAGTTCTCATCCATGTTAATTTCGGATGTTCCATTACCAGTAGTACCGCACAAGGCGGTGGCGGAAGTTTCAAAAATAGGAAACCTATAGGAGAGATTGGCTGTTGTGCATCACGGATGGCAGAGCGAATCCACTGATGGACCGAAAGGTGGTTGGAGCTGTGTTTTTTGGAGTGGTTGCAATGGTTGCAATGGTTGCAGTGGTCACCTGGTCGGTCACCTCACCCACAACTGCTGGCTGTAGTGTGGTGTAGTGCGGCTGTAGTTGTAGTTGTAGTGTAGTTGTAGTTGTGGTATAGTGTAATTAGTTTAGTGTAGTTGCAGTTGCATTTGTGGTGGTGTAATGAGTGTAGTGTAAGGTAATGTAGTGTAATGTATTTTAATGTGAGGTAGGATGGTGTAGTGTAGCGTAATTGAGTGTAGTGTGGTGTGGTGTGGTGTAGTGTGGTGTAGTGTAGAGTAGCGTACGGTAGTGTAGAGCGTAGTGTAGTGTAGTGTAATGCAATCAGTGTAGTGCAGTTGTAGTTTTAGTGTAGTGTAGCGTTCTGTAATGTATTGTAGTTGCAGTTGTAGTTGTAATTGTAGTTAGTGTAGTGTAGTGTGTGGCGTAGTGTAGTGCAGTGTAATGGAGTGTAGTGTAGTAGTTGTTGCAGTCAGTTGATGTAGTGTTGATTTGGGATTTTTGCCGGCATAGATTGAAAAAGATGGGCACCCCTGGCAGTCAGTTGACATGATCAGTTTTGGCCGAAGCCTTCATGACCGGCAGAGGTTGGGATTTGGAGGGTCGGTTTCTGGTTCTTCATGTTTCTCCCTGCACGGGATGGCATGGCACGGGTGAGCTAAGCCAGGCAAGCCATGCCGCCTATATTTGCCTGAACCTATCCCACGTGGCGTTCCTCCAGGATGGCAATTCCAACAACAGCATGATGATCAAGCATCCAAGAAAACAATCATTACCCACCACTATATTAGCCATGAAAAACATACTCATGCGTCCGCATTGGCTCCTGGTTCGCAGGGATTCCAATAATGATGCAGGAAAAAGAGTCTCGTTTGATGTGACCTTCTATTTTGATATATACGGCAATGTTGTTTGTTACCTTACACATGTAAGAATGATTACTGACTATTCACCGGAAATCTCATTTTCATCTAGTATTGCTTGCTTCCTGGATCACGAGCACATACTGAGTTGGAAACCATAGCTATGTAACCGTGTCTAGATATAAGAAAGAGTAAATAGATAACAATATATATATATGCATACACACATGCATTGCCACAAATTGGGCTATTCCCAAACCGTTTTGGGTCTCCATTAGATTGATCACAACATTCCTGGAGGTTTGGATATCCCAGCAGTGTCAAATCTTGCACGGGCAAAGGCCATCCTGTCCAGCGGCTGGGATTACTTAGAATGATCCCTTCCACCCAATGCTATCACCCCCATAGAAACCTGGCTTAGTTCGGAATCCCGCATCATCACTGATATCAGGCGGAAGGGATTACCAATAAATGCCTTCCAAACACCTTCGCTAGGGAATGGGACCTACCACAAGCCACCAAAGACTGCCAACCGAGATATTTTTTTCAGCAAACTTCGGTGGCCACTGACTTCGTGCGCTGGCCAGCCAGTGACTTAGGAGGGACAGATGTATTATGACTCACATCTCCTTGCACCGAGATTGCCGGCCTTGGAGGCATACCTGGGGAATTGCTTTCCGAGCTTCCACATGCGACAGCTTCTGATGTCAGCCTGAATGGTATGGCTTGGCCTTTAGCAGGAGTTGAGAAACGCTGGAGGCATGGAACGCGCACTTTGCGAGAGCATCGCTTCACCGTGGAAGATGAACCAATTCGTTAATCCATTGTTAATCTACCAAACGGTTCATGTGAAATGGCAAAATTGATAATTAATTCACCAGACTGTCAATCTACCAAATCTTAGCCAACTACTTATCTATTGGTTTACCCGATTAATCTACCAAACTGTCAATCTACCAAATGCGGTAATTAATTTTCATCAAAATCTAGCAGGTGTTTTTAATGGTTTAATCCATTTTTAATCAAATGGGTTATCCTTTCTTCATTTTACCCTTGGTTCATCCTCCACTAGGGCAATCTACTGGGGATATGTTTATTTTGGACCTAGGAGCAGCAAATGCTGCAAACCTTCGTTGGGTGGTTAAACACATCAATCTCTTGCCCTATCGTAAATATAATCATTGTTTTTGAATAAGAAGATATCAAAAGTAGTTGAAATCACTATTTTCAAACTGGAATTTCCCAAAATGATGTTTTTCTGGCGTTTTGATCCTCGGTATACATCTAGGATTGGCCAAGGCAATACCAATGCCACTGAGGTTTTTGGTCAAGGTGCTGAATGCCTTGGGTCTTCAGGTGCCTCCCTGGCAACCACGGGGCAAAATCGAATGTTTGTGCATCTTAGTCTGCAAACCAAACATTGGTTTATTGATGTTTGTGATAGTAAAATTAATTAAATCCAATGTTTGTGGGTCTTATTTGCAAACCATAATCATCCGATGTCAATCCCGGATTAATGAGCCAGGATTTATTAATTATGGGGGGTACCCTCCAAATAGTGATGGAGTGATGGTACCATTTGATACTGAGAAATGGTACCTGCCCAATTTTCAACAGTTATAAGGGGTTTATGAATTCCAGGGTTGGCACTATTGGATATTGGGACGTGTCTGTCATATCCCACTCAAACACGATGGTTTCGAGATGATCACCTTTTATCTAAACTATAATAGTCATTCACCATTGATGGTCACTGAGTTTAGATACCCATAATCACTGAGTTTAGTGAATGCTTCGGAACTGGATTATGATCCTAAACAGAACTGGGATGTGGCTATGAGTCCTGAGTCCACCCCTGTGCCATATTTGGATGGGGTTTTTCATAAACTACAAGGGCTTCCATTCTATCTGACCCATACCCATATCATGGAATATAAACGTATTTCAACAAATATAAACCAGTCGCCCATCATGAAGCATGAACCTCAGTTCCATCATAGTTCTTAGTCTGACCGCCAAAAGTCAGGATTGTAGATTCAGCCAGACAACTATTGTAACTGTTGGTGATTAACCAACAAAATAGGGAGAAAAGCAACTACGGAAACAAGGATCTATCCTCTCAAAACTATTGAGACATTTGGTATGATGGACTCGTCATATGTTCACATATGATCAGCGTAAAACCATTTTACTGTTTGCATGTAAAATATTGACCCATACCCAAATGGGTTAATATTAATATATATATATATGGTTACATCACATTTCACTGGGTATTGACCCAAGTGGAATATTGACCCATAATGCCAACCCTGGATTAATAAACCCCTAGGCTCTTTAATTGGGAGGGTACCATTGAAGTATCAGATTATGACTATTGGAGGAGTACCCCCTAATTAATAAACCATGGTTTATTAATCCGGGGTTGACATTACCCATCAAATATACCCACCCAAACTGGTGATGAAAAACCAAGCAGCACTTGTGACGAGAACAGGGTCCAAAGGGTCCATGGATTGATCCAGACTACCTGGGATGGTCTCAATAAATAGACCACCTTTGGGATGGATTCAAAGGAACCAATTTTTCAGTCTACCAATACTTGCTGGTTGGTGGTTTGGAACATTTGGATGTATTTTTCCATGCAGTTGGGAATAATTAATCATCCCATTTGACGAAGTCATATTTTTCAGAGGGGTGGCGAAAAACCACCAATTAGATTATCATTAACCATATAATAACCATATATTAACCATTATTATACCACCAACCAGAGATATTTAGCCAACAATAACAGGAGGTCACAAATTGTTGAACTTCGGTGCCTCAAAGTCGATGATTTTCATGTCGTAATATTCCACTAACATTACCCTCTGGTAAACGTTAACAAAAAGCTATTGAAAATGGCCATAGAAATAGTGGATTTACCCATTAAAGATAGTGATTTTCCATAGCTATGTTAGTTTACCAAAGGGTACCAGGGAATATTCAATTTCAAGAGAAAAGCGTATCAATCCCTATGTATGTTGGGTTGTGCTGTGTTTCCACCCAAAAAGAATAGATTCACATTTATTTCCGAACTAAATCCCCATCAATTTCACTAAAACTACTGCAAAAAATTGCCCATGGTTTCCACGTTCAAAAAAACCCCTCACCAATCCTATCATCCCATGATATCCCCATCCCCATGGATATCTGGTTGGTGGTTTGGAACATTTGGATTACGTTTCCATGCAGTTGGGAATGTCATAATCCCAACTGACTGGCTTTCACTCCATCATTTTTCAGAGGGGTAGGTGGCGAAAAACCACCAAGCAGATTATTATTAGCCATCATTAACCATATAATAACCATATATTTACCATTATTAACCCTCATGTTGGTTAAATCCCTCATGTGATGCTTCAAAACCACCACATTTTGTATAGCCCAGGATCGCAGGATCACCCGAGGAAAAAGTCCCCCTTCCTCGTGGGAGTCAAAAAACTACATATAAGTGGCTGAACTAACTACGGTTACTAACCATTAATGGTGATTAATGGTGATTAATAGTGTGAGTTTGACCTGTCTAATGTATATTTTGTATAGCCAAGTGATCACATGCCCCCGATGACATGTGGACATCTAACCTGGGGAGAGGTTGGTATCATTACAGTAACAGATGCTTCATTTTCAAACGAGAAGAACTACAAATCACAACAAGGACGTTTCCATTTTCTTGGAGACATCAATGAGATCAAAGACCCCAAGACAACATCCTATCGGGTGATGCCATTGGGATTTGCATCAAATACAATTCGGCGAGTATGCCGCAGCACTCTTCAATGCGAAGCTTATTCACTGCAGGCTGGACAAGAGAGCGGTGACAAGCTACGTGGAGCATTGGCCGAGCTGATGGGCCAACTTGACTCGATGAAAACATGGTTGGATGACAGCCGCAGCTGTATTCCACAACTGATGCTTTCAGACTGCAGGTCTTTAACAGAGCATCTTGCGAATGAGGTACTTGGCAGGGTCGCAGACAAACGACTCGGCATTGAGTTGCAGTCGATTCACGAGTCACTTTGGCAAGACGGCCGGAGGACCTGGGATATGCATCATGGCGGAGGAGACATCGTTACCTGGATTGCTACAGGAACTATGGTCTCGGATGCTCTGACCAAGAGCATGCGCCCGGACCTCATTGTCCGCGTCTTGAAGGAGTGCATTTATCGTGTACAGAAGAAGCCTTAGAGCCAACTTTTTCACTAGCATCATGTGATCCTTGAAGAACAGGTTGAGTGTGAGTTTGGCCTGTCTAATGTATATTTTGTATAGCCAAGTGATCACATGCCCCCGATGACATTTGGCTTTAGGGCCCTTGAGTCATACCGCGCTGCCGTGGTAAAAGTTGGGCACTAACGATCCCGTTTCCAATTCAGAATAGTGATTATAGCGGTTGGTTTTATAGCCAAATGATTAATCACCAGAAAAATCACCATTCATCACTATTAATCACTATTAATCACTATGAATCGCTATTCATCACCGTTAATCGCAATTAATCGCTATTCATCACTATTAATCGCTATTAATCCCATTGCATCCCAGTCACTAACCAGTTATGATTCGTGAGGTGATCCTGTGAGCCCATTCAACTACCACGTGCAGGTGAGCCACGACAACGCGAAGCAGCGCAGCGCAGATGGAGCTGTGAGTTGGGTCCATGGCAACCACAAGAGGCGCGGACCGTGGCTGCAGCAAAATTCGGAGTGGTCGGGCACAAACGAATGTTACGGTGTATAAATATACATATATACACACGTGTGTGTGTGTGTGTGTAACTATATATATATATTTGTATGGCATAATGGCATAATATGTATATGTATATATATATACATGTACGTATATTTATGCGTCTACATGTGTATATATATGTTTAGATATATTGGTGTCATTGATGACTTCCAGTAAACGTACACAAAACGACATGGAAAACACCCGTGATGTGTCGAAGGAAATGTGATCTAGATTGATGACGGACTGTCCATACCTACTCATGTGATTTTGCTGGAGCGCATCATGAGGCTTGGCAACAAAAAAATGAACTTCACAGTAATTTGACGTAATTCTTTGGGAAATTAATTACATAACATAAGCATAAGGAAATATCAATTGGGAAGTTATATTGTAATATATCCCAATCATCACATTACAATAAACCCATTTATTGGAGCACCTTAAATGTGATGTGTGCCTTTTTTTTGCATAGCCTTGCATATGTTCCATGAAATCAGTGATTTTTTTTTGGTTGGCACCCTGTGGAAAGTCTGGAAAAGTCCAAGTTCCAAAGCCTGCGCCAATCCGTGGGCGCCAATGGAGTCATGGAAAAGTCATCTATAAATGGGCTGGTTTCCAGCACGCCACGTTTGATGACCGGAGGGTATGTATTTCTTTGGAAAATCCAAAAACGATTTTCCATTGATTTTCCAATGAAGTGATGGCAGGTTTCAAATATAGTTAAGTTTCAACTTCCCAAGTATAGTTCCAACTAATATCACTTAAGTTTCAAGTATACTTCTTTCCCATTTTCAAGTTTCGGATGATCCCAATTTATATGTGTAGAATGGCTGTCTCAACCAGACAGATATATATACTAGTGGCCTGCCGACGCAGGGGTTGTCAGCTACCGTGGTGGAGTTATAACGTCAGTGACAGCTTCTTCAGAGACTTGGGTGGCAAAGCAGTTTTCATGGAACCACTTACTAATGGTAATAATATCAATAAAAGAATGGGAAACCACGAAAAAAAAAGATTTAATGGGATTTAAGCGAATTTAATGGGATATAAAAGGAGTTTATAGGATTTTATAACCCTGTTGGCTGATGATTATAGTGATTTAATGGGTTTTTAACATCACTTATTGTGGTCTTGTGGGTTTTTAACCACCAAACATGTGGGGATATTTGATATGATTGATAAAAGATTATTGATGATTAGTTCGGGAATTACACTAACAACATATATTAATCCACTGGGAGAATTCGGCTCTTCCACTATAAATGTGGATTGACCGATAATTAGAATCTTACTGGTGCTTAGTAGGGAATGGATGGGAATGGGGGAACGGGATTATTATTGAGAGTTATTGTGGATCATTCCCTCATTCCCTACTAAGCACAAGCAAGGAATTGAATGGGATGTATAATCAACCAATAATGGGATATCTATAGTTAATGGGGTTTATAACCAACTTGCAACTGGGCGGCAGAAAATTATACCATTGGGTTATGAACCATCAATGGATTTTAGAGTTTTTGATGTTTGAGGGGTCCCTTCAGCAAATCCAAGTGATTTTTTTAATGGTGGTTAATCCTATTTTTTGATGGTTATTAATCTTATTTTTGATGGTTTATATTTATCCACCTGATTTTTGGATTTACCCATCGCAAAAAATTGTACTTAACCGTCAAAGAATATAGGATTAAACAATCAACGATTTGGATTTGACCATGAAACACCTGGTCTTAGACAAAAAAATATAGCAGCATAGTGATGGTTCATGATCTTTGACAGTTTCATACAGTTTCAAGAATCCTTGGCATCCTTGGCATCCTTGGCATGGTTGGTTAGTTGATGGGAAATTAATCAATGATGTAATTAATCCTTGGTAAAATCATGATTAATTGGGTAAAAAATCCTTTAGTTGATGGGTTGATTGGTTAGTTGATGGATAAGTTGGTAAATGATGGTTGGTTGATGGAAAACGGGTGGCAAAATCAAATTGGCCTGCTGTCTTGGAGGATTTTGGCGAGGAAATCCCGGCCACGGTTGAAGAATCATGGTGATTGAAGAATTGAAAAATGGATGGTTGAATCATGAACTCATGATGAAGCAAATTGCAGCCTGGCCATGTGATGATGGTTCAACCCCGATTTTCGATTGAATTGTTCAATCACCATGATTCTTCAGCCTTAACCATCGGGAACCACCTAGTTTATGGGATGAAATGCTTTAAGGCAATGAATTGGGTGCAGGAAGATTACACAAGGGGCAGCAAAACCATTTTGGAGGTCAAATCCCAATTTCCCAGCATGTTGGTTCCAGCAGCTTGTTTTCATGATTTTTGATGTGCCAAATATGAATACTGCATGGCCACTAGATACTTGCCAGTGGGCCGGATGGTCACCAAAGCAATTCGACCCACTGAAGGGACCAAAATAATTTTTGTTAGCAGCTGTGTTGGGTTACTCTGTCACCTTTCGTGACATCTTCCAGCATCGGGAAACCATCCATCCCATCAGCGATGACTTTGGCGGTGATGAAGGAGAGGATTACATCAACTGATTGATGAGGACCCAGATTTTTTTCCTGCCGGTGTTGGTGAGAACCCCATTTTGGTGACCTTGCCGACCGGCAGTCACACCATGACCTGATTGGTACAGCTGAAGTGGCGAGACCTCAGGTCTTCATTGACTGTGCCGTGACAACTACACAGCATACATTGCTCTCAAGATGAAAGGGGGCGCCCTTCGGCGTGTGAAGAAGACAATGTTTAGAAAATCATCGCCATCGACTTGAGGCGGAGGAACCTATATCTTGAGTCCCAAGGGACTTGGAGATTCTCTGTCCAGGGCGGCCACTATGTCATCAGCCTAAGAAGCTTCGCATGTGCCCCGCAAGTCTCCGTGCACCATGACCTGGACTTTGTTCAGGTGAGCCCCTTCGTTTTGCACGTTGTCAAGATTGATGAGAGCAAGAGGGGTTATGTGGTCCAGTCCAGCGACGTGGAAGGTTTCAACTCTGCCCGCAAGGTCTGTGAGAATGTCGGCAAGACTAACGAAGTCAAGTTCTAGGATTGATTGATGGCAATGGATGCTGCCCAATTGACCAAACTTTAGGCCTATATACTAGGTCAATCTTACATGGATACTTTAATCCTTTAGTCTTTTGGTATTAATGGGAATATCTACGTTCACCAGCAAAGAATTTAATTCTTTGCAGGGTATCTAGCTGATTGGCAATAGAAGACCCCAAGGTCCCCAGTGCCGTGAAGATGTCCAATTTACCCAGCCACATCTTTCTGAGTTTGTGACAGTCGCCATTTGACTGGGTATCATGGTTGGTCCTGGTTGGTTCATGAGTGAATTGCTAGCATTTGTTTGAAAGAATCTTTGATGACCCACTACCGATCAGATACTTTGTTTCTGTAAACATACAAAAAAGATCTCGAAAACCCACCAAGAATGTAGATCATCGAAACATATCGAAACCGAACCGGTTTCCCCATGAATTTTCCACTGCTATGTAAACGTTTACCCGTTAGTTATCCATTGACTATTCATTTCTTGTATATTCATAAATCATCCAATAATCAGTCAGTATTGTTGGTTCCAGCCCCATTTAACAGTAATGTGGATCATTCTTCTATCCACAGAAATCCGAAAAAAAAACAATCAATGTCCATTAAATCACATGTTTTTCATTGTTTTGTTGCTACTTGGGTATGCTTTTAGATCACGTAAGATTTGAGAAAAGTCCAAAATTTCGGCCGGTGAAGGTGAAGTGTTCCTGATGCTCAGAGACTCTCGGCGAAGTTATCTGCAGCGACGACTTGTGTATCGCAAAGGTGTGTTTTTCACCATCCAAAACGGGTGATAGATTGGATATATCTGGGTATATCATGGTATATCATACATAGGTATATAACGATTATACATTATCATAATATGATTATATCATGGATTTATAATAAACAATGAGGATATGATTGGTATATATATATATATATGTATAATTATATATACATATGAGATATATTGATGAATAATGTGGGATGCACAAAAAATGCCGTAGACGACTACCATTTGCGGATGATTTTTCAATCCCATCTACGGCAACATTGGGGATGGCAATGTTTAAAGATTTGGGACACCAGCAACAGGTTGAGACACCGTTATGTAACGTTATGCATCTAGAAATGGGAAGGTCATAAAATGGAGAATAACCCCATGTAAACTGTGAAACCCAATGAATCACATGGATTGTTCCCAGTTGTATATGGGTCATTCTGGATGTTTGTTACACTAACTGTCAACTAACAGTTTGCTATTGAAGCCATGGCCATATAGAAATAGTTGATTTTCCCATTCAACATGGTGATTTTCCATAGTTATCTTAGTTTTTTCCCATTAAAAATGGTGATCTTCGTCCGTTTTTGCTTAACGTTTACCAGGCCGGGTAACCAGGTAACCACTTACCCTTCTGGGAGCGTTCCACAGCCGCGATGACAACCAAGGATCCTTTAGATCAGATCTCATCGAGATCGGAGAATGGCAATTTGGAGCGGAGGGAATGGTACGACTTTCTGCGCCCTGGCGTTCCCACAAGGGAAGGGTTGGAAGCCTACCAGTATGGGGACAGTATGTGTAACTGGATATAATTGGGATATATCAATGGGATATATGCTGATTTAATGGGATTAATGGTTGGTTGGACCAAAATCGGGGAACATGCCCTGAAGTATCACACCCATATATCAAAACTTTGTTTTCCTCCCAGGATATAATATTGTCATGGGTCAACTGTGGTCAACATTTAGCCACTTCTGCTGGTTTCCGGACAGGCCTACCCCTTTTTTCGTCCAGTGGTTTCCCAACTGGCATCCTATGGCCATAAATTTGGGGACATAGACATATGGCCATGAATAATGCTCAAATTTGGATGTCAAAACTTTAGGGTATGTATATATTTATATATACACCATACACATCAAAAAAATCGTACATATTCCATGGCCGGACATAAAAATATCACCTGGGCAAATTTGATCGTGACCTCACGTCGTGATCTCACTGGAATCATGGTGAATATATATAGGGGAACTATCCCAATATCCAGCCTTATTTCTAGGTCAATCTTACATGGATACTTTAATCCTTTAGTCTTTTGGTATTAATGGGAATATCTACTAACCAGCAAAGAAGTTATTTTTTTGCAGGGTATCTAAGATTGGCAATGATTTCAGGTTAATGTGTTTAAAACAATGTCATAAACCATCCCCCAGTCATCACAATTTTTATAGGTAGTATAAACTTACCGTTCCCAGTCACGGGGTGGTTTATTCCATTGTTGTTTACCTACATTAATGAAATATGATACCCTCTGGTAAACTAATGTAACTATGGAAAGATCCACCATTTTTAATGGATAAATCTACTATTTCTATGGCCATGGCTTCCAGTTCGCAAACTGTAAACGTCATTACCAGAGGGTAATGTGCCCAGATATAATAAGCCATGAAAGGTTGATGCTCTTTTTTAGGACCAAACAAACTTTTGGGCGACGTCGACTCGATTCTGTTGGAAGAAAAAGTCCAGGGGTGTCCAGAAATTGGGGATCCCCAAGAAATGGATGGTGGAATATGTCCAAATATGTTGGGCAGTATATGTATATATATATATATATACATGGAGGTTTCCACAAATGGGGTCACCCTAAAATGGTTGGTTTATAATGGAAAATCCCATCTATAAATGGATGATAACTAGGGGTACCACCTTTTTTTGGAAACCCCCATTCAGATGTGTCTAGTTGTGTATCCCCTTGTTTTTGGATGTTGGTTTTCCAAAGAGGATTTAACCTAGGTTCCATTATGTTCCATGTTAAATGAGTGTTCAAAACCCGTGCTGATTGATGATGAGTTCGGGGATTTTACTACCCTTCATCTATCCCATATGCTCCATGTATGCTATATATGGCAACATTTACCATCAATATACCCCAGTCATGTTAGCATATATACCAGCACCATGGATCCTGTGGGTATTGGGGATTATCATAATCCATTATGGGAATACCGTTCCACCGGTTTGTATAAAATCAGCTACAAAACATACCTTGGTTGATTGGTTATTATGGGGAATTATACTACCTGGGTTGTTGGGGATTATGAACTACCCTCCAGTAAATTAACATAGACCCTGGCAGATAGGGGTTGGAAGATTAGTTTTCATTCAAACTAGGCTATTTTCAGGGTCTATGTTAATTTACCAGGGGGTAACTCGTAAGGTAACCATGTTCAACCAAGTAGTATTTCATGAGGTGGGAAAACGGGGGTGAAAACATCAATGCCTCAATCCGGGAACATCACAGCGTTTTTTCTCCCATTTCAGACCTTAGGTTTCCTTCCCAGGAGATATACCCTCTGGTTATTTAACATAGCCATGGTATAGATGGCCCATAGAAATAGATGGTTTACCTATTAATAGCATGGTGATTTTCCATGGCAAATTGTTAAATAACCAGATGGTAAAATTAGAAATAAACACCATTACTGCCTCAAAAATGGGAATATTATGGGTATATACTGGGGTAATTATATAATGGTATATACCCATCCATATCTAGGCAAAGACTCTGGCTGATTGGTTTCCAAACATGTGGATTTTTCCATCATTTAGATGGGTTTTAACTTTGAAGCATCAAAAATATGGTGATATGATTAAAAAAAGATGCCAACGCCCTATGGCACTGCTTCCGCAGCGCCATTCAGGTCTTGTTCTTCACGTATGAATGACGAAGGACACGATGTTTCAGGACGGGATGTGAATTTCACCATGGGGGGTTCTTGGTTGTCATGGGGGATCCCCAGTCGTCACCATGGTTGTTTCAATACAAAGCCATGGTCTAATTACTTGGATGATTTGCGGGTAACCCCTTTTTCGGAAACCTCCATATCACAATATTAGACATTATAAGTTTTGTTCGCGTATTAAATATGAGATCATATGAGACTATTATATTGTAAATATCATATCTATATGACACCACCATTTTTTTTTGCATCCTGGATTGTTCAATCTATTCCTATCCCGAAGAGATCCGGCCAGGCAACAGAAGCAGGATACCCTCTGGAAATGACTAAGACTTTGCTATTGAAAATGGCCTCTATGGTTCATTTAGTTTGTTGATTTACCTATTAAAAATGGTGGTTTTCCATAGCTACGTTAGTTTACCAGAGGATAATTGGAAGAAAAACCGCACCAGTACGGTGGGTTGCGAAATCCTGCAGCAGTTGGTAACTAATGGTAACCATGAAACACTGTAAAGAGTGGGATTATAATGGGATGTTTACCATCTATCAACTGGTTCAGGATTTCTTCCACCCACAGTGATCCACAGTGTTTCAACCTGCCAAATTCCCAGAAAACTATCGATTTGGATCCTGTTCTACCCTGAAGATCAAGGGATTGGGCCTGCTAGGGGTCATACGGCAACTGTGGACTAGCCTATGACTTAGAAATCATGCCCTCGGCCAAACCCTCTTTGATAAAATACATTCACACATATTATGAAAATAAATATATATAATTATATATATATACAATATATATATATATACAATATATATATATATACAATATATATATATATACCACATATACTTATATACCATATACAGGTAGATTCCCTGTATGTCCTCTATATCTCGCCATGGATGAGGTCTTGAATTTTGGGTAACCATCAGTTTTATTCCCGCACAAATATGGTTTGGGAGTTGCCAGAGACTATCCATTACTGTAGATGTTGTAGATTTTTTGAGATCAATCAGGAGGGATTACAAATATATATATATATACACCAACATGAAAGTAATTAGGACCTCCGTAAGGGAATCGCTGTTTCAATCACAAGTAATCAAGTTGCTTGGTCGCGATATGGAAGAGAGGTATGAAGCCATCTCTGCTGCTGAAAGTGTGATTGAAGAATCCATGACACACCTGGGTCAGAAGAAGAAATTAGAGTCGTGTCTCACAAACAAAGAAGGCGCATGAAGAGATAACGAGCGACAAGAACAGCCAGACCACCAGTCTCCCGAAGACTCCCAAATTTCTGCTGAAGCATGGACAGATTTTGAGAGAACGCGAAGGCCGAAGGCATGAACTTTGCAAATCGCTGGAATGAATTGATACATGGCGACATACCGGTGGACACCATATTGACGGTGCACAGGACTTGGAAGTGACCGCACATCCCAAGCATTCAGCGATTCACCGTGCCACTGCGGCGGACTTGAGCAAGCTCTCCATTGACTTTGAGCAGGTCAAGAGCTGTCGGCGATCCGAAAGTTCGACGATGCACAAAAGGTGCAAAATGAAAAGGTGCAGCGAGTGGCCGAGGGTCGATGGGCAAAGTCCAAGAAGATCTCCAAAGGCACAAGAACAGCCAGAACAGCGATGCGTGTTTTGCACGAACTTCAACACTCAAGAGGTGAGAGCTTGAAAATTGAGGATCTGTTGAAAATGGTGTGCTACGTTAAATCCCAACCCCCTAGCAGCCCTAGCACACAGCCCATGTTTGATGATTCAATGCCAATTGTTGGTGGGTCAAACCTTTGGTTTTGAATTTTCAAATCCCCTTATCTCCCTAGGTTTTGCCATTCTTCATTGTTGAACCATCGTTGGTTCATGATTAGATCCCCATTCTTCATGGAGAAATCACATTTCTTTATAACAGCCGTCCATCATTTTATGCATAGGTACCAAACCCATCAAATGGGTTTGGTACCTATAAATTAGGGAACCCACACTCACTGAGTTAATGTTCTCTATCAAAATAGCATGAGACGGTGGGTATTTTTACGTACGGTATAGCCCATCTCCAGACAGACCCAAATTGCCAGATGGATTATGTCAACGTGGTGAAATCCCTGTTGTATCACCCCATATTTGTTGGTTACCCTCTGGTAAACGTTTACATAACTATGGAAAGATCCACCATTTTCAATGGCTAAATCCACTATAAATCACCATTTTCAATAGCTTTTTGTATGTTTACCAGAGGGTATATCATGTTATTAAATCCCCCGTTTTCTCGTAAATCAAGATCGCCATCGCAGAGGACCCCCAGGACCCCCTTCTGGCGAAGAGGCACATGAATTTTGGGGATGATCAAGGCAGAACTTCGGGTAATTTGTGGGTTATCTACTGGGTGATACATATCTAAAGGGTCATTGTTGGCATACATATCAAGGCATGACTTGACAAACATGAACAGATTTCCCTTTAGATATGCATCACCCATTTTGGGGGAAACATCCCACAAAAGAAGAGAGTACTTCAATATGTGTTTGGCTAGAATTGGGGATATGTATGTATCTATAGAAGATTGGCCATGATCCAAGATAAATTTTGCAAAACAACATTGTGATTGACTATTAGGGCCTTGTGTCAAAACATGTCAATACCAAACACTCCAGAAGATTGAGTAGCGAAACATTGCCACATAGTGTACACAAACGTACACAAACCATTTATGTTTAGAGTGTTCACCAACCAGGGTTCCACGGTTTGACCTGTAGCCAGATGTATGGTTTGTTGAACTCATATATTTGGGTAAATTTCATCACGACCGAACCCTGTTCTCCCGAATCCTGGAATGTTCATAAGGAAGATCATCCCCATAGCTGGCCGAACTATTCAGGTGAGTGAAATATTCTCATTTACCCAGATAATATTAATATTTGTGCATATCTGTGCTGGGTAAATTTTGAGCTTTGATACCCTCTGGTAAACGTTTACATAACTATGGAAAATCAGCATGCTATTAATGGGTAAATCCACTATTTCTATGGCCATGTTCAATAGCAAACTGTCAGTTTACCAGAGGGTACTCGTCTACTTGGTGCAGGTGTGGATCATGTGGGATCACCCTTCTATATCGTCCAAGGATTCCGACGTGGTCCGCAGCTTGAAGACTGCTCTCAAGTTCTACGTCCTCCAAAATAGCCCTGCGGCAAACGGGGATGGTTTATGGGAAGCCTACCAGTATGGGGACAGTATGTGTAACTAATTGGATATGATTGGGATATATCAATGGGATATATTCTGGTCTAATGGGATTAATGACTGGTTGGTGGTTTGGAACATGAATGGATTATGACTTTCCATTCAGTTGGGAATGTCATCATCCCAACTGACGAACTCATATTTTTCAGAGGGGTAGGTATACCACCAACCAGTTGGGGATGTTTGTTCTCCCCATTCGAATCCATGGGGATTTGGGGGATGGTTATTGTTCACTACTATTCATCTCATACCCCGTTGACTACATCCCATTATAGTTGGTTGTCCCATGAAATTTTCCTGTTGAATATCCCATGAAACCATCATTTTCCTTGCTTAACTATCCCATGAAATCTGCACGTTCTATTGAAAACATATGAACATACCATAAAATCCTTTCAATGTGTCTGCTTCAATCTCTCATTTTCCCGGGTTAAATATCTTATTCAATAGCCCATGTCTATCCGCGACAGTTCCAAGGTTTCATCGAAGAATATGCCGCGAAAACTTTTCGAGTGGAAGACCTGAGAGAGGATCCACAGATCCTCATGGACCGGGCACCGGGTGCACTTTGAGGGCACCGGCCGTGAGACCAAAAATGGAAATATCATGGACGACGTGTTTACCAGACAGCCAAGAAATCATGGGCTAAACATGGCTAAACGGCTAAACGGCTACCTTCGAGATTGATTCCTTCGGATAATGATAATGGGATGAATAAAAAAACTAATTTAACCATTCGAAAGTGAAGGTCTCACCAAGAAATGACGGAATGAATGGGGATTTAAGTGAAATAAAATGGTGGAAATACAGCAAAAAAAACATGATCTTTTGCAAAAGATGGGAACAGCGCCTATGACAGCGCCGCGAGGACATATGCTCCAGAAATCACAGCTGCAACTGCAGTTTCGCAAGGGTGAAACTTGCTGGCACAGGGATGCATTGGATTTTTCCATGATTAGAATGTGGTGATTTGAGGGGAAATCGTGGTGAAACTTGATTGGGTTTTCATGGGGATTTAAATGGGGATTTTTAAGAGGATTCATGTGGATTTAATGGTGATTTAGTTGGATTGATGGGGATTTCATAGGATTTTTATGGACATTTCATGGTGATTTGCTGGGATGCATGGGGGTTAGCAAGGGGAATCATCCCCAAATGAGTGGAAATCTTTTGATTTCAGAGTGAAATCTTGACCGCTAAAAAAGGTTAGAGAAGTAGCATGACTATCATTAAGAATGGTGAATTGTTATTGCTTGGTGGTTTGGAACGTGTGAGTTTTATTTTTCCATATAACAAAATGGGGAATAAAGATCCCAACTGACTTTAACTCCATCATTTTTCAGAGGGGTGGCGAAAAACCACCAACCAGTTCATTGTTATTTAGAATGATGCAGAGTGCTTCATAGTGATTAACTTATGGTTCACTGGCAATTCAACCTGCGTCCATGTTGCAATTTTCAGATCCCCCCCATGTTCAAACCCAGTAGTTTAAGGCTATCATCGAAGCCTTGTTTGACCAGTGACCTCGATGTATGACTCTTGATCCCAAGAGTCAAGTAAACCAATGAGAAAACCTATGAAATTTCTATGTTTTTGGGATACCCTCTGGTAAACATACAAAAAACTATGGAAAATCACCATGTTTAATGGGAAAATCCACTATAAATGGTCATTTTCAATAGCTATGTTAGATTACCAGAGGGTAAACGTCCATCAACCAGCTATATATCCGAGTACCATCCGGGGTCCAAGGTTTTGACCCATAGCCATATATGAACCGAGACTACACATGCCTTTTTTCAACTATCACAAGATTGGTGCTACAGTCTCGTCCCACGCCCAGAAAGACACTTCCGTCGCTGTGCTCAGGACGGAAGTCATGAAGGAAGTGGGCGATAAGGTGATTGAGACGACTGTTAAATGGGTGTCGAACAATGGCAGGTCATCGGTTGGTTACAATCACACCATCAAAAACTGGGGATCAAAACCTATGAAATATCATGAAATTATGAAATTCACCCGGCTACCATGGGATCGTTTCGAGGATCTAGACACCTCGGTGGCAACGAAGAGACACGACACTTGTTCGTAGAGCCAAGAACGAACACATTTTGAGGATGATGTGGATGATTGACTGAACAAATGATGGCTGGTTGGTGGTTTGGAACATTTTTTATTTTCCATAATTATTTTCCATAATATCTGGGATAATCCTTCCCATTGACTAATATTTTTCAGAGGGGTTGAAACCACCAACCAGATGGTGAAACTTCTATGCTTCACCACGTTCATCTTGACAATCTTGATCATTTCGCCAAGGGTCACTCACTTCGCCATGGTCGTCCGTAAAACGAAGCCCATCTGCACCCCCCAAGTACAGAATTGCTCCAACCAAATTGGAGGTAAATGATAGCCACGAATTGGCTAATAGCTTCTGTTACCTCTTTATCTACCCAGTTTCCCTTGAAATATTTCGCAACCCTTCAGACTTGTTCCGGTGAAGCAAATCCCAAGTGAGTGGCTAAACCCCATCCTTTGACCCAGTGTGTTTTCTTGTGGAATATTCCGGCTATAGATTCATGATTCATGTATAATTAATATATATATATATACCACAGATCTTAGTCTATAGTAATAATCATCTAGTATTGGGCTACCTAATTTTGACTCATACCCATATATATATATATATATATCAGATTATCAGTTTGAACCATGGATTTGCTGGTCATATCCCCAGCTTTGTCTGAAAATAGGATACCCCTAAATCCACTGAATCATAATTGTCCTTATTAAAATTGCCATCAGGGGATATCCTCAGTTTGAGACAAACCCAAATGTAAAATATTCTATATTCAATGGCAACTCCAGGATCCTAAATTGGAGGTACCTACCATATATAAGGCCTATGTAAGGGAATATCCCCACAATATATGGCCTTATATGGTACAGTACCTCCATTTTAGGATCCTGAAATTACCATTGATATATTGTTGATTACATCTGAATTATCCCTTTTATGTATTGGATAGTGGTTGGTTGAATATCATATTCATTGGTGATATACCCATGTTATTGCCCTAAATACCATCATCTACCATCATCTAATCCCCTTACTGTACTGCTATCCAGAAAAAGTGATGGTTGGTCCTAATTCTCACAATTAGAGTTTCTTTGCGGGGTATACCCCATGCTCAGGCAAAGCCATTTGTGTTGAAGCAATGTCAAAAAGGTGAACTCCATCATATACCCATGATATACCCCTTATATAGCCATCATATACACATGATATACCCATCATATATTCATTATATAGCCATTATATAGCCATATTATAGCCATCATATAACCATCAAATAACCATATAACCATCATATAACCATCAAATATAGCCATTTTGGTTTATAAGCCCCAGTAACTATAGTTATAAGTACCATAAACCATAGTTATTGGAGTTATTTGCACCAACTGAACGATCGAACGGGGGCCTCGCATTGTATATAACCATTTTTTTGGCCAAAAAAAGGTGAACTCCAACCACACGAACAAGACGTCCAACGTCACCTGGTCACGTTTGGCAGCTCTCGATCGACCCTTTGCAGTCGCTTGCTGAGAGCCCGCAGCGGTTGTGGGCTGTGAAAAAGGTGGGTTAACCAGTACCCTCTGGTAAATTAACAGTTGGACCCTGAAAATCACCAATTTTTAGAGGAAACTAATCTTTCAACCCCGATGACTGCCAGGGTCTATGTTAATTTACTGGAGGGCAATTGGAAATGGAGTCTAACATAGCTTAAGCAACAAACAAATATGAGGGTTCAATTTGGGGGGGATGTTTCTGAAAATGGCGGAGACCGGGATATCGCTAAAACCATGGCCATTTAAGATGGACCATTATGAGAAAGCCATGGATTTAGCGGTACCCAATTGTCAGACAAACCCACCCTCTGGTAATTTCACATAGCTATAGAAAATCACCATTTTTAATAGGTAAACCATCGAACTACACGGGCCATTTTCCAGTTCGCAAACTGTTAGTTTACCAGAGGGTAAATCATATTAATCCCATTATGAACCACTAGAGTATTCACCCATTTATCAGCCACTATTACTGGAAAATTACCTATGGACCATTATCCAAGAAAATTACCATGGCACCTGGGAACTAGGGGCGTGGCTATGGTCGTTTAGCTTGGGATTTCCTTTTGATGTTGAAAGAAGCAGATTTGGGATGGATTTACGACGTGGTTTCATTATATCACTGTGAATATATATATATATATATCTGGTAAACTAACATTAGCACCATTAGTAACCATTCATGACCATTAGTAACCATTAATGGTCAAGCTTTCGTAACCATTAAAAACCATTAGTAGCCATTATGTAACCATTAATGACTGGTTGGTGGTTTGGAACATTTTTATATTTTCCCCAATAGTTGGGATGATGATCCAATCTGACTTTCATATTTTTCGGGTTGAAACCACCAATTAGATATATATCCCCATTATTGTTTGGGTTATATCACTATTATATTCCCCTTACTGTTTGGGTTAATCCCCTATCAAACTCCTGTACTGTACTCTGAGGTATATCACAATTATATTGTTAGCTGTATTACCACTCTATTCCGATATTGCTGGGTTAAGTCTATATTTAAGTCATGATTCACGATTACTAAGATGCTGAAAACTTGTCACCCTTGTCCCTTGTTAACCATTGTATCCCCATGAATGGTCACTGTGGTCACCATGATATCCCCAGTATATCCTATGAAAAATTCCATGCACCATTTTTGTCGGTGAAGTCACCATGCAATCACCATGAAATCTTCAATGAAATCCCATAAAACCACCCAATTTTGCTGGTGAAGTCCTACTAAGTCACCATTAAACCACCATTGTTTCCTAGTGAAGTCCCCATTGACGATGTGATTCCTGGATCAGGTGATGGCACAGATCCTGGCTCAACGTCATGGCTATGTGCTGCCAAAGGAGGAGCGATCGGCTGGATCTCTCCATCCGAACTGGGTAGAAGAAATGGTACCCTCTGGTGACTAACAGTTTGCCATGGTTTAGATGGCATAGATGTCCCAAATTCCCATTGGTTGGTTGATTAATAGAGGAGTTTGAAAACACCCCTTTAACAACAGGTTTCTATGATGATAGATGGTATACCAAACCGGCCCCTATATTTTTACCAAAAGGACATTATTGATAGATGGCCCATTTATAGTTGATTTGCCCGTAAAAAAATGGTGGTTTTCCATAGCATTCCATAGCTATGTAAGTTTACCAGAGGGTAAATGGTAAATTTGACATGTTGACCATGATATACCCATCAATTCGAGATGGTAGAGTATGGATGATTATGGTAGATTAGTAGAATCTGGCTGTAAACGTTGCAGAATCATCATCTGGGCAAATTATATGTATATATATATATATATGGGGGAATCATCCCCAAATGGCCGCAAGTTTCAGGTGAGTGAAATATTACAATTTACCCAGATATATGGTGATTGAACCAACAGAAATGGTGATTTAACCCTTAAGAAAATAGTGACTTAGCCATCAGATTATAATGATTATTTAACCATGAGACAGGTGAGTGAAATATTACAATTTACCCCGGATCTATTGGGATGAACATCATCCCCTCAGATAGTATGATTAGTGAAATATTATCATTATTTTGCCAGATCCAGTTGAATTTAAGATCATGATTATTATTTGGTCGCTTCCCTGCTCCAAATTCAATGATTCCTATGCGGGTCGCTTCCCTGATCATTAAATTCAACCAACATGCCATATTTATGATGATTGAACTGTGATATTTATGATATTATAATGATAAATTCAATCATATTATGAGTAGTATGGGAATTGAGTTTTGATCATTAATGCCATTCATAGAATTGCCATTTTCCTATCATTGATCATTAGTGAAGTGGCAATTTTCAGAGCAGAGAAGTGATCCCCAGTGGTTGGTGGCTTGGAACATTTGGATTATTTTCCATATATATTGGGAATAATCATCCCAACTGACTTTCATAGTTCTCAGAGGGCTCGCGACAAACCACCAACCAGTTATAATTTACCCAGATTATCAGAATGATTGCGGTATTGTCTGAATTACCACCAACCATGGCTTTTGTCCCGTTGAAGCCGCAGCAGGACGTTCTTCCTGAAGCGGCATTTGGATTCTCGCCTCTTGGCGCTTGATATGAGGTGGAATCTCTGGTGATCACCTATAAATATAGGTAAATATAGGTAATTCAACTATTTTCTGAGGTAAATATAGGTAAATCATCTATAAATAGGTAAATCACCATTTTGAATAGGTAAATCATCTATTTTCATGGACCATCTCCTATAGTTATCTTAGTTTACTAGAAAACCGCCATGAATGCAGTGTGTCAGAGATATTCAGAGCTGGGAAAACTAGACATATGAAATCATATTAATATAGGTCGCAACAAAACACTTCCCCATTTGTGGGAAGCTGAATAGTGTCAACCACGGATTATTAAACCTCTGACCTATTTTTTTTGATTTCTACCATTTGGAAACAGGTCATCACTACTCAGAGGGAATCTCCGAAATTAACAAGAGTTTTACCAAATCCTGGGTTAACATTAGGATAAACAGGCCAACATTGTTTTCTCCTCAACCATCGAATGCTATCAAGGCACCAAAAATTTAATCCTCAGAGAAGTGCTGAAACGACTTGTTTTTCGTCTTCAACGGGAATGCAGCAAAAATACCTGATTTGGAAAGGGGCAGATCCAATTTGAGTTGACAACCAAGTTATGTTAAATATATATTTACTGTATATTATATACATATATGATTATGTACATGTATATACACAATCCATAATTAAATGGAGATCCCAGCCCACAATGTCGCCTTGTCAGCCCTTGCGAGGTGTGGTTTCGACGGACCAGATGAAGAGACAAGTCGATGGACCTGCAAGTTGAACTCAGAGGGGAAACGAGCCTCGGAGTGGCCGGAGTGGATCCTATTGCTCGACTTGTGGCTCTGTGGCTAAAAATCCAGCATCAAAAGCAAAGACGCGTCAATTATTTGGAAAATCACTTGTATTATTGGTTTATGACCTTCAAACACTGCTAAACACTGGTATTTGCGATGTTTCATGGATATTCCCCCTTCAAAAACGCCGCTATTTGGACCTTACGAGATTGCGTTCCTTCAATCCATCGAAAAAACGGACGAAAGACAGTCGATCGTCATAAAAGAAAAAAAAAAAGTTTCAAGTTCATCAACCCCAAAAAAAACACGACACCAAACACTCAAAATATATGGAAGTTGTGTCTATTTCTGCGTCTCCAAAAACTCTAAAAGGCCACAGTCGCTATAGCCTTGAGCGTTTCGGCACGGTTTCGTTGAATCCATTGAAAAATCATGGATCGATGCGTTGTGGGGATTTTTAATAGGGATATGACCAACTAACAGTGGTTACAATGGAATATGGTGGATAAACTATAATTAATTTCCCATCCCACGTGAAAATATGAGCACCCCCATTCTGAAAAAAATGATCCCAAGTATATGTGGTTTTATCCCCTAAACGATGGTTTCTGGGGGTGTTTTTTTTTTGAACGGGGGAAGAGAACTATCGTTCTCTATCCATTAACCGATCGTCCCAATATTGATGTTGTTCTTGCCTACCCCCCGATTCAAAGCGCAGGTGTGTCGAGACATCTTTGTTTGTTGCTGTTCGTGATATTAGGTGATGTGACATATGGCTATGGATCAATACCTATAGATACATTTTTAGTGGGATGAACATCCATAAATCCCAGCTATTTTGATGTGAACTACAGGGGTACAAGGTTTTGACACACTGCCATATATGACAATCTTATGAACTACTTTGAAATAAGCTAGCACCATAGAGGAACGGATTCTGGTTGGTTCTTACTGTAGGCGCTGCGAAACCACTTGCAATGAATTTCAGTGGGTACAGTAACCATGTCCACAGTTTCTTACAAACATTATCGGTAGGGGCTCAAGATATTATCTACTATATTCACATATATTCATGATATTCATTATCTACATATTTTATTATACCGAGTTATACCCACGTGTTTATCTGGTTGGTGATTTCAAACATTTTTTATTTTCAATAATATATGGGATGTCATCATTCCCATTGACGAACTCCATCATTTTCAAGATGGTTATTGCACCACCAACCAGTTATGATGAAATCTATATTCTTGAAAATATATTCTTGGATAAATATACCCAACAGTTTATGGTTATTGTACCATATTTTTCAAGATGGTTATTGCTCCTAACACACTCCAGTCTAATGGTGACAGCCTCCTGTTTTGCAGGGGATTTGCTGATATTTGCTGAGTCGATGATGAAATTTTCCATGATTTTCCCATTGGGAGAAATCCAAAATCCACGACTCGGGAAGGGATGAATTACCCTCTGGTTATGACATTCACAGTTTGCCATGGGAAATCACCATAGAAATAGATGGTTTACCTATTAATAGCATGGTGATGTTCCATGGCAAACTGTTAGTCATAACCAGAGGGCATCTTATTTTTCTTTTTTAGGGGTTCCTGAAGCAAATCCAAGTAGCGGTTTTTTCTTAACGAGATATTGGCTTTTTTCGGCCATAGCTTTCGAATAAGAATACTGCGGTTTTTCACGGGAAAAGAACCATTGAACATGCGGAACCATCAAACATGATTTCGACCATCGTGGGATATACTGGTTGGTGGTTTGGAACATTTTTTATTTTTCCATATGTTGGGAATAATAATGGGTTGAAACCACCAACCAGTATACATATATATATATATATATATATAACCAACAATTCACCGACCATGGGATACACAACACACTATGTGTTGCGATATGATGGGCTTTTAGTACCAAGAATGGGTCTACCAGCTATGACTTGGGGGTACCGTTTGGGTGTAGCAACGCTACGAAAATAGCCAGATTAGACTCAAACAAAACCAAGGAAAACATGTTATTTACAAATGGGGATATAACCATCAAAAATGATGATATAACTACAAAACATAAAAATGATACAAACATCAATAAGGGGTTTTCTGAAAAGCTAAAATAGTCTAAAACCTTCGTTCTTTTTCCGTCGCTTTTCGAAGCGATTCCGAGGACTTCTCGAAGACCAGTTCAGTCAACTGGGCAGCAGGTCATCGGTGTAAACATGGCGGTTTTTCATCGTTGGGAAGTGGGCAGTAATGGGTTTAACATACTTTAACCAAACTGATATGGTGAGTTGTTGGCAACAAACAAAAAGCTGATTTAATGGATATCATGGAATATAAGTGGGAGATACGGGATATGTAATCTACTTGGGAGCGCAGTTGCATTTACCACAAGCACGGCGCAGAAACTTCAGCCGCATCAAGTGATCCTGAGACGACTCGGATGATTTGAAGGAGAGAAACGTGGTAAATTGGTAAATGGATGTAAATGACAAGTGGAAAACGATATGTAAAATGATACATATTTCCATATATATATATACATATATGGTTCATCCCAGTAATTATCTATGGGCCTATGGTCCTATGGTAATTTAACGTAGCTATTGAAAATGGCCCATGGAAATAGCTGACTTACCCATAAAAAATTGTGATGTTCCATAGTTATGTTAGTTTACCAGAGGGTAAAATGATACATATTTCCATATCTATGTTGAATCCCAGTATGGATATATGTTATGATATATGTTCCTTGTTTGTAAATCAGACCCCTTTTTTACCCTTCTTTTCGGGCCCAGGTTTCGAGAACTCAACCTGGCTCAAAAAAAAGTTGGGTAAGTTGCCTTCTTCTGATGTTCTTGAAGTCAATGGGAATTTCATGTGACTTGATCATGGCACATATGATTCACAACTACTTGGTGTTTAACCCCAGTTATGAAGTGGCTTATACCCCATTATATTATACCCCATTATATATATATATATATACACATCCCATTTGATCAATGGGAATTTCAGGATACTGAAATGATAAAATGGAAGTACTGTACCGTATGTTTGGCCATATTTTGTGGGAATATTCCCTAACATAGGCCTAAAAAATAGGCCAAAAATATATGGTAAGTACCTCCAATAAATCGATTCCTGAGTCATGGCCGTTGATGAATGTAGCTCTGGTTTCCAAAGTTTCCATCAACCTGGCCTCATGAATGTCCATGAATTGGGATATAACATGATATAGCCCCTATCATTGTGGCCCTATGGTTATATATCCACTTAGTTCACTTAGTTCACTGCACGGTTGGGTCAAATCCACCGGGACCATATGGACCTAACCACCAAACTGGTTGATTTTTCTGGGTTAATTACAAGCACCACAAATGGGAAGCGGAATCATCTCCCAAACTGATCAAAGACCTGAAAGTGATTCGTATGCTTAAGACAAATTGAGATAATGTTCTGAAAGTAAGAATGGGGTCAGAACCTATGATATCAAAGCACATGGGAGGGCTAAAACCTATCAAAAATTACCATCTTTGGGGGAATTTCAATATCCACCAGCTACTTTAGGGTACCGGGTACCAGGGCTTTGACCACCAGGGCTTTGTTCGCTGTCTTCACTTGACCTGCCAAATCATCCCAACAATAATGAGCATGGAGATGTCCCAAATTCCCATTGGTTGGTTGATGAAAAAAGAGGGCTTTGAAGAAACCCCTGAATAACAACAGGTTTGTTTGATGATAGATGGGATTAACCAGCTCCCGGCCCCTCTATTTCTAGCAAAAGGACATTACTGACAGGAAGGGGCCCATGTAGTTTGCTAATTTGGTTTTTAACTAGAACGACTAGGATTTATAGTGGATATATCGAACTAGATGGGGTGATAGACTAACTTTCAACGAAGGGGCCCCTTCCTGTAGTCATATCCAACTATCAACTATTGACTATTGCCGTAATATATGGTCATTACCCTCTGGTAAACTAACATAGCTATGGAAAATCACCATTTTTAATGGGAAAATCCACTATAATTGGTCATTTTCAATAGCAAACTGTTAAATTACCAGAGGGGTACCCAGTACAAATTGCGGCTACAAAAATCCTGAGGTCTGTCGAAGCTGGCCGCAGCCAAAGACTCTCAACGCCTCTCGCTCTATTATTTCGAGATGGGAAGTCGGGACTGGTAACAGCAAAAAAAATCTTACGACTCACAGGGTGATAAGGTGTAACCGGGAAAAAATAGTAATGAACAGCAATTGATACTGAAAGTGGACTTTGGATGGGATTTATAAAACATACATGCAAAATAAGATAGAATCATCATTGGGATTGAATACGATTACCTTGCATCCGCTACCGAAGATAGGGGAATCAATGGGATTTTATAGAACTTGTCGAAATGGCTGAGCTCAAGTGCCTTGGGACATGTGCTTTCTTTGAATCACACGAAACTAGTGACGCGTTTCCTGTGCTTAACTTTGAAAACAAAAAATATCGAACTTGATCCCATCCCCCTAAAATTTCACTATCCTCATGGGTCCTCAAGATGAATAGATCCATTTTTGCTGTTCCATCACGGGTAGCTGAGCGCTGAACGATGCATCTGACAGTGCTTGACCTGGGAAGCCAGGTCAAAAGAGTGGTGGAAATCTCATGAGTAAACCATGGTCTCCGTGAAGGTATTCCATCGTGTTGAGTTTTCAGGGTGTCTTTAGAAACAATGCGGTTCCAAAAAAGGGAAGGGCCGCTGAGCAACCCTGTCCATCGTCTCACGTGGAGAATTCCCATCGACGAATTGGATGTATCATCTTCTGCACGTTCCACTGAACACCCTGTAACTGTCCAAAAAGATATTGACTTGAGTCAAATCCGAATCTAGGAAATCTAAGATCATGATAAATCACATTTTTTAACAGATCTGGTTGGTGGTTTGGAACATGAATTTTATTTTTCCATATATTGGGAATGTCATCATCCCAACTGACTGACTCATATTTTTCCAGAGGGGTAGGCTCAACCACCAACCAGATTATTATTAACCATCATTAACCATCTAATAACCATATATTAACCATATATTAACCATTATTATACCACCAACCAGAGATATTTACCAAAAAAAAGATCGATTTCTGCTGAACTCCCATGGGGACCCGTAAGGCCATTGCCACCTGCAGAGCGCTCAGCTTCTGGGCAGCAAAGCAGCGAAACATGGTCTGGGACCACCAGTCATGTTGTTTTATGAGCCATATTATATATATATACACATTATGATATACATTACAATCATATATATATATATTTCTGTGTATATTATAATGTGTATATATATATATTGTGTATATATATACTATATTACTATTTTATATATATATGTATATATATATATGTGTGTGTAACCCATATAATCCCATATATAAGTGGGGATATTCCATATATATAAGTGGAAGTATAACCTATTTACTAAGCGGGATGCACCCCTAAGCAGTCATATTTGTTGGTGTATAAGCCCTATGAGTACTACAATCATATCGCTTATATCCCCCAAAACCCCTGGTTCGCCAAGTTATCTGTAGCCACTTCGCTATTGTTTGGGGCCCCCACCTCGTAAACCCGAGAGAATTTGATGTGTAAACCCATGATTTTACGAAACATCTTCAGAGAAAGCCAAATCGCAGATGGGGGATTTCTGGAAAGGTCCTACAGCCCAAATTCTCTGAGGATATTCACCAGAAATAACTGAAATTAGGATTTAGTCAACAAAATGTTGTTTTGTTTGAAATGGAAAGCCTTTGGCAAATCCAACCTTCTAATCTTATATTTGCTGGAAAAATCTCTACTTCTGGATGATTTACCTATTGAAAACGGAGATCTCCCACAGCCAGATTCGCCAGAGGGTGCCACGATACAACTGGTGGATCTTGAATATCAGGTTGCCGCTTTGATATCATATGTATATATTCATATGTAATGTTGGTAAAACAATAATAAACCATCCCCCAAATCACCACTTTTATAGGTGGTATGGCGGTTTGATATCATATATAGTGGCTTTAATTGAAGTCACCCTGGGATAATGATCCCCACTAAAAGATTTTGGTGCTTCAGGAGGGAAAAAAAAAGCAGGTCTCTTTGGCGCCGTTTCTATGAGCCCATGAGGAATGGCAAGGGACAAGGGGATTGCATTCCCCTATTGTTGGCCCATATGTAGCTGTTTCAATCCAGCACACCTTCAATCGCACACTCAATTGCAAGGCGCGCAAGGCGTTTTCATGGTGGGAAGCTCTGGATTCTGAACACTGCGATCCTTGCAGGCTGCCTTTCATGCCCTCCGAAATTCAGGTACTGCTACATTCAGATGGCGTGGCATCTTGGTTATTGACATTGTTCATCCAGACCAAGACCAATGTGCTGATCTGTTGCGTTTTCAAGGCCTGGCATTGAAGAGTTGGAGCTCTGCACTTGGACCCACATATATACATCTGGTTGGTGGTTTGGAACATGTTTTGTTTTCCCATATATTGGGAATGTCATCATCCCAACTGACGAACTCATATTTTTCAGAGGGGTAGGCTCAACCACCAACCAGATGAACAGGCAGCCGGATAGACTCTTGACGCGGAAGCCGCTGATGGACAAGCCACACAGGTACAGAAATCGGTCAAATTCTGCTGGTTTTTGCCGGGTACCCTCCGGTAAACTAACATAGCTGTTGAAAATCACAATTTTTAGTGGATTTTACCCACTAAAAATTGTGATTTTCAACAGCTATGTTTGTTTACCAGAGGGTATCTAAGATTGAGCCAAGCATCTGAGAAACCCAGATTCGCCAAAAGAAGATGGAATTGACGGAATTGCTATGGGCAAATTTGATATCAAGTGAGCTGATAGAGCCTTGGATTTTGGGGGAAATGTTGAGAGAATATGTTTATCATGGTAAAATCCATGAAACATCCTACCACATTTTCAGACAAACCCAATTGTTGGTTATTTGGGTAAACTTCGGACGGCGAAACAGACACAGATTGGAATTTACCCTCCAGTAATCTAACATAGATGTGAAAAACCCACCATTTGTAGATGAGTTTCCAAAGGGTTTTCCATTAAATCAAATTTCCATTTGTATAATCCATATAGATTCCCATTAAATCACCATAAAATCACCATGAAATCCCGATTTTTCTAGATCAACTGATCCCATCCAGCAAAGTCGTCTGCTTCCAAGGCTTAAAAGGTCCATCGTCACTTTGTCCATCTCCATGGCTGGCTCCGGTGCGCCTTGTATCGCCGGAAGCGGAGGGCTGGACAACGGCCAGTGGGTCATAACGGTGTGTGTGTGTGTGTGCATGATTGTGCAAGGTAGTTGCACACATCTTTAGATCTATCTATCTATCTATCTATCTGTCTATCTATCTATCTATCTGTCTGTCTATCTATCTATCTAGCTATCTCTATCTATATCTATCTATATCTATCTCTATCTATCTATATCTATCTCTATCTATCTCTATCTATCTATATCTATCTATATCTATCTATTTCTATCTATATCTATCTATATCTATCTATATCTATCTGTATCTATCTATATCTATCTATATCTATCTATATCTTTCTGTATCTATCTATATCTATCTATATCTATCTATATCTATCTATATCTATCTATTTCTATCTATACCTATCTATATCTATCTATATCTATCTATATCGATCTATATTTTTCTGTATCTATCTATATCTATCGATATCTTTATATATATATCTAACTATATCTATCTATATCTATCTATCTCTAACTATATCTATCTATATCTATCTATCTCTATCTATCTCTATCTATCTCTATCTATCTATATCTATCTATATCTATCTATATCTATCTTTATCTATCTATATCTATCTATATCTATCGATATCTATCTATATCTATCTATATCTATCTATATCTTTCTATATCTATCTATATCTATCTATATCTATCTGTATCTATCTATATCTATCTATATCTATCGATATCTTTCTATATCTAACTATATCTATCTATATCTATCTATATCTATCTATATCTATCTATATCTATCTATATCTATCTCTATCTATCTATCTATCTATCTATCTACCTATCTATCTATCTATCTATCTATCTATCTATCTATCTCTGTCTATCTAGATATTATAGGTATTGTAGATATTATAGGTATTGTAGATATTATACATATTGTAGATATTATAGATATTATAGATATTATTTTGACCTGGCTGCCATTGCTCAGGTTTGACAAAGGACCAGAAAGCAGAGCTGGCCATGGAAGGGCGAACTGAGTCTGTGTTTTCTGGCGCAAGGCTGCCCCCAGCTTTCTTCAATGACATGATGACCAGCTTCAACATCAGTTCGGTGGCGGATATGACTCCAGGTCAGGGGCCTTTGTTGCAGACATGCTTGGATCTGCGGGTCCCGGCTCTGGCCATTTGCCTTTCGGACACCCACTGCGAGCAACTGGAGGAACGCCTCACAACATATTGTTTGCAAAAATTCGTGGACCCCTCCCACACTTTGCACCGCCTAGATATTATAGATATTATAGATATTAGAAATATTATAGATATTATAGATATTTTAGATATTATAGATATTTTAGATATTATAGATGTTTTAGATATTATAGATATTGTAAATATTTTAGATATTATATATTTTTTAGATATTATAGATATTTTAGATATTATAGATATTTTAGATATTATATATATTTTAGATATTATAGATATTGTAGATATTATAAATAGATATTGTAATCATGCATATATATATAATTGTTTTATTTATTTATTTATGTATTTATTTATGTATTTTTATTTGTTTATTTATTTAATAGATATATATATATATAGTTATTTATAGCTATTTTTTGAATTATATTTCATGATATATTTAATTATATATATATATGATGCCTTCCTTTATTTATATAAATGTATTCATTATATGAGGGAGAGAGGGCAAAAAACAAGACATGCATGTACATCACGTCACGTTACATTACCGTACATACAGGGAACATAATGATATCTATGCACGTACAATCGTGAAGGCAAAAGTCGCTGCTAAATCTGAAAAACTGGGTGATGAGAAAGAATGACTTGGCAAATGATATCAATCATCAAGTGGCAGGGGTTTTTGAACACATATCATATCGTCGGTTATATCCAATTGTATCCCCATGATAATATGCCGCACGGTTGGTTTTGTAGATTTTTGTAGCCCAAAGCCCAAGTTGTGCTTGGCAACTGCTCAAACGCTCCAAACCATTCTTTCAAGATGTCTAGTTGATGCAAGAAACTCAACTCGATCGACTGGGAAAAAGTTACAAAAGTTACAAATCTCTACAAATCTCTACAAATCTGCCAGAGCAAGGGCTGTGAATACCCCAAAAAGATCCAAAAAGCACGCAAAACACCTGTGGTGCGCATCCTTTACTGGTTGAAGCTGCTAAAGTGAATCATCCCAATTAATCATCCCAATAATTTAACTATTTATAATATATTTCCATGATAATTATAGTTGTAAAAAATATCATGTAAATAGTTGTGATAACCATAGATGTCCTTTTCCCACTGGTTGGTTGATTAATGGAGGGGTTAGAACAAACCCCTTTAACAACAGGTTTGTTTGATGATAGATGGGATTAACCAGCTCCCGGACCCTCTATATTTACCAAAAGGACATTATTGTGGGGCCCCCCATTTTCTCACTGTTGATATAACTATAGATAACTATAGATAAACTATGGTTAATGGGGTTTATAAACCAACTTATAACTAGGGGGCCCCATCCTGTAAATAGTTATGATAACTTTATAGACTCTTCTCATGCTCAAAAAAGCCAGCAGGCAGCGGGATGACGGATGAGCTGGATGAGCTCTGTCAAGTGCCGCAGGTTCGCAGCCGATTTCATGGGACTGAAACCACTACGAATCGTGATGGATAATGGGATTTATCCATTAGTGGTTAATGATGGTTAATAGTTGATAGCGGTTAATCATGGGAGAGTACTGGTTGAGAAGGGGATTCATATGGATATATCCTCTGGTCATTCAACAGTTTGCTATGGTAAAGATGGTACATATAGATGATGTACCCATGCAAAATGGTGATATTCAATGGCCATGTTTCATTACCAGATGGCACAATTGGTGACTATTTATTAACGAAACATTGAGGATAGAATGGAGATGAATGGAGAATATCAACAACAATATGGAGACTTAATGATGATATCATGGGAATATCATGAAACATTGGAATTTGCCTTCTGGCCATTTAACAGTTTGCGAAAATGAACCATTTAGTTTGATGATTTATGATGATTTATGTATTAAGAATTGTGATGTTCCATAGCTACTTTAAATAACCAGAGGGCATTAATGACCCGCTTGAACCAGAATAGCTCACAATAATCATGTTAACCTCATCAGAATGCTAATATTCATTATCATCAAGAGCTAATGATTATCTATAATAACCCAGTTGAACTAGAATAACCCACAGATTCACATGGAAGACTGCCAATCGACCCAGTTGATTATTATGATATGATAAAATCATCAGTTCATGATTGGTTCTTGACCACCCATGAAACGGTTATGATCCAGACATCCATTGGTTCATTGGCAAATAGGGATTATATAATAACAATCAGGGGTTGGTAAATGTCCCATTTTGGGTATATAAAGGACATCACCTGAAATAATAGCCATCTAGTAGACCAGAAATACCATTCATGGTTGGGTGATGTGACCCATGGGGACATGACTAATGACCCATGACAATTGCCCTCCTGTTGCCTAACATAGATGTGCAAATTTGTAGATCATTTTCCTTGGCTTTCTCGATAGGTTTTCCACATTTTTTTGTATGTTTACCCTAGGGTATGCTCCATCGCAGTTCCAGGGTTGAAACCGGTGAGGTTGCAGGATGTTCCACCTTGGCAATGGTCATTGTTTCATTTCAACTTTAACGTGATTTTCACACCCAATGCCATACACAAAAACAACCATTTGAAGATTTTAAAGAAATAGCAAGAAATACCACTCTTACTATCATGGCAAAGCCTTGTGGATAGTTGTTGGATTGGCAGAATACCACATTTCTGGGGTTTCCCCAAGATGTTTTTGAAACCGGATTGGACGGGATGATCGAGACAAAACGATTGGATGGCTGTTGTTTGAATGTTACCCCTCTGCAAAACGATCAGCAATGATTTCATTGAAATCCCCCTGAAAAAAGGATGAGTTGAAAAAGTGAAAAAAAGTGAAAAAAGTGAAAATTGAAATAGAGATTTCCCAGCCATGTTTGTAGCAAAAAGCTCAGCGCAGAAGAGGGGATGCTTGGACTCTTGAACTTGCTGAGGATGCAGTGCAACAACCCTCCCTATGTTGTCGGGATTCAATCAATTTAATGGGAAGTCAACTGGAAAAATATAGAAAAAGAGTGTTTGTATTATTGTGACTCCCCATGTTCTCATGTTTTTCTCTCAAATCTTTGTGTATAACTGTCTAACCATAAAAACCTATAAAAATTCGTGTGATTTGTATCACCAGCGGCCCCACAATACCCAGCTTGGAGGGTTTTTTGTTGAATCCTCATGATTAGTTTACCACCCTGTGGTACACGTTTACATTTTGCGAACGGGACAATCACCATTTTTTGTAGGTAAATGAATCAACTATGTCATATTTCTATAGTTATTTTCAATAGTTGATTTACCTATAAATAGTGGAGACAATTAATTAAGGTTATTACCCAGAGGACAATTGGTTAACTATTGAAAATATTTATAGTAATTACCCTCTGGATTGCTATTTTTCCAATCCCAAGTGGGCAATAGTCTGAATCGCCGCTCGAAGTTTTGGTGGTGACACAGCTAAGATTCATAAATATGCTTACCTGGGAGTAATTAACGATTTAAAAAAAATGATTCAAAGTTGTTTGAGTTGTATCAAGTTATATCAAGTTATAATTTTCTCTGAATTAAATCATTGTAGCCAAAAATAAGGGCCCCTTGCACAAATATTAGGTCATTATTAGATCATATTAAATTAGGCCCCAATTTCTTGGGTTCAACAATATGGTGACCCTCAGTCATACGCTCGTTTCAAATCCCTGTTAGCTATAGATATATTTTATATATGCAATAAATCCAATTGTTTACCTATTGAACCAAAGCAACTTAGCTAATGACACCACCTGTATGTGCCATGGTCTAGGTGTATGGCATGAGGTATGAGAAATTGATGGGATGACCAGCATTATGCCATGATATCCCCTGTCATATGTTTCATTGTAGAACATTTACAGGGAAAACAAAAACACTGGTTGGTGGTTTGGAACATTAATTTTATTTTTCCATATATTGGGAATTTCATCATCCCAACTGACTGACTCATATTTTTTAGAGGGGTAGGTATACCACGGCAATCCAGTGATTGTCTATCCCCTGCGGCCCTGCATCGGCACAGGTCTTGGCCAACGGTGCAGGCCATGTCTTGGTGCCGTTACGGCACCCATTGGCGCGGCTGCTGACAGGTTTCCAGCAGGCACAGATGGTGCAATTCAACACCCTGCAACTTGGCGGAAGAGTGTGGCTGGTTGGTTTTAGAATTCGTGGATTGGGGGGTTGAATTGTGGATCTCTTTACAGATTGGCTTCTGCTAACCATGATTTTGATCTGTTGAATTCTGGGGAAATTATGATGACCCTCTGGTAATCAGCTCCATGGCAACGGGAAATTCACCATTTGCTGTCCCATTAAAACATCCCATCTGCAGAGGATTTTCCAGCTAGGTTTGTTTGAATTCCCAGAGGGTGGGTTGGAACCCTCTCACAGTGCTGTGTTACCACATGTTTCCACCAAGGAGTAGAGGGGGGGCCGGGAAAGGGCCACTGCTTGTCTGAGGCTCTTTTTTTCCGGCAGTTTGGGTGTGTCTGACAATAGGGTATACCCCGAATTCTGGTTGTAGGGAACATGATGGTACTATTTCTGGATTTTGAGGCACCCTATTTTCAGACATTTATGTCTTTGGCAGGATGAATCTCTGTGTTTTTGTATGTCGTGGTCCCGATTTTCTTGGGATTCACCCAGCCTTCATCATGGGGCCTATCCAGAAATCTCCCCCTCAGCCGAAGTCGAGCGAATGTTGATTGCTTTTTGTGGGGCTAATAGAGGATATGACATAACCAGCGAAAGATTTATACTGCAGATAATAATAAGCATGACGATATAATTATGATTATCCAATAATCATGATTAGATGATCTTTATCAAAAACTAAAGCCCAAAACAGATTGGGAAAGCAGCAACAAAACTGTGGATGTGACCACTGTTTACCAACCGATTCGATCCAACTCTGCATTCCGAAGGAACCAATTCCTCGACTCGCTCCGCAACAGTTCCATGGCACCTCAAAGCGAGGTTTTCTCGGTGGGAGGGGGACGGGATTATGTCACCAACTGGGAAAAAATGCATATCAGTGTGTAATAAAGAAATGAATGTCATAATCTTCATATGCCTTTAAATCACATTATGGCCAATATATCACGATGTGATATGCCAGATGTCATATAAAGAAAATTCATACCAATATCAGTATGTATGATGTAATGATATGTAATGTATTGAGCAATAAAGATCTGGATGAATATTGGCCAACAAAGCTGGGAAGGTACATCGACAAACCGATCCACAACTTGGGTCTACAACGGAAGCAGAAAGCACCTGTTTGGGGTATCCACAAACACAGAAATTGTAGCGACTTGCCAGCAATCTCGCAGCGACCCCTAATTCCAACCAGTGACGCGCAAAGAGGCTAAGAGGAAGCATCTACTTGCGGGCTTGGGATAATGAATGGGTGTAATTATGGTAATATACACCTCTATTAATTATGGTAATTACCTCTATTATAATACCCATATTGTGGTAATATAAGCTGTGTAATAATTATGGTATGTTATACCCATTATTACCTTAATGAATGCGGGGTTGGGTAATAACCTCTATAAGTTGGGATTTTTGACCCCTCCAACTATGAATCATTTTTCACCCATGGTTCCACAACAGCCCCAAGGTGCCACATCCTTCGGATTGCCACCATGTGCCACGCCCCAAGGTTCAGAGGAGAAGCACCAGCTGGCCTTGGATTTGGCATACCGTCCCGGTCGCGCCAACTTTTTGTTACCACTGCAGTTCTACTTGGGAGAGCCTCGGACGTCCGAGGGGATCGTGGTGATGCCAATAGGTATCTTGTATGTAATATCTCTTTAAGTTTGCTTGGATCTCAGGGTTGGGCCCCAACAAATTTGGCTTTCTTACTGGAAATAACTTTGATGGGATTTTCCAAAACGCCAACTTTGGACAGGTTCTCCAGGGTTACCCTCCGGTCATCTGACGGAAGCATCCTCGCTGAATATCCATCTCTACATGACAAAAAAAACAGGGATTTCCCAGCGTTTTTTTTCCAGCAGACCCAGCTCCCAAAAATCCAGCTGGACTTTGAGAGACTCCGTGATTTCAAGATTTGCAGCAACCTGGTTGATCTGGTTGGTGGTTTGGAACATTCTTTATTTTCCATATATTGGGAATTTCATCATCCCAACTGACGAACTCCATCATTTTTCAGAGGGGTAGGTATACCACCAACCAGTGGTTGATCTGGTTGGAACCCAACAAATTTAAGTAGATCAAGCCTTCCGCCCCATATCGCTCTGGATTGGTCGCAGGGAGAATCGGAACCGGAAACCATGGTCTCGATCCCATGAAATTCTGTAGATCAAATCCATCTTTTTGCTGCTGAAAAAAGCCCGTGAAGTCGCAACCCATCTCACAAAAAATGTTGACCATGATATACCCATCAATTCGAAATAGCAGATTATTGTAGATTAGTAGATTCTGGCTGTAAACGTTGCAGAGTCGTCATCTGGGTAAATTTCATCATGACCTCACCGTGACAATTCACCCTGGAATCATGGTGAATATATCATAGTGCATCATCCCCACCGTGGCATCCTCGCGACGAGTTCCATACTGGTTTCGCGGGGATCCTCCAGTGATGTGGATTAACTTGCCAGGGAACCTCACAGTTGCAGGGGCAAAAAAAGCAGCTCCTTTGCTACCCAGCCATTGTCATTCTGGAAAGGTTAAGGCACTGTATGTGCACGGTCATCACAGTTGGACGACAGGATTGGTCTCCAGACCGAGCTTTCCGCAACAGGGTTTACTTGCTGAAATTGTGGGCGATACCTTTCTTCCTGTCACAGTAACTTGCAGGGAATGATGGACATTGAAGTGGATGATACTTTGGAGCAGTGGGAGCATGATATGATTCCTGGTTGGTGGCGTGGAACATGTTTTTATTTTTCCATATATTGGGAGTTTCATCATCCCAACTGACGAACTCCATCATTTTTCAGAGGGGTAGGTATACCACCAACCAGTCAGAATTTACCTAGATCATTGTCAGAATGATTGCGGTCTTGTCTAAATTACGAGATCCAGGTACCGACACCCCATGATGTAAAGATATCCCACTTAATATCCAATTATATCTACGTTCCCATGGTATTCAAATATATATATATGTGGATACCATTGTATCTTAAACACTTTGTTTAAATATCCATTGTATCTTAAACCACTTGGTTTTCCCATGGAAATAAAGAGCCTATTGTTTAAATATTCATTATATATCATCCGTCATACTATATCCATTATATCATACTATATCATACTATATCACACTATATCATACTATATCATACTATATCATACTACATCATACTATATCATACTATATCACACTATATCATACTATATCACACTATATCATACTACATCATACTATATCATAATATATCACACTATATCATACTATATCATACTATATCATACTACATCATACTATATCATACTACATCATACTATATCATAATATATCACACTATATCATACTATATCATACTATATCATACTACATCATACTATATCATACTATATCACACTATATCATACTACATATATCATACTATATCATACTACATCATACTATATCACACTATATCATACTATATCATACTATATCATACTACATCATACTACATCATACTATATCATACTATATCATACTATATCATACTATATCATACTACATCATACTACATCATACTATATCACACTATATCATACTATATCATACTATATCATACTACATCATACTACATCATACTATATCACACTATATCATACTATATCATACTATATCATACTACATCATACTATATCATACTATATCATACTATATCATACTATATCATACTATATCATACTATATCATACTACATCATACTATATCATACTATATCATACTATATCATACTATATCATCATACTATATCACACTATATCATACTATATCATACTATATCATACTACATCATACTATATCATACTATATCATACTATATCATACTATATCATACTATATCATACTATATCATACTACATCATACTATATCATACTATATCATACTATATCATACTACATCATACTATATCACACTATATCATACTATATCATACTATATCATACTACATCATACTATATCATACTATATCATACTATATCATACTATATCATACTACATCATACTATATCATACTATATCATACTATATCATACTATATCATACTACATCATACTACATCATACTATATCACACTATATCATACTATATCATACTATATCATACTACATCATACTACATCATACTATATCACACTATATCATACTATATCATACTATATCATACTACATCATACTATATCTAAATTCCCATTGTAATCAAAATATAATCCCATTGTTTACCATCCATGATCTCCAAGTGATGGATCACCTCGAGGACAGTGTTCCATCATCGGTGCGGCAACGCCGCGTGGTGAGTTTCATCTGCAGATGTCGGATGGAAGAGGAGTTGAAACGGATCAGTCGCTTTGCGGTAAACCAAAATGTGGGTCCTAGAATAGGGGAACCTTCAGATCATCCAAAATTAGAGCTCCCGGTCATATTAGTTGATTTCCATATATATATACACATTGGTTTTTTTGTTTAAAATCAAAAATTGTATTCGATTGGTTTTGTGGATCCCCCATTTTAAGAAACCATCCAAATGGTTCGCCATCGAAAAATGGAGGATTTGACCAGCAATAAACTGGGATATGTTTTTTTGTCATCCCCCAATAATTGTCATGGTGATGAATGGTCATTAATGGTGATCTGGCCCTCTACCAGGCAGAAAGACCAGGTAGATGGTTTTTGCCATAGAAATTCATAGGTAACTGGTCATTAATGGTGATTGAATGGTGATTTAATGGGTTTTAATGAGATTTAATGGTGATTGATGGTGATTTACCCTCTGGTAAACTAACATAGCGAACTGGAAAATTACCATCTGTAGTAGGGAAATCAGATATAAATGGGCCATTTTCAATAGCTACGAGCTATGTTAAATTACCAGAGGGTAAATCATGTATTGTAATCGCGATGTAAATAATGTAGTGTATAAAGTTTCCTACTTTCATTTCAATATAAGTTTCCTACTCTCATTTCTATCCATATAATCTCCCGCTCTTGGCCTTAACGACATCAAACACCTGTTTAAGCAGACGTGGTGGGCTTTCGCATGGTGCTGATTTTGGACGATCTTGATTTTGACATGAGGATTTACCAGAATTATATCATATTACAATATTTTATACTTAGAGTTTCTTACGATTCTGAACCAAGATATTGTTTCATTTGTGGGTGAAAACCCGTTTTTTGTGAATCATTGTGGAAACTGGGTTTCTTCCCACGAGCGCGGCCACAGAGGTCAAAGTTTACACGTCGATGTGGACTTCTCAGGCGCTTGCCGCGGCACCGCCATTCGAATGGCACTGAAATGCATTCACGAAATATGGGGATAAATAATGGTTAATAATGGTTATCCATGGTTAATTATTGTTATTTACCACATGATTAACCATTATTATGGTTATTCCAATTGTGAATAATAATGGTTAATCATCTGGTAAACTAACAGTTTGCTATTGAAAATGGCCATTTGTAGTGGATTTATCCATAAAAAATGGTGGATCTTTTCATAGTTACGTTAGTTTACCAGAGGGTAATCATGTGGTAAACCATGGTTAATGAAAAATGGTCAATTCTGACTATTCTGACTAATATTGTCTATGCTTAATGATGATCAATTGTGACTAATGGTGATGAATTATGGTCAATGAATGTGGTAAACCATGGCAAAGCCAATGCCATAAACCATCCAAAATTGGAGGTTTACTATTAGTTATACCCCTATTTGAGATGATGCTTTGCCGAGTCAGAACCTACAACTATATTTGGGGCGGGTGAGCATTGATGTACCAACTATGTTGGTGTGAACAAAAGGTTACGTGCCCAGGCTTTTTAATCAGAATGTACTGAAATCACTCTTGAACGAAGGATCCATTAACATAAGAAAGTCAACAGGGAAGCTACCATTGATTTTCCGTAGAAGGCACTTGATGGAAGATCTTTGGATATGTCCCGTGTTGGTACCCTAGATTACTTGGGGCTGCGGGCCCCAGGCCTTTCGTAAATGGGTCAAAAAAAACAGTTGGATTTCATGGAATATTTCCACTTATATATTCAATACACAAACTTTGTGTATGATTAATAAAAACCACTTGCGATTCGTGGGGCCCGCACATCCAAGTAGCCAGATTCTTTTGGTTGATCACAGGATGTATGTCGCCATGTAAGGGCAGCAGGTTGCCCCGTTTGAGGTGGCTCAAGTCCATGTTCAGTACTTCACATACCTTAAAGCCATATCCCATAGGATCCATGGTGCTGCTATATATGGTAACATTTATATCCCATCAATAAAAAAAAAGCATTGATGTTAGCATATATACCAGCACCATGGAGGCTATGGGATTTTCCATGGGGAACCCCGAAAGTCACCATGGTTGTTTCAATACTAATTCATGGTCTAGTTTGGATTTGGGGGTACCCTCATGGATTGGAAACCTTCATATGGTATTTATCACGAGTTACCCTCTTGTGATTTAACAATGCTATTCAAAATCACAATTGTTAATAGGTAAATCAGTAAATCATCTACAAATCTACACATGGATCAAAATGGGCCATTTTGATTCAATTACCGGAAGATATAACCATATTAATTCCATTATCAACCACTATTATCCCATTGTTAACCACTATTAACCATCATTAGCCACTAGTAACCATCCGTGGTTTGGAAACACTACTAAATGGCATTGACCACTATTAATGGATATTAACTCTCATTATTAATATTACTAAGAAGGTATATCCATTGATAGTGAACCATTTTTTCTGAATCACACTTATTAATATCCATAGCTCTTCTTATGTCAATCTTAACACACCTTTAGCCAAAACCGCCAAATTTTCCATAATATAATGGGATAATCCTTCCCATTTGACTTTCATATTTTTCAAGATGGTTAAAACCACCAACCAGATCATTATTCACCACCATTCTAAAATGCTATCCCTAATCGCTCGCTCGCAAACGCTCTTCGACGCACAACCGATCTCACACTGGACCAGGTCTAGAGGTATCATTATGTTAATCTTAATTTTTAGCAAAACCACCATAGTTTACCATTATCTTTATCACATCATAACTGCTTGGTGGTTGGGAACATTTTTATTTTTCCATATATTGGGAATAATAATCCCAACTGACGAACTCATATTTTTCAGAGGGGTAGGTATACCACCAACCAGATAATATCAGTAGTAAATCATACCAGGATATTAGCAAAACCACCATAATTCCATTACCACTGGAGGTCTTGAGAAGCCTGAGCCGGATGACGCCATGCTGTATGACGCGATGCTGCCAGGCTCCTCGTGGCTTGGCTCTTCGGGTGTCGTGTCGTGTCCCGCCGCTTGAGGCCTGGCTCTTCAGCATCAAACATTTTTTGGGAGTTCATGGTGATTTCATAGGACTGAAGCAACAAAAATGGTGGTTTAATGGGGTTTAATGGTGATTTAACCACTATAAATGGGATTTAATGTGAGCCCCAAAAAAAATAGATAGCGAGTTATCCAGAATGGAGTTGATTATACATCCCATCGTATCCCCATTATACCATATACCATTGTTTTGGTTGGTTACAATCCATTGATAATCAGTTGGGCCTGAGGCCTGATGGAGTCAGCTTTCCGTTTCAAAACACCAACGGTTGGTTCCTTTCAAGTCGTTCAATTCCCTATTTGGGTATGGATCAATACCTATTAATACCATTTTTAGGGGGATGAACATCCATTTACCAGCTATTTTGATGTTCACCAGGGGGATAGGGTTTTGACACACTGCCATTTGTTGAATTGGTGGTTTCAAAGCACCAATCCATTGCGACTACTCCAGCCGATGCCAGAAACATGTTCTGCTTGGTGGTTTGGAACATGTTTTTGTTCCATACATTGGGAATATCATAATCCCAACTGACGAACTCATATTTTTCAGAGGGGTAGGTCAACCACCAACCAGTGTTCTTGAAAACGATGAGGTTTCAACTGTAACTGGCAACACATGTGGATGGTGGGTTTGACCTTGATTCCCATAGGGAATCATGTTACCACCACTTAAGTTGGGTAAATCATCATGTTTATCATCCATAAATGTCTTATTTTCCATAGCTACAACATGAATTTGAATCATGTCCAAAAAAAATGCTACGGAAGCTGGAAGAACTCAGAACTCACTGTGGACTCAACAGGATGGTCAGTGAATGACGGAATTCCTTAGCCTCTGGTAATGGGAAATCCATGGTTAAATCCCCTACTTGGTGGTTCATCCCACTTACCAAGTAGGTTAATTCACCCCAGTTATAAGTGGATTAACCCTACTTATCCCACTAGCAAAACCAGGTATATAACCTACTTAGTAAGTGGGATGAGCCACCAAGTATAGATATCTACAGTCATGTGGCTTTGGGAAAATCATCCATCAATTGTGGAAGTGTCCATTGCCATCTTTGATTGCCTTAAATGGTAAGTATACGCACTTATACTTCAATAACTCACCACTGACCGGGTCCGCATGTTTTTGGTATTTTATGTTCCAACGTCCCCATATGGAGGTTTCCTAAAATAGGTGTATCCCCAGTTCTCATCCATTTATAGATGGATTTGCCTTGAAATAAATCATCCATAGAAAATGGTATACCCCCATGACCATGGAAACCCCCTAAGCTGCTTTGTCTATTTTTACCATAGTTATCTAGTTCGTTATATCTACCATAAACCATACGTATGTTGCCATAGTTATGTTTGTTGGTTTATAAACCATTCTAACCCCCATGAAATCATAGTTATATCTAGTTATATCTATCATAACCCCCGATGAAACCATACTCAACCCCATAAACACCCATTAACTATAGTTATATAAGTTATATCTACCATAGACATCCATGAAACCAACTGATTTCAACCAACTGAACGCTATCGCTCGACTGGGGGCCCCCAGAACCAGGTTATCCTCCAAGAACCGCGCCTGGTTCCTGGCAGAATATGCCGCTGATCTGGCCCTCTACCAGGACAGCAGAAAGACCCGAGATGACCGAGATGGTTTTTGCCATAGAAATTCATAGGTAACTGTTGAGTGGTTAGAAGAATGTAAAAAAACTACCTGGTCATTGAGGATTGTGAACTAACTTAGGGAAATCTATTTAAGAAAAAACGAGTAGAGGTAGTTGTAATGACTCATATTTGGTATAAGAATAGCCATCTATATAACTTATTTCATGATGTGAAAGAAGAAGCCTAGTTATTTCACATCTAGTCACAAAAGTAACTTCTTAAGCCAATGTTGATTGGTTATGAAATAAGAAGTGATACTACCTGGTGATTGGGGATTGTTTTAACCTAGGGAAACCTATCAACCAGTAGAGCTAGTTTTAATGCCTCAAGACTTGGCGATTTGAGCCAAAAAGATCCATCGGTGGGGTCGCCAACAGTTTTCATGGGGAATGTAGTGGGATGGTGGTTTTGTGGTTTTACCCAGATTTACCAGTAAATGTTGAAAAACATCCAAAAATGGAGGTTTTACCCAGATTTACCAGTAGAATATTGGTGACATCCTATGACGATACATCGGAATGGACCCAGCAAATTGCTAGTTCAATGGGATACTGATGGTTGGTGGTTTGGAACATGACTGGATTATGACTTTCCATTCAGTTGGGAATTTCATCATCCCAACTGACGAAGTCATATTTTTCAGGGGGGTAGGTCAGCCACCAACCAGGATACTGATGATTAATGAATGGATTTAGGGGTGCCCAATTTTCACACAAACCCACAGACTGATCGTTGGGATTTTTGTTCCAACAAAACATTGCTGTTCGAAAGGAGCTGAAATAAATGGAAACAGTATGTTGGGATGTATCTTTTTCAACCAGACATTTGAATAAGCCTTCGTAGCTTGACAATGCTTATCAACAACAGATCAACAGACAAACATCCATACATGCTGATTGCGTTGTAGAAGTCTGGAATTATGATGTTGCCCTGCTCTCGCCACCGTCACCTTTGCAACTCTTGCACATCTTTTGCTTTGTTGTATCCCGCAAAAAAAGGCTTCCACAACTTTCCCAGAATACTATCCCTGAACGTGGGCACTCCAAAACTTGCAGGGTTTTTTTTGTTTCCCCGTCTGTGCAAAATAATCAATAATTTCAACACCAGCGCATTTGCGCGATCCAGCCCGTGGGGGTAACTGGTAGTTGATAGTTGCGAGCTGAGAGTTGCCACTCTGAGGTGCAAGAAAAAGCGTGAACATTTTGCAGAGCCCCAGCCGGGCCACCCTTGAAGAAGATCTGAAATTGACTTCGGTGGTGCACATCGTAGACTTGAAGACGATGGTGCCTTCGACAGAAGCCATCCTGGCAGACAGGCCATGGCGCTTCTGCCCAAAGGCTTCGCCAAAGCGACTTCGGGACATCTTTCAAGCGATCTTTGGCGGACCAGCTGGCCAGCCAGGCATTTTCCGCACCAGTCATGCTGTGGTTGTTTTCGATGGCCGGTCGAAAGCAGCACACAAAGAGATCCATGGAATGCTCGGCAAAGTGCTGAAGCTGGTGCCTAAGGATGACGTCATGGCCAGGAAGACAGTCATGTACCGATATCACTATCACAACCGCCGCTCGGCATTGACTGGATATGTGCCGAACATGTTTAGCAGCACATGCCATACGCAGGAGCCCATGTACCCTATGACTATTTAACATAGCTATGGAAAATCACCATTCTTCAGAGGTAAATAGAAGTAAATCATCCATAAATGGTACATTTTCCATAGCTATGTTGAATAGTCAGAGGGTAAATGGATCTGTTGAGATGTGACGGGATTGAAAATATTGATAAATGTTTACAACCACTGAGAAAGTGGTACAAGGTGGTGCCCCCCAGTCAGAAATGGGTTATAATCCCATTAACTATAGATATATCACCTATAAACCATAGTTATTCGACTTATAAACCAACCTAGCTAACTATGGGGCACCACCCTGTATCAATCTATTGGGATGAGCATCATCCCTGTACCACCATGGATCTAGGTACCCTGTGTCATCAAGCATGGTTTGCTAGAGAATCCAGCATTTAGGTCGATGATTTCTCCAGGAAGAAAATCTATAAACCTCCATTTAGGCCATTTTCGGATGTTCAACATTTTTCTATATCTTCTGGTTGGTGGTTGATGGAAATTTAGTTCTATAAGTTCAATTTTCTATATCAATCTATTTTTCTATGTTTGATGAAACAAGAGGCTTTTATATCATCTGGTTGGTGGTGACTGGAACATGAATGGATTATGATTTGCCATTCAGTTGGGAATAATAACCCCAACTGACGAATATTTTTCAGAGGCGTTCAAACCACCAACCAGTCATGATTAATTTGCTGTTTTCGTTTGCTGTTTTATATCCATGGACACTTTTTTTTGTTGCCGGGCGAGTTGTTGGCCGAATGATCCCCATCCATCAGCCAAACTCCCAACCTGGTGTTGTGTTGGCGAGACACAAATTCCCCTTCCGAAAGTTTACTGTATGGTAGTCAAATTGCTGTATGGCAGCCAAACCTAACATGAAAACCTAACATGAAAAATTACTGTACGATTGGTAGTCATTTACCATACATCAAACCTCACATTGCAATTTTGCACTTCTTGCATGAATTTCTCCGATGTTTTTTGGCCACTGCTATGTTTGACTACCAGGATGGTTACCCGCTGGTAATTTGTCACATTTTACTATGCATAATCACAATTTGCGGAAACTGTAAATCATCCTAAATAGGCCATCTACCCTCCGGCAATCAAACGTGGCAATTGAAAATTTCCTGTAAATGAAGGTGTTAGTATGGATTTTACAAAATTACCAGACGGTTCTAAGTCTTAGCAGTTTTCAATTTTAGATGTTTGTGATTCTAAGTTCCACCTTGTCACTATATAAACAGCCGCGTTTGACTATTAAAATTCATGAAATTCTGCGCCATCCCCGCAGGAGCATTGCAGTGCCTGCAGTGATGCCAGGGACATCTAGATCACAGAGCACCCGGTGAAGAAAAAAGGTTCAGCCTCAGGTGAGCAGTGTTCAAAATCCCTCTATCATTCCATGAAATACTGGTTGGTTAAGAACGGGATTCCCCGTTCTTGGATTATCATAATCCCCAATAGATAAAGGGTCATCAACCAACAGGGGTTTTGAACACTGCTCAGGTTTTTTGGGGGTTCCAGAAAAATGCGTAACTACTTGAAGCTTAACAAGAATGGAAGTATAACAAGCAAGAAGACTTGGGTCTCAACAGGAATCTTACTTGGCCGAGTAAGCAGCCCTAGAAATGATGTTGAAGGTTGAGAAAGTATCAATTTGGACACTGATCATGTCACCATGTCAAATAGTTGTCCCATGACACGCACAATCTCAAAATTTGGGAAATGGGTGTTTCCATAAATGGGGGTACCCCTAAATCATCCATTGTCATAGGATTTTCCCTGAAATAAACCATCCGGTTAGGGGTTAGTATAAGGATGGTTAGATTTTATGGTTATATGATACCCATATACTGAAAAAATCATCAATTTGATATTACTTATCACTTATGGTCATTTTTTATACCCCAAATTTCCCTGAAATAAACCATCCGGCTATTGGGGTGCCATGACCATGGAAACCCCCACAGGTTCATCACTTTTGATGGCCATGTCAGCGAAGTACTGGGGATTTATCCATCAATCTGAGGATTTTCTGTGGATGTATATACAACTATATATATAGATATATAACATCATATAACTGGGGTGATTCCATATATATATATATAACCTTGTATATATATATATTTAATAAGTGTGTATATATATATATATAATATGTGTACATATATATATATATATATGTGTGTGTGTGTTTATCTAGGGATTTCCAGTAATCTAAGTGGCTTTTCCAAGCCTTGCTTGACCATCAAAACACCCTACGCCCATGATGCCATGGCCTGAGGGCATCTCGCCCAGCGTGGCACAGCGGAATTTGGAGAACCACTTTGGCAACCGGGAGTACATCCGTCCCTTGGTGGGTGCTGTCCGTTAAACGGATTCTGAACAATGACATCACGAAATCATGGGAATTGCGAATAGCTTGAATTTAAGTGAAAAAATGAGATTTTGTGCCAAACAATCAATGATCTTCGTTTTTTTTAATGTTTCGAAAGTGTGGTTCGGTTTTGGGCAATGGTCGGGAAGAGCATCGATTTCTACAAAGGTTGCCAAGGTCTTGGCAAATGCAGCACCTCACCTTTGTAGATCTCGGTTGAAGTCAGCGCCATGGTGCGATACCACAAACGCGGCAAGTTTTGCAAAGCATGCCATGATCATCATATATCATCATGATCCAGGTCAGCCAGTACAAATGGCGAATTCCATTTGTCACTTAGATACTTAGGAGGTGTCCTAAAATGCAAAAATACCCCCAGTTCTCATCCATTTATAGATGGATTATGATGGATTTTCCATTATAAACCAACCATTTTGGATACCGCCATTTTAGGAAACCTCCTGAAATCACCATTTTAAATAGGATTTTCCATGAAATCACCCCATCCATCCAGCGAGCTTGGGGTACCCGAGGTCTGCACGCCATGAATTTGGACTACGATGTGGTGGTCTACCTGGAACCTTGGGCGATGGAAACTACACGATTGGGATCTGGGTTCTTTTCTACGGTACTTCATGGGGATTCAATGAGAATTGACTGGAACTCAATGGAATTGAATGGAATTTAGATGGAATGAATTGAATTAATGACCATTGAATCTGGGGTATGTCATAGTGTCCTCACCGTGACCGAACCCTGGAATCATGGTGAATGTATAGGAGAATTAGCCGCACGAGTTGTGGTTAGTGAATGATTTTGTAATTTGCCCAGATCGGGATTAGCAGCTAGAAAACAGGGATACATAAAATCATATAAAATCAAGCAGAAACAGAGGATATTGGCCAATATCAACATTTTAGTGAGTTGGTAGCACATGATGTGATGAATGGTTGATGAATTGCTTGTTCGGCCAGTCTCTAGCTAAATGAGCATTAAATGATGGAGGTGCACCTATTTCAAAAGGCGGGTTCTCATGAGTGAAACGGAAGTCATGGTACTGATCGCTGGTTGGCAGCTTCAGAAACCACCAGACCAAGAACGCGGGGATTAGATGTCAAACATCGGATGTGGCAACCAAAAACAGTTGATTTTATGAACAATGATGGCTTCATCACCAACATAACTGCTGATTTCTGAGGCCCCACTTCTTTCAGATCTGACTGCTTTTGACTGCCCACTCAATGCTGCACTGAATGGTCCATGGTAAATTGCGGAAGCCAAACTTCTAGAGCTCGGGGTGTAGGAGGACTCACAAGTCACAAGTTTTGCATTTATTCTGCCATTTACATAAGTAAGCCTCCGACTGTTATGATGAACTATGGCATGTGTATTTGACTTGTTGGTAAGCCAAGTTGTAATCCATTATACTTACCCACAAGGTCGGGTCCCCCAGTTACAAAACTATAGCATGTGTATTTGACTTGTTGGTAAGCCAAGTTGTAATCCATTATACTTACCCACAAGGTTGGGTCCCAGTTACAAGTTGCTTTATAAACCCAAATTGACTATAGATATAGCTACCATGAACCAACTTAGCATAACTTAGCTAACATAGATCAGCTACATCAACTATAAATGCCCATGTTTTTGCTGGTTACATCACTATAAATCATTATAAATCCACATTTCTTGCAGATTTTTCTGGGTTCCTTTCCTTCGCCAACCATGGAAGATCCATCAGATCACCCCAGGACACGGACATGCGCATCGTTGGCGATCTGAATCCCATCTTCGAAGATGGCCACTTGGGCAGTGGCCGGGCCTTGCTTTCTGAATAGGAAAGACCTTAATAAAATGGTAGAGCAACCCAAAAAACATCAAAAAACCAGATAGAAAAGTAATTCGTGATTATTTTGGTATGATTTTACTATGCTTCACTTTTCCAGAAACTTTTCCATATATTTTGGGGGGAAATATATGTCCAGCAGCCCGACAAAGACCCACAAATTGGGATGGATCAAAACGGTTGAAATACCATAGCCGCTATAGCCATACCATCCATAAATCCCAGTTTTTTTTAATGTTTTTTTGGTGTGAACTACATGGGTACTCGGTTTTGACCCATAGCCTAGAGCCAAGTCCTGATTGTCAAGATGTTGGTACAAATATTTGTCAAACCATGGATTTGATGAAGTAATTCAAGTGTTTGTCAATGTTCAGGCCGCTGTTTGGAGGGCTTAGTTCAGATCCTCAGCATTGAGCATCGCCAGACATGGCAATCCTTGCTGTTCATCATGTGTTGCAGTGGACCTCTGGGATGACCAACTTGGTGTTTTCAAAGATATGTGGTATGAACTACACATATACAAGGTGGTGCCCCGGTTCGATAGCTAAGTTGGTGAACATAACTCCAATAACTATGGTTTTTGTTGGTGATATATCTATAGTTAATGTGATTATAAACCAACTTATAACTGGGGGGCACCACCTTGTAGGGCTACCCCAAAGTAGTGAACGGACACAAGAAGATATCATATGGAGGTTTCCTGAAATAGGGCTATCCCTAATTTTCAGAGGATTTTCCACTCATGTGGGTAAAACGATGCCATTTGCACACACCATCCCCCAGTCACCATGTTTTTCGGTGGTATCAACTTACCATTCCCAGAAAGTCATGGGTAGTTTATGACATTGTTTTACCCACATGAAAATGTCTTTCTCCGAAACCTGCGGATGATTGGCAGGGCACAACCAGATATTGTTGATATTGATGACCAGTATTGACCATGATTAACCAGCTGCTTGGTGGTTTGGAACAATCTGGTTTAATGGGATTAATGGGATATAATTGGGATATAATTCGGATATATCAATGGGATATATTCTGATTTAATGGGATAGGTTACCCCCAATTCCAATCTGGTTGGTGGTTTGGAACATGTTTTATGCTTCCATCATATTGGAAATTTCATCATCCCAACTGACGAACTCATTTTTTTCAGAGGGGTAGGTTGAAACCACCAACCAGCCAGTGTTAACCATTCTCAACATGCGTTTGTTTTGACAATGCTTTGGATGGACGCTTCTTCCATTCGAAATGGCTCGCAGTTGAAGATCAAATTCCCCCAGTAATCACAGCTGTTCATCCGTTTTAGCAGCAAAACGATGCCCAGCTTGGGAGGAATCCTCCACATCTGATGTTTCTCATTCTATAGCATCAAAAGTCCCATTCCTAGATTCCCATATGTCCCAAAAAGTTCCATATCATAATCCCAGATAGATATATATATATGTGTGTTCTTATCCTATATCATCCTATATCATTGCTATGTCTCATATATAGTAGCATAATATACCATATATGTAGTCCCATATTAGTATTGCATATTAATACTCCATTATATTACCATATGTATGTATATATATATGCATACATATATATATATATATATATACTGGTTGGTGGTTTGGAACATTTTTTATTTTTCCATATATTGGGAAGTTAATAATCCCATTTGACTTTCATATGTTTCAGAGGGGTGGCTCAACCACCAAGCAGTATATATTCCCATGTAATCCCATATCCCATATCCCATGATCCCACCACCCGAGGTGAAGAAGTCTTCCTGTCCACAGGCTGGGGCCGAGATTTCTTCATCACCTCTTAGGGGTATGTATCATAGCTGTTTGACCCTGTAGGGGCCCCGAAGTCCCCAAACTTATAATAGCAAGTGTCTGTAGTTTGTAACATTTAAAACGCCCAACAAAAGCTAAGTTATACTGTTTATAAATGTTTATAACTAGCTTAACTTATGATGTTTATAGTATGATTATAGCGATGTCGATAACTAGACAAACAAAACTCCACTCCTCAAGGGCTTCACCTTGTGGGACTCAAAGATATGTGTCAAGTCATATCCATTGTGTAAATATATATATATAATTGCTATTGGTATCATATTTTTTATTATATGATGTTTATTTATTATTATTATTTCTATTGTATTATGTTTATTTTTATTATTTCCATTATCATTATTTTTATTATTAATATATTATTACGGCAAGACCCGATTTGCCTGGACTCTCAACGAGCGTCCGGGCAAGCCAAGATGACGATGACGATGACGACGATCACGATGATGACGATGATGACGATGATGATGATGATGAAGAAGAAGATGATTTTGATATTTTCTTGAAACCCTATAGGAAACTCTAATGACTATGGTTAGTTGTTCCATGGGGCCGGGGGATTTTGATATCTTCTTGAGACCTATAAGAAACCCTAATGACTGTACGGTTAATTCCACATGATATGTCGAAACAACATGTTCTGGTTATATGATAATGATATGTAGAAGCAACGTGTTTTCGTTAACAGCCTAGCAACATAATTGAACATGAAATCCTTCCTGTTGGTTGACGTCGTACAGAATTTTCTGGTATTCCCTGGTATTTACACTATTCTGGGCTTGGGCAAACCTCGGGGTCTGTGTGTACTATTATGCATATATATATATATATATATTATTATTGTTTTTATTATTATTATTATCATCCCAAGCACGTGTCTTATTATTCTTATCATTATTCACATTGATATTGTCATTCTTGTCCACTGTGTATATATGTACGTATATATATATACATATTTGTCGTCTGTATATATATACACACCATTCTCAGTCCAAACATGTTTGTTCTTGAACTAAATGAGATTGATCATTACGCACAGAACCGGACGTTTGCCCAGACCCAAAGCAGCCTGTCGCACAAAATGATAGTGAATCCGTTGCCCTTCTACCAGAATTGTTTTACGGGGCAGATATAGATCCTTAACATACATTGTCTTGCAAAGTACATCCAGTATTTTACCCTCAAACTGATTCTCATTGAAATGCATTAAATTGATATTACATGTATATATATATACACATATGTTATATATGTATGCATTGTCTTCCCAAACATGTCATGGATAATGAGATGTGTCTATTATAATCCATGATTCCATGAATGTCTTTATCAAACAAGAAGGATTGATCGTTATTGATGTATTTTTTTACTATGAGCTTTGTAGTTTTGTTATCTTTATTGTTTCATGAAACTGTACCAATAAAGTAATCCAATGAAGTTGTGTTCATCCAATTAGTTTTGATTATATCAACCATCTATTTACACTGTACGCACAAGTGCTTCATCATTGAAACCTTATGATCCAAACTCCTCATCATAATTATTATCCCAAACAAATCATTAGTATGATCCAAATGTTAGAGACATTATTATCCAGACATATCATTGTTATCATCGCTGTTACTATCCATAATGATGGTGTCCATGGGTTTAATGATCAATCCATTATATGTGTATATATATATATATATACAAGTCATTATCGATGATCAATCAATCAACTTATCCAAACATTGACAGGCGAATCAATGATCATTAATAGATAATCAATGGATAATCAATATGATTATATGTATATTACATACCAATGGATAGCATATGATAATATCAAAACATCATTATTATCAAAATCGATCAGTATCAATGATCATTATTATCCAAAAAATGATAGACGGGATATCCATTTTTTAGTATGTAATTATTGACATTAATTGAAAATCATTATTATTGAACATTACTATCATTAGTCTGTATTATTTTTTCAATCCATACTATTGAACATTATGAGTATCAATTAGTGAAAATTAATATTACTAAATCATGAACATGTTTTAGTAATTATTGACATTAATTAAAAATCCATATTATTGAACATGACTACCCTCTGGTAAACTAACATAGCTATGGAACATCACCATGTTTAATGAGAAAATCCACTATTTCTATGGCCATTTTCAATAGCTATTTTGACATAACCAGAGGGTATATCCCATTAATATCCCATTGAATCACTATAAAATCCCATTAAACCACTATAAAATCCCATTAAACCACTATAAAATCCCATTAAACCACTATAAAATCCCACTAAACCACTATAAAATCCATATTAATGACATATCCTTATTGAAACTTCTCCATTTCGCCAGGCAGTGAGGTGGCACCCTTGGATGGCGGATTCTTCGCTGTGAAGCCCAGTGGATGCTCGGTTGGGAGCTTTCCGAAGTCAGATCCCAAAAATGCGTGTTTTGTTTCATGGAAAATCCTATGGAAAACCCTATGAAAAATGGAAAATCCTATGGAAAACCAATTGTTTCATGGAAAATCCTATGGAAAAAACCAGTCGTTGGTTGGTTTACCCTCTGGTTATGTCAAAATAGCTATTGAAAATGACCATAGAAATAGTGGATATACCCATTAAAAATGATGATTTTCCATAGTTATGTTAGTTTACCAGAGGGTATTCCATGGAAAACCCAAAAAACAATCCTATTACAATGGATGAGATAATGGATAATGGATAATGGTTCGTTTATAATGGAAATCCTATTGATAATGGATACTCCCCAACAGCTGGTTGGTGTATTTCATGGAAAATCTGAAGATAAAATGAATGATTTGGAGGAACCCTATTTTCAGACAACCCCAGGTACCAAAAAAAGGGAGGCCTGGGCACTTGGGAGTGCAGTTCCATAAGTGGCGAGAAATGAGCATATTATACCATATCTGGTTGGTGGTTCCCCACCTGCCAGGTGAGGGTTGTTAGATTTTATCAGAGCGCATGCCCGCCACTTCCTCCTCCTCCGCCTCCTCCTTCTCCTCCTCCTCGCCTCCGCCTCTTCCACCTCCACTTCCGCCTTGCCAACTTTACCAACTCGTCGCCAAGATCTTCGCCAACTTCCCAGCTCAGTGCGCACTGCTGGACCAACCGGGGACCTTCCCAGCTCAGTGCGCACTGCTGGACCAACCGGGGACCTTCCCAGCTCAGTGTGCACCGCTGGACCTCAACCTGCGAGCTGCCCAGCTCGGTGTGCACCGCTGGACCTCAACCGGGGACCTGCCCAGCTCAGTGTGCACCGCTGGACCTCAACCGGGGACCTGCCCAGCTCAGTGTGCACCGCTGGACTTCAACCGGGGACCTTCCCAGCTCAGTGTGCACCGCTGGACCTCAACCGGGGACCTGCCCAGCTCAGTGTGCACCGCTGGACCTCAACCGGGGACCTGCCCATCTCGTGGTGCACCGCTGGACCTCAACCGGGACCTGCCCCCGCTCAGTGTGCACCGCTGGACCTCAGCCCGGGACCTGCCCAGCTCAGTGTGCACCGCTTGGACCTCAACCGGGGACCTGCCCCGCTCAGTGTGCCCGCTGGAACCTCAAACCTGTGCACCGCTGCCCAGACCTCAACCACCGCTGGACCTCAACCGGGGACCTGCCCAGCTCAGTGTGCACCGCTGGACCTCAACCGGGGACCTTCCCAGCTCAGTGTGCACCGCTGAACCTCAACCTGGGACCTGCCCAGCTCGGTGTGCGCCGCTGGACCTCAACCTGGGACCTGCCCAGCTCAGTGTGCACCGCTGGACCTCAACCTGGGACCTGCCCAGCTCAGTGTGCACCGCTGGACCTCAACCGGCCAGGAGAATCCCCAGCTCAGTGTGCACCGCTGCCAGATGGAAACCTGTCAGATGCCGAACCTCAACCTGGGACCTGCCCAGCTCAGTGTGCACCGCTGGACCTCAACGGCCAGATAGAATGCCAGAAGATATGCCAGATGGAATGTCAGATAGAATGCCAGAAGATATGCCAGATAAAATGCCATGAGATATGCCAGATAGAATGCCAGAAGATATGCCAGATGGAATGTCAGATAGAATGCCAGAACATATGCCAGATAAAATGCCATGAGATATGCCAGATAGAATGCCAGAAGGTATGCCAGATAGAATGCCAGAACATTTGCCAGAAGATATGCCAGAAGATATGCCAGATAGAATGCCAGAAGATATGCCAGAAGATATGCCAGAAGATATGCCAGATAGAATGCCAGAACATATGTCAGAATATATGCCAGAAGATATGCCAGATAGAATGCCAGATAGAATGCCAGAAGATATGTCAGATAGAATGCCAGAAGATTTGCCAGATAGAATGCCAGAAGATTTGCCAGATAGAATGCCAGAAGATACGCCAGATAGAATGCCAGAAGATTTGCCAGATAGAATGCCAGAAGATATGCCAGATAGAGTGCCAGATAGAATGCCAGTAAGAAAATCTATAAATGTCATGGTGGGGATCACACGAAGTAAAGTAATTTGGAACATGTTTTTCCTATATATTGAGAATAATAATCCCAACTGACGAACTCATATGTTTCAGAGGGGTACGTTGAAACCACCAACCTGATAATATCATTAGTAAATCATACCAGGATATCAGCAAAACCACCATAGTTCCATTATCACTAATAAGTGGTAGGTTGAAACCACCAACCAGCTATCAATAAATGGGATGTTTACCACATATCAACTGGTGATTGGGGGTAGCCGATTTTCCCAGGCGGTACCCCAGTTGGTAGGTATACCACCACCCTGATATGATACCCCAGCTAAATATGAGATATCCCCAGTTAAAAAAACAGCTGGAGATTTAGCATGAAATCTTGGAGATTGAACCGACTGAACCAACCGAAACTGGCGATGTGATTGGGCATTTACCCTCTGGTTATGACTAACAGTTTGCTATTGAAAATTGCCATTTATAGTGAGTTGTCCCAGTCATTATCGTCATCCAAGTCCCAGGGCTTAGTATACCGGTGACGACTGGGGATCCCTTAGTAAAGCCCTCATATACCCTCTGGTTGTGACTAACATAGCTATTGAAGCCATGGCCCAGTCGAAATAGTGGATTTTCCCCATTAATAGCATGGTGATTGTTCCATAGTTTTTGTATGTTTACCAGAGGGTAACCACTATAAATGGTGTTTTTACAGTTTGCGACCTGCTACAGATGGCCCATTGAATTCAATGATTTACCAATTAGAAACGGTGATTTTCCATAGCCATGTTAAATTACCGGAGGGTACTAATGTTTGGTAATAGATCCTACTTGGATCGAATGGTGTTGCAGCTTGTTATTGCCATGGAAAATCATCAAGCTAAATGAGCAATTTGCCACACCTATGTTATATTATCAGAGGTTAAATGATCCCCGAGTTGTTTTAAATGTTCATTTCAGGTTGGTCAAAGATCACAAAATTGCACAGTGTTCGTCCACAGATTAAATGGATGCTTGAAATCTTGGTAAAAACATGTAAAAACCTGGTTGAGTATGTTCCCCCTCTGCCTCTGGTAAACTAACAGTTTGCAAACTGGAAAATCCCCATGTTTCATAGGTAAATCAACGAACTACATGACCCATTTTCGTCATTTTCGGATCAGGTAGCCAGATGAAAGAGGTATATGAAGATCCCAGAAAGGTAGAAAGTAACTATAGTATATACCAAAAAATCTATAGTATATAGTAACTACATAGTAACTATATTGTATTTTTGTGGGAACATGTGGGAACTCTAAAGGATAGAAAAGTCAAATCCCACAAAAACAATGGTAAAGTATGTTACGTTCTATCTTTTTTAGAGGGTACCCGAGGCTACTATAGATGAAGATCCCAAGTTCGAGTCTATCTTTTCATAGGATGATCACGAGAATATCAGGATTTTGACCCAACCATCTCCCACAAAGGAATACAACGATGGATACGAAATTGAGGGCAGAAGTTGCTCTTGCAGCAGAAGTACCTGAACAGAGTAAAGGCAAAGGTGGCGGTCAAACACAGCCTGGTGAGGCTGCTGCTGGCATTCAGCTGTGATTCTGGAGCTGCGTGTGGACGAGCAGAAACCGAAGCGCGGGAAAACTTCCGGTGGTGTTCAGTGGACCTACAGCCCGGAAGACGTCTACATCGTGGGCGTCTGGTTTGGGCATAATGTTGGAAACCCTGTCGGAATGGAACATTTGCGCTTCTGGGACGCTGAAGATGAAGCGCTGCCGCGTGGGATGCCGCAGGCCACGGTCGTGTACTTCACATTTTCGACTTTCCACTTGGCACTTTACACGCACTTTACCTTCTACAATTTACACCTGAAAGTTCACGGACCGATTCTATACTTTACGGTTGAAGCTCCACTTTTTACGCTTTGCATTTTACATTCCACAAATTACATTCTACGTTTCACCTTCCACGTTTTTTACATTCCGCACATTCGACGCGACGCCTCACACTCGACCTTCCGCGCTCCACGCTTTGTCTTTCACGCTCCACGCTCCTCCGCATTTTTATGCGTCATGCTGTCGACGCTGGAAGAGTATGCAATTTACACGTCACATTTTTTATGTCCATTTATATGTTCATGTACACTGTACACATCGCATTTTATATGTCGAGGTCAGATGCACATGTCTACTCTATACTTGTAGCCGCCGCTGCTGCAGGTTGCGTCTGTGACGCGTATTGAAGCCGCAGACACACCGTTGGCTGCTGGCATTCAGCTGGAGAATTGAAGCCGCAGACACACCGTTGGCTGCTGGCATTCAGCTGGAGAATTGAAGCCGCAGACACACCGTTGGCTGCTGGCATTCAGCTGCTGAATTGAAGCCGCAGACACACGGTTGGCTGCTGGCATTCAGCTGCTGAATTGAAGCCGCAGACACACCGTTGGCTGCTGGCATTTAGCTGCTGAATTGACTCGGCAGACACACCGTTGGCTGCTGGCATTCAGCTGCAGAATATATATATATATTATATTTTTTTTTTCTTTTTGGTTTCTTTGCGGCCAAAGGATGCGCGCTGGGCTCTTTGTGAGGGACGTTATGATCAAGAAAGCCCGAGACAAGGCGAACATAGACCAATGAGATTGGGGATATCATGGGGACTTTTACAAAAAAAAAACAACAAAAATGATGATGCGACAAGAAAGGTAGCCATTTTTAATGATGGTACTGTACTGAGAACATGGTGGTTCACCCTGCCTGGATTTTGATTTGTGGGCTGTTCAATGGGGCTGCTACCATTTTAGTAGCAGATTATCATTATTTGGGAGGCCTGCTAATGAATCAAGTAGAACTAACATAGCTTTGGAAAATGGATGATTTAGCTCGATGATGTAGCTGTTAAACATGCTGATTTTTCATGTTACCTGTAAAACCACGGCGACCTGTTCCTGAAAGGATCTGGATCTCGATGGAATGGCCGTTTTTCTCCGTGCCCAGGACCCTTGTTTCGCGCCATGCTGGATGTGTTGCGCACGGTGCACTACGACAGAGACACTGGATGGAACAGGCGGAGCAAAAAAGCTGGACGAGCCCCTTGAAAGGAAAAATCATGGAATTATAGGAAAATACTGAACTAAATGAGCATTCAAATGGAATCATCAAACTCAATGGCTGATCTTCCAGCCATGTTTGATTTGCGAGGGCATCCCGGTCAATTGGAAAATGATTCAATTCATGATGAATCTGTGGATTTTGAGGTACCCTGTTTTCAGACAAACCCAAATCGTGGAAGTTGGAGTGGCTATCACAAGGGATCAGGGAGTCAACCAACTTTTGCATGGAACTGGGGATGAAAATCAACATCAAGCTGTAGACCTGCCACAAGCTACGTATCCTGGGAGATAGTCTTGACATGGTTCGATATCAGCTGTATGCATAGATCCTCAATATAGAAAAGTGTGCAAAAAAAAAACAAAAAGTACATCATCGCTATGTTAATGGCAATTTACTGTTCTTTCTTTTTACGGGGTGCCATTTCGATTGATCAATTCTCACTGCGACCTCGCAGAGCCGCTAGGGAAAGACCCCTTACCATGAAATATGACGGATGTCCATGAAAAATGGCAGGTTTTGATGTGACCCAGGAGAATGTACCTGGTTTCGAGCCAACTGGAAAGTGAAAAAGCGAAAGTGGCTGAGATGTTGCCGAAGACCCGAGTGTTTTTTAAAAAATAAAAGGGCCGGATAACCCCACAAGTCCCAATAAAATCCAATGGGGGTTGTCGTCCACGCCAGGATGGGGCATGGCTACAGCTTAGCAACTCGACTTAGTCGACGTCCACAAGTGCCAAATGGGTAGCTGATCACCACGCAATTGAGATTTGGTTGGTTTTTTTGGAGCCAAAGAGATGGTTCAAACAACAGAAAGGATGATAGAATTACCCTCTTGTAATTTAACATAACTCATGGGAAAATCACCATTTTTAATGGGTAAATCCACTATTTCTATGGCCATGTTCAATAGTTTTTTGTTAATTTATTGTGGATTTTCCCATTAAAAATGGTGATTTTCCATAGTTATGTTAAATTACCAGAGGGTAACAGAAGTGATGATTTCTCAGCCTAGAATTCCATGACGATTCACTTTGGGGACGCGGCTTTTGTCAAAGCCGCCATCAGGTCACAGTCCTTGGATCTGTAAAACCTGGCAGTGGAATTCATGGGAATATCCATGGTTTAATGGGTTCATATTGGTTAAACAATGGTTAACAATGGTTAATATTGGTTAATATTGGTTAATATTGGTTAACAATGGTTAATAATTCTTAATATTGGTTAATACTGGTTAATAATGGTTAATAATGGTGATTAATGGATGACTAATGATGATTAATGGGTTAATGGGGGTAAAACAATGCCATTTTTACCACCCATGACTAATGGTAACCATACCACCTATAAAAATGGTGAGTCATTGGGGCTGGTTTATGAAATTGTTTTACCGACATGAATGTTCTGTCCATCAGATTTTGCCATGAAACCACAGGATTTTTAGAGTTCTCAAACTATGATGCACACACACACACATAACGCCATGGCCAGCCATCAAATCATTCAATAAAAACATGCATTATCAATCACTAGGCATTAATCATTACCCATATGGTAGTCCCAAAAAAGATAGAAACATATTTCCAGGCTGTTTTGTTGATGGTGTTTTCACCATAATTTCCAAGTTTCCAACTTGATGATGGGGTTAAGTTATGTCTATCTATTCAAAAAATGGTGACAACGTCATGTTTAATATAGCAATGAGTCAAAACCCTGGCACCTTGGGTGCTAAACAGTTGGTTAATGCATGGTTATTCCCCAAGTATGGGAGTAATAGTTGTTGATCTATCCACATATGATTTCCAAGTTTCCAAGTTGTCCTTATCCATTTTTTCCTAGACTTTTCTATCTATTTATGGTATTTTATTGTATCTATTTGGGGTTGCTATGTCTTAAACGATGTGGCCATGGCCGCAAATGGCGGGGGAAACCCCCTGGCTGGTTTCCGACCTGACGACGCCCCGAGGCGATTGGCACAGCAGAGGGCAACTACCCCGCAGGGCCGCAAGGAGTTTGGGCCCGGTTATCAAAGGGTTTTTGGATGATCCATATTTTCACTGGTTGGTGGTTTAATGGGAGTTTAATGAGACTTGCAAGTTGGTTATAAACCCCATTAACTATAGATATCCCATTATTGCATATGGCTATGGATCAATACCTATTAATACCATTTTTAATGGGATGAACATCCATAAATCCCAGCTATTTTGATGTGAACAAAAGGGGTACAAGGTTTTGACACACTACCATATCTTACTTGTACTTAGTAGGGAATGAGGGAATGATCCACAATAACTATTAATAATAATCCCAGCAACCACCAGCAACCCATCCATTCCCTACTAAGCACCAGTAAGATATGTTCATGGGAACATGGATATACCCTCTGGATTATTCGTTCACGAATTGGATGATTTACCCTCTGGTTATTTAACATAGCCATGGAACATCCATTATAAATGGAGGTTTTAATGGGAAAATCATCTATAAATGGTTCATTTTCCATAGCTACGTTGAATAACCAGAGGGTATATAGGAGAAACAACTTGGTATAGAAGATCTGTAGTATCATCATAATATAAGTATATCGTGTCAATCCCGGATTAATAAAGCCCCATAAGCTGTTGTTTGGATGATTTCTTTTGAACACCCCAACTTGGTAAAGGAAATCTGTTGGATTATGATGTTCAAAACGATAAAATAAATGGTGAAACTTGTGATTTCACGTGTTCTTTGGATGGGTCAAAATTTAAAATACAGCTTGGAATGTCTATAGTATTAATCATCCATTTTTAGGGGTACCCAATTTTGACCCATACCCTGTTGTTATGATTTCTTTTGAACACCCCAACTTGGTATATGAGATCTGTAGGAATATCATTTAGAAAATTGTATACATGAACATAAATTGTGAAACACGTGGGAACATTCCACATGTTCATAGCTTACCCTCCTGACATCACTGAGGATAATGCTGCAACCTACATGTGGGTTCCTTGAGTTAAACGACCACATGGGGGTTCAGTTTGACGGATAAATGGCTATATATATATATACAGATACATATATATATACATATATCCATAGCTATAGGAAAACTAACATAGCTATGGAAAATGGTCCATTTATAAATCATGGGTGAAACTCTATAAATCATGGGATGGAAACCCTATCTGGTTGGTGGTTTGGAACATTTGGATTATTTTTCCATATATTGGGAAGAATCATTCCAGCTGACTTTCATATTTTTCAGAAGGGTGGCTCAACCACCAACCAGATGATATATGGGATAATCCTTCCCGTTGACTTTCATATGTTTCAAGATTGTTAAAACCACCAACCAGACCATATTATCACCAGTTATACAATATGGCTATTATATCTATATTAAATCCATTAATTTTAACCATATTAAATCCATCTTAAACCATAAAAAAACACCATGGTTATTTTCACCAGTTATAGAAACACCGTATCCCAGTTCATGGGGACAAAATCAGCATACTTACACTAATATCCATCAGACACCTCTGGCCTGCACCTTGAGGTATACGTGATGTATGACATTAAAATATTCCGGGTTATATCCCATGAAATCCACTGAATCACTATATTGTTTGTTGGTGAAAATCACCCATATGTTGTTGCTTAAAGACCATTGAATCCAAAATCTATCACACTCTATCCTCATTAGATCCTCTTTAAATCCCACTAACAGTGTGTGTGTTACACCATGAAAACCACAATCAGATCCCATTCAATCACCATGAAAAAATTACCAGAATGCCATGGCGCTCAACTGCGCTAAACTGCGGGTCAGGATTTTTGTATCACTTCTTCTACATGCCGGACCCTGCCGTAGACTTGGCCCTGAAGCGGAACCTTTGAAAAACCATTGGATTTCTGGGATTTTCTGCTGAGACCAAGGAAAAATGATTGGATTTATAGATTTAGAGATGATTCATTGGATTTTTTCATGGGATTTTCTGCTGAGACATGCTGAGACCAAGGAAAAAAGGGGGGGATTTCTATGGAATCGCCGCGACGCGCCATGGGCTTACCTCACAGGATTTTGTTGAAAAATCTGCAGCGGCCGTTTTCCAGAAAAGAACATGTACCATCTGGTTATTTAACATAGCCATGGAAAATCACCATTTATAGATAGTTTACCTATTAGAAATTGTGATTTTCCATGGCAAACTGTTAAATAACCAGATGGTATCTACATTGCATATACCCTCTGCTTATTTAACAGTTTGCCATGGAAAATCACCATTTTTAATAGGTAAACCATCTATAAATGGTGATTTTCCATGGCAAACTGTTAAATAATCAGATGGTACATGTTCTTTTCCGATTGGATGTCTTGACCACTCTTCACAAAGATCCGAACTAGTTGCCTTTGTTATTTGCCCTCAAGATTTTTCAAGGGGTCCGGAATTGCTTGGGGATGTTGTTCCGTTTTGTTTTTTTTAGATTTTCAACAAGCATGAACATTTATAGTTGGTTTCTGTACTGATAAGGTGTAAATTGATAAGAGTAAGGGGACATAAAATGATGATTTCACGGCAATTCAACCAACCAATATGGATCTGGTGGGTATATAGCTAACAATAATGGGCTATATATAATGATGGTAATTTCATGGAATAACAAAAACATGTACAATGAATTACGGAAAAAAAAAAACACTATTTTTTGCATATGTTTACCACGGGATTCCCGTCAATTTTCCCACCAATTCTAGAAGCATAGGATTTCATTAATCATCAATGATCAGGATTTTTTACGGAGCAAATTGAGGATTTTTAAACTGCCGAAAAGGATAGACTTCCCCCGAAATGAGGGTTTTCACATTTGTTCGCCGTTTCATTAAGTCAAGGATCCTCCTATTCTTGGGATCAGTTTTACTACAACTGGCCCAGTGGCTCGTTCGCCCTCGAGTCTTAGGGGACCTGTTTGGATCTTGGCTGATCAGAGGTTGATCATTCCCATATGGATGTGGGTCAAAATGGAAGACCGATGTGGGACCACAGATGGAAATGTCTAGTTTAGTATTAAGCATAAAATAATTATTGGGGTACCTAATTTTGACCCATACCCATATGGAATCATATGGATATGATGGTTCATCTGTTGATAACCTTGTCGACTGAAAAACCATAGAGCTCATCTTGTTGTGGTTGTGGACTGGGACGAAAACGCCTAAATTCAAACCCTGATGGAAAAGTGGATCAATGCATGAGCAAAAAAAATGTCAACAAGACGTTTTGGGGGTCTCCAAAATTGGTGCTAAACTTCAGAACTAATAGTAACTAAGGGGACTATGCACATGTTCAACCACCTAAAGCCCCAATTGTTTATGACATTCATAGGCTGGGCGGTGGACAGCGGCCGTCCAGAAGCGAGTCCTGAAGTCGTCCTCATTGGGTTTCACTGGATTATCCTTGGGATTTTTCACTCCATTCAGTTGCCATTTCAGGAACCTAAATTGGTTGGTGGTTTGGAACATTTGGATTATTTTTCCATATATTGCGAATAATCATCCCAACTGACTAATACTTTTCAGAGGGGTGGCTCAACCACCAACCAGTAAATTAGAGCTATGCCTACCATATTTATATATTTGAGGTCTATGCAATGGCTCAATTTCAGGGGATTTTTTGCCCCAAAATATGGCCAAAAAATATGGTACGGTACCCCTAGTTTAGGTACCCGAAATGGCGAACCATGGCAGTCATGGCAGTTGGAGTTTTCCAAGGAATGGCATCATGGTGCGACCCAAGAGTGCGCAAGTGGATGCCTGTTGCTCGATGCCATAGGGAAATTCCATGGGGATAAAACCAGGAGGTTAATCAAAATGGGGATAGTTGTATAAGAGTCATCCCCAATTAGATAGAAATTGCGAATTGTAATTTAACACCATTTCAATAGAGACTTACTGTTCTATTTTTGTTTGGGGATAATTTTAACGGGTCTTGAACCAGCAAAAAAAATGGATGTATGGGATTAACACCATTGAAAAGTTGACTAGTAGATGTGCGTGTCTGAGAATGAAATATCCTGAAAATTGCAGTTTAGATAGCGAAAATGATGATTAATCAGAGGATTTAGGGATACCCCTGTTGAATAAACCCTATCTTGGTCTTCTGGGATGTCATCCCCTTGAGTAAAGTTGAGCAGATTCACGGATTCACTAGACACCCATGGTGGAAAGGAGTACCCCAAGTTTGAGAAACACGCTTACACCTACGTATCCCTAAGTATCCCTGACTTGTGTCGTCTTTCTTTCAAATGGGGTTTGTCATCAATTTGCATTATTTTTTGATTTGATAGTTACCACATTTGTGCTGTTAATGGTGCTATATTATTACACATATCAAAAACCCAACATTTTGCATGCCAGCCATGAGCCCAGCAACGACCAGCAATTTCCAAGGCCGATGGAATTACAACAGCTTTCATGGCAACTTCAAGTGGAGGCAGGACCCTGACCCAGGCATCGATTAATGTGGTAAACCCAGCCATTTCTTGTGATTTTGGAGATGGTTCGTTATTGTGCAAACGCCATACTATACCCCAGTTATATATACTGTGTATATATATATACATATTCACATACATTGGGTGTGTATATATACACACACACATTTGGGGGTGCATCCCACTTAGTAAATGGGTTATACCCCCAGTTATATGGAATATCCCCACTTAATTATGTATGGCTTGTATATGGTTTATGAACAACGTACCAAGTGGGATGCACATCCAATCGTCGCGTCTCGACTCGATGAAGTTCACTGAAAGAAACTTGGGATGTGTGTTGTCCGTCAAAAAGGCGGTGATTCTAATCAGATTTTGCCAAAAAGAAAATGGTTACCCTCTGATAAACTAACATACCCTCTGGTAAACTAACATAGCTATTGAAAATTGATGAGTTGATTTACCCATAAAATATGGTGATTTTCCCATCCGTTTTGTGTATGTTTACCAGAGGCTAACATAACGGAAAATCGCCAAGGTCATAAATCAACGATTTCCATGGGCCATGTTCCAGTTAGCAAACTGTGAGTTTACCGGATGGTATTGAAACCAACCAAGATTTGGGTTAACCAAAAGAATACTGGTTGGTGATTTGGAACAGTTTGATTATTTTTGCATATATTGGGAATACTCCCATTTGACTAATATTTTTCAGAGGGGTTGAAACCATCAACCAGAATACCATGAAAAACGGATGTAATTGAAAATATCAAACATGAGGAGTCATGCAACAATTGGATGAACTGGAGAATAAGATATGGCAGAGGTGGCAGTCAACATTGATGCTAAATCACAAGAGTCGCTACTCTTCAGTCTCATGAGATATCATGAGAAAGCTAACCGCCGCAAGAGGAGGTTGGTATTTGCCTGCATTCACACTACTCACGAGCCAACAGTGATCATTGCAGGATGTTGATCCATGTGCAGAATTGAGCCACGAACAAAGTACCCAACTGTTGATTGCTTATTAAGGAGTTATACTATACCTGGTGATTGGGGATTATGAACGAACCCATATTAGGGAAACCTATCAATGAATCAAGCAACTAATACAGTGAGATGGGACAACGGGATATTTTTCATGGCCCAATTGTCCCTGATCTGAAGTCAACAGGAGGAACCATCCAAACTCCAACCCTGGGAGATTCTAAGGAGAGCAGTTCCCACTGTTCCCACTGCTCAGAGCCAATAAAATGGAAGCCAAGAAGACTGTGCTCTCTGATTGATTTACCAACCTCAAAAAGACCTAAAGAAGACCCCTTTATGTTGGTAAATACCTACATGGAGCACATGGGAATATGTCGCAACCGATCTGAAAAAACATTTGGGAGGACTTAACATCCAAAAATCCTCACCGATTTTGGCGTTCACCAGGGCATGAAGATGTTGACCTATAGTCATGTCAGGATGCAAATGAACTGCAAGTTGTATCAAAAACCACATGTACTGTAAAAAAACACTATATAAATAGGATAAATGAGTTCAATCAATATGATATTGATTCACTAAATATCGCTATTAGTACTATCAATATATCACTATTTGTAATATCAATCAGTATGATGTACATTTATTGCAAATTAAATCCCCATGAATTTGACTATGTACTGTCGAATTCCCCAGCGGTTTGATGATTACAACCCCTATCCCAATGGCATGCTGAATGTTGAGGTTTTACTGGAGATAACCATGGTGTTTTCACACCCGCAGAAAACGTTGAGGTTACCCGGCCTGGTAAACGTTTACATAAAGCGGATGTGAAATCACCATTTTTTAATGGGTAAATCAACTATTTCGACTGGGCCATGTTCAATAGCTATGCAACAGTCATTACCAGAGGTTATTACCCCCGACTTCTGTATGGTTATACCCAGGAAGTGGAGCTGCACCCCTAAGAATGACTGAATGTTGGGCCAAAATGGCGAGGATTTGACGAAGTGATTTCTCGCGATCTCACGGAGAAGCGAAGGGATTTTGTAACCCGATGACCAGCTGCAGCTCCAGCAATGGAGCCATAAGGCACAGGATCATCGAAGGCTCCTCTTCGCTTGGAGGCCTTCGACGGGCTCCTCGATGAAGGCCAAAACGGCAGTATCAGTTCGGATTTTCCAGCGTAAGCTGGGGATCCATGCCACCTGCATCATGTGTGGCCAGCCATGGATCACCTCCTTTGGAAGGATCTATGCTTCGGCGTGATCTGCCAAAGAACCAGCATGAGATTTGACCAACTAGTTGAAGCACTTGAAGGTCCAAGTGGATCAGTCTTACACTGAGAATCTACTTTGAGCGTTGTACTGACGTGCACTTATTGGCTATCCCGTATTTATGCCTCTTGTTGGCACCCTTCAGGGACTCAATCCTGAGCAACGGTTGGACCGCGCTCAGTCATGAGAAGCTGGGAAAGTTTGCCGAAATAGCTGTGGACTGCACCCCCATGAAATCTATGAAATCACCACATTTGTTGGTTAAATCATGTTAAATCACCATCTCCTGTCCCAGATACGTCGACGAATACAGCTACTTTGCGGCCATGCCTTCAGAGTGGCGGGACCAGGTGCATCACATGAGCGCCCTGGAAAATACCATAGATTGGTTCTTTCTTTGGGATGTGATGTGTTTTTTTACAAATATCCTGATGAATTGGAGAATATTGGAGCTTATAGAGGTTTATAGGGGTTTGAGCCATCAACAATATGGGAATATAATTGACAGATGTTGATAGATGATGGTTGATTGGTTATTATAGGGACTTATACTAGCTCATTCAATGCGCATTATGATAACCCATAGTAAGGAAACCTATCAACCAACCATTATTGTAAGATGGGAAATGGTTTTTTAATGGTTGACATGGTGGTTTTTTGATGTGTTTGTACAATGGTTTTATACACGGTTGAGTTTAAATGGTGATGTTTTAATGTAATGGTTCAAGTACAACAAATCGTGACGCTTAGAAATGCCGATTTCGCAGCCACGACTTGGGGATTTTTCATGGTGAAACATGGTGGGTTTAGATTGTCATTGCCTGGTTTTTTGGCGCCATCACTGGGTAGAGATCGAACATGCTGTGCGTCCCTATCATCTATGCATGAAATATATTGAAATATTACCATTGAGTATTGCCGTCAACTAGAAATTTCTATTACAATCCATATATTTTGATGTGTATATATCTGGTTGGTGGTTTGGAACATTTGGATTATTTTTCCATATATTGGGAATAGTAACCCCAACTGACGAACTCATATTTTTCAGATGGGTAGGCTCAACCACCAACCAGATATATATATATTATTTATATTTATAGATTACTATTCTATTGCCATCAACCCCCAAGGATCCAACATCCATTCATCGCGCAACCGCTTCCGGATCCAGGTGCAAGCCTTTCATCGCAACACCAACTGGACCTTCCCCTGCGACTTCACGCTCACCAAACCAGTGACCAAAAAACTGGGGGACACTGGGGAAGATTTGGCTACTGCTGTGTTTTTTTTTGGTGTTGCTTCCTGTTGCGGAGTTCATGCAATGTAAAATTTGCTATCTTAATGAAACTGTATATATAAATATATAGGGGGTTCCATAGATGGTACCCAAAATGGATGGCGTTTTATTTTCGGGACAATCCATCTATAAATGTACCACCATATCTGTGTGTACATATATATATATATACCCCTCTGGTAAATATACAAAAACCCATGGAAAATCACCATTTTTTTATGGATAAATCCACTATAAATCACTATATATACATACATTTATGTGGGATTGCCCCGCTAGCTGCTAGCTATGTCTGACACATTTGGTACCATTCCCATCACCGTCCCGCCCCGTTCATTCTGACGACTTCGTGGCAGGTACTGCTTCACCATACGGACGAAGCCATTGAAAGCTATTTGCTACACCTCCAGGAGAAACACCCGAAGCTTGACGTTGAAAGTTTGATGAGAGGAAAAAAAAACAGTTGAATGATGAAAAAAGTAATGATGGAGGATTTTCATGGATAATTAATAGATCATTAGATTGCTTGAAATGTGGGAAACGATTCCCAATTGATTAACAATGATGGATGATTTTCATGGATAATTTTCATGGATAATTCATAGATCATTGGATTCATGTAAACCCTGCCATAAACAACTAGCATGACTGGGAATGTGTTTTTTTCGCACCAAAAACAAATGGTGATGACTTGGGGATAGCCAATAGTGTTGGGGTTTTTTTCCGGTGATTCAGCCAATCTTCGGCTGGGCTTGAGGGCGGGCTTCACTAAGCCACAACTTACTGGTGCGTTTTACGTAGGGAATGTTCGGGAATGATCCACTGGCTAACTATCAATTTCATCATTCCAGCAACCCCCAGCAACCCATCCAGCCACCCTACGTAAAACGCACGCACGCACCATCCCAAGGAATCGGAGCACCGTCCTCCTACCGCGGAGTCAGAAAGATGTGCACAGTGGATGCTGCAAGTTTTGCTCAGCGAGTCATCCAAAGCTCCTGGAAAATATGGTGCATCTTTTTAAGGACCCCTTTTATCGAAGGAATCCAAGAATACAATATTTTGGAACATGGTACATGTATTCAGTGTATATAAAATGGCGAAATTGTGGGATCAATATTCTACAATCCAAGAATTTCTGAGCCATTTTATGCTGTACTTTCTGAAACGGGACCTTACGGGCGCCCCTGGGCGCCCTGACAGGCCCTGACGTTGCCTTTTGGGATGACCCCATGGCAGAGGGATCTAGAAGATTTGGTCACTGAAAAATGATTCACAATAATTATAGACTTATTCACTATAATTATGATACTAATTATGAATATCATAGTGAATAATCATAGTGAATAATTGTGATACTTTATTCACTGATGATTATCACAATGATTATTCACTTTAATTATATACTTATTCACAATAGTTATAGATAATTATAGTATGCTCTCTCCATTTTTTGGGTGCCCCTGCAGTGCCAAACGAATATGGCTATGGGTTCTAGGATTTTCACCTAGAGTGCGGTTAATTGGTGAAGGGGATTTTCCAGTAACGGGTTGATGTTTATTGGGGATTATGAATGAATCCATAATAGAACGATTGGGTATTGATTCAAAATGGGGATGATTGATGTTTATTGATGTTTATTGGGGATGATTTTGAATGGCTCAATTGGCGCAAACACAGCAGTTTTGTGATTCCATTGCTCTGGCTAAACATGGCTCAAAGGTTGCCTCGGATCTCCATGTCCAATGGCTACTTGGTGGCTCATCCCACTTACTAAGTAGGTTATATCCCTGGTTTTTACAGTGGGATAAGTAGGGTTAATCAACTTATAACTGGGGTGAACTAACCTACTTGGTAAGTGGGATGAACCACCAAGTAGGGCATCGTCAAGTTTAAAGTTTTCATTTTGAGACGGTTGAGGTGTGCAGATTGTGATAATGCCAAGGGCTGATCCATTGATATTTGGGTGTGCCAGTTTTCCGGTATCTTTTCACAAAGTCCAACATGTCATGGGGATTGATCAATATCCCCCGTCAAATACCCGGAATTCCCTCCGGCAGTTTAACATAGCTATGGAATGACCATGTTACAAAGGTATGTGTTGAATATCCATGGCTGTGAGGAATACCCCACGTTCCCATGAGAAAGAAGTGCAACGGATTAAGACCTGGGCACAAAGTGTTGAGACATGCCCGGGGCAAGCAGCAAACCAACGGCGTTTTGATCTCTTTGGTTTGATATGTGAGATTCGGACCAAGCTTTTTTCCCGACGTTTGTTGGACAACCCGTTTGAAGCAAACTTTGAATCTGCAGCTATTTGAGCTTCCGGGGTGCAGCTAACTCCACAGGCCAAGGCAGGGTGTCCCTTTTACAGCGTGGAGTTGTGCGCAAGTTTTTGGAGTAGATAGATCTGGCTCAGAATGATGACCCCAAAAAAAAAACATGTTGATGCACCGGCAATGACCAAATTTCTGGGCTTATTTGTACCTCATGTTTCACTCATGTTAACCATCGAGATCATCACCTAAAAATCCATGGTTCCTGCCAGATATGGCAACCTATGGCAAGCCCAAAACTCAAAGTTCCCAGGGTTCCAACTGTTCCACCCTCTGGTAAACGTTTACGTAACTATGGAAAATCATCATGCTATTAATGGGAAAATCCAGTATATACGGTCATTTTCAATAGCAAACTGTTAATTTACCAGAGGGTATCTATTTGGGGGCTGCTAGAAAATCATACCTGGTGTTTCTGCTTAAAAACATGTCCGAGCAGCGACTACAGGTGCCATTCAGAACATGCCAAAAAACTGCCCTACGGCCGTATCGCCTTGAGTCTGGAAAGCCTCGATGCCTCGAGGTGACTCCAATCAGAATAAACACCTGCCATCATGTTTGCCTATTGATTCTTTCGACTACTGATTGTTTTGCGAATTTTCTTGTGGTGTTCATTGGATATGTCAACCGCTCTCTCTACTGATCATACTTGGTTACGTTGGCAATTATGTATGCATATACATATATATATATATGTACACACACACATTTATATCATGTATCTGGACCTATGCGTTGATGTCGCACATACAATACAATTACATACCTGCAGTACATGGGTTTGTGTGAAAATAGTACACCCCTATATACATCCATTGGTTTAGCCATCCATTTCCCTTTAAAATTGCTTTTGAAGATGTGGTAGATCTTCATTTTCAGACACACCCACATGATACTGTGGGACTTCTCTCCCCATCATATCCCCAGGGTCCCTGGTTCGTTTAATCCCACTCTATCATCATCATTGTTTTTTCCTACAAAAGAAAAAACAATTGTGGCGGAAAAAAAAAAACTAAGAGTCACCATTATGGTTTTTCAGAAAGAGACACCATAGTTTCATCTAAGCATCAATCTAGATCATCTAAGCATCAATCTTTCAGAAATCAATCAAACCCAAGAAGAGTCATCTGAAAAACATAGAGATCACCATTAGAAATCATGAAAACCCGAAAAAATCACCAGTAAACCATCATGAACATCTCACAAAAACCATCTAACAATGACAAGAAACATACAACTGGTTGGCGGTTTGGAACATTTGGATTATTTTTCCATAAAGTATTGGGAAGAATTACTCCCAACTGACGAACTCCATCATTTTTTAGAGGGGTGGCTCAACCATCAACCAGAAAAATACCCTCTGGTAATTTAACATAGCTATAGAAAATCCACCCATTTTGAAGTTCGGTAAACCATCGAACTAAATGGGCCATTTTCCATAGATCAACGTACAAAAACCATCGAAAAATCGCCAGTTTTTTCTTCACAGAGCCAGGTCATGGAGCGTTTAAAGCGCTTGCTCCACCACGTCACCGGAGAGCCCAACGAGGCGCCGAGATCATCGACGATGGGGGGGGATAGGTACTGTACCATTTTCCATTTGTAGTTGATTTACCCACTAAAACTGGAAAATCTATCTGGTTACCATCTGGTAAACAAACATAGCTATTGAAAATGGTCATTTGTAGTTGATTTACCCTCTAACGGTGATTTTCCATAGTTATGTGTATGTTTACCAGAGGGCAATACTGGTTTGTAATGATGGTTATCAACAATACAACACATTCTGTTCAATGTGAATTTCAGGATCCTAAAATGGAGGTACTGTACCATATTTTTGGCCATATTTTCTGGAGCGGCCATTTGGTACCCCCAAATGGTCTATGATAAGATTCACCTAGCTATTGAAAATGGCCACTTATAGTTGATTTACCCACTAAAAACGGTGATTTTCCATAGTTATGTGTATGTTTACCAGAGGGCAATACTGGTTTGTAATGATGGTTATCAACAATACAACACATTCTGTTCAATGTGAATTTCAGGATCCTAAAATGGAGGTACTGTACCATATTTTTGGCCATATTTTCTGGAGCGGCCATTTGGTACCCCCAAATGGTCTATGATAAGATTCACCTAGCTATTAAAAATGGCCACTTATAATTGATTTACCCACTAAAAACGGTGATTTTCCATAGTTATGTGTATGTTTACCAGAGGGCAATACTGGTTTGGAATGATGGTTATCAACAATACAACACATTCTGTTCAATGTGAATTTCAGGATCCTAAAATGGAGGTACTGTACCATATTTTTGGCCATATTTTCTGGAGCGGCCATTTGGTACCCCCAAATGGTCTATGATAAGATTCACCTAGCTATTGAAAATGGCGACTTATAGTTGATTTACCCACTAAAAACGGTGATTTTCCATAGTTATGTGTATGTTTACCAGAGGGCAATACTGGTTTGTAATGATGGTTATCAACAATACAACACATTCTGTTCAATGTGAATTTCAGGATCCTAAAATGGAGGTACTGTACCATATTTTTGGCCATATTTTCTGGAGCGGCCATTTGGTACCCCCAAATGGTCTATGATAAGATTCACCTAGCTATTAAAAATGGCCACTTATAATTGATTTACCCACTAAAAACGGTGATTTTCCATAGTTATGTGTATGTTTACCAGAGGGCAATACTGGTTTGGAATGATGGTTATCAACAATACAACACATTCTGTTCAATGTGAATTTCAGGATCCTAAAATGGAGGTACTGTACCATATTTTTGGCCATATTTTCTGGAGCGGCCATTTGGTACCCCCAAATGGTCTATGATAAGATTCACCTAGCTATTGAAAATGGCCACTTATAGTTGATTTACCCACTAAAAACGGTGATTTTCCATAGTTATGTGTATGTTTACCAGAGGGCAATACTGGTTTGTAATGATGGTTATCAACAATACAACACATTCTGTTCAATGTGAATTTCAGGATCCTAAAATGGAGGTACTGTACCATATTTTTGGCCATATTTTCTGGAGCGGCCATTTGGTACCCCCAAATGGTCTATGATAAGATTCACCTAGCTATTGAAAATGGCCACTTGTAGTTGATTTACCCACTAAAAACGGTGATTTTCCATAGTTATGTGTATGTTTACCAGAGGGCAATACTGGTTTGGAATGATGGTTATCAACAATACAACACATTCTGTTCAATGTGAATTTCAGGATCCTAAAATGGAGGTACTGTACCATATTTTTGGCCATATTTTCTGGAGCGGCCATTTGGTACCCCCAAATGGTCTATGATAAGATTCACCTAGCTATTAAAAATGGCCACTTATAATTGATTTACCCACTAAAAACGGTGATTTTCCATAGTTATGTGTATGTTTACCAGAGGGCAATACTGGTTTGGAATGATGGTTATCAACAATACAACACATTCTGTTCAATGTGAATTTCAGGATCCTAAAATGGAGGTACTGTACCATATTTTTGGCCATATTTTCTGGGGATATTCCCTTACATAGGCCTCAAAAATAGGCCTTATACATGGTAGGTACCTCCAATTTAGGATCCTGAGATGGCCAGTGAGATAGCCAATGTGATGTTTGGGGAAATCATGAGAAATCCTATGGATCCCTACGCGAAATCCACAAAAAAAAATCTATAAACCACCAAAGGGATGGTTTTCAACCCTATCAATGATGGGACTGGTTGGTGGTTTGTAACATGAATGGAATGAATGGATTATGACTTTCCATTCAGTTGGGAATTTCATCATCCCAACTGACTTTCACTAACTCATATTTTTCAGAGGGGTTTTGCTCAAAACCACCAACCAGCTATCAATAATGGGATGTTTACCATATATGGCAGTGTGTCAAAACCAACAGTACCCCTTCTGTTCACATCAAAATAGCTGGGATTTATGGATGTTCATCCCATTAAAAATGGTATTAATAGGTATTGATCCATACCCATATGGTCACGCTGGAGTAGAATATACTGTAGACGTTTCAAAAATTTAATTAACATGGGAATGTTTTCAAAAGTCCAGATTCCATCTATTTCAGGATAATCATTAGATAATCATTGGATAGTATATCCATTAATGATTCACCTCATATGGCTGATTGGGGGCCGATTTTCCCAGGTGCCAGTGCAACGGCCTCCATCCCCCAGCGCCTCCTCGTCCAAGCCGCGCAAGGTGACGAACTGAAGCAGCAAGTGTTGGTGGTTTTTTTGGGGGCGAAGTTCCACGGGAGAAAAACACATGTGTGTAATTGTGTGTATAGATATATGTTTTATATATATATATGTTTTATATATATATGTCATATATATAGATATATGTTATATATATATATGATATTTAGAATATTCATATTGATCTATATGAATCTATATATGTTGTTAGATGGGAATATGATGGATATTGAACCCGAAGGATGAACGGGGATAGTGGGAACGGATTTGGATACCTATCCCGCCATCAAAGAAATCGTGGATTTCACGGCAGGATGAAGCACCCAGTCGATAGCGTTCAGTTGGTTTATGTTTGTGGCTGAATTCTATGGTTTATGGTAGAGATAACGAACTAGATAACTATGGTATTCATGGGGTTTATAAACTTATAACTAGGGGGCCCCATCCTGCAGTAGATGATGGAATTGCATTGGCAATGGATGGAAAGTTAACCTTAGATGGGTGTATCTGAAAATGCTGGAGTCACCCTATCAGCAATTTTTTAATGGGCTGTTCTTGGGTGAACCCCTCTAGGTGTTTTCGAAATAAATCGTAAGCAACTGCGACATCATTCATCCCCCGACCAGGTTTGGTACGCTCCATACAAGTTCGAAGCCTATGGGGAAGAGGTGCAGGGCACTGGGCAACGCTTCCTATAATTTTTTGGAGAGTATGTGGAGTTACTCAGCAAAACTTAAATTGAACTCACAAAAACAATTGGTGGTTATACCTCTAATCAGTGAATTTATGGAATAAATTGGATGTATCTCCCTCAATTTTTTTGGATGCAATTCATGATGGGTTCCTGTCCAGTCAGCCAGGGGAACCAAAACTCATCCAATTCCGGTCCCGGTAGGATCCCTGTTGCTGACGTATCTGATGTATCTATATTTGGGATTAAGGCCCGATGTGTACTGTTCTGCATCTCCAGGTTGAACTATGGTTCTATGTTGATCTTTGTTGTGGACAATATGTTTGCTGCTGAAATGCTGCTTACATCCCATACATTGTTTTCTATATGTATATATACACATACATATACATTGTATAATACATATATATATATATATATACATATCATGATTATTAATAATCATCCAATAATCACCCAATAATCATCCAATAATCACCCAATCTTCATCCAATAATCATCTTGAACTACAATTCCAATGATTATTGGAATGATTATTATTCAATTGGTACGGTGATTGGATTATTGTATTATTCTTGATGATTATTGATGATTGAGGATTATCTTTACATACAATTCCAATGCTTGACTGCTTGGTGCTGTGTTTTTCGAAGATCCGCCAGGAAATTGAAGCTGTCACCGCAGCACTTAGAGATGGCTGGCTAGCACCTGGCCCACGTGCGGGGGCCAAAGAAATCAGAGATTTAAAAAGCTGGGGAAAAGGTGGTTCATTGTAGGTTGAACCAGAAAAGATGGTAGTTTAACCAAGCAAAATAGTGGCGTAATCGCCAAAGAATGATCGTTTCAACAGGCAAAATGGTGATTTCAACCAATGAAATGATGGTTCAAGCAGTATAAATGGTGCTCGAACCAATAAAGTGGCGGTTTAAACACGAAAGACGTTGGGGATTAACATGGTGTTTCATCCCAGAAATCGTGGGTTGGTTCACCTCACGACCCAGCAGGTTTGCTCAACGATTTCAGCCTGTGAGTTTCACCTAAGGCCTATCCAGAAATGGTGGTTTATAACCCCAACTAAATCCCATGAAATATCCAGGTTGAATAGTTCAATACACTTATTTGCCAATGTTGCTAATTTGATGGGAATGTTTACTACTCAACCAAAGATTACATTTCTGTGCAAGATTTCTATAGGACTGGCCATAGTGTGACTATGGCTCCCCTGTCCCCTGGGTATGCGATTGGTAGGCAGGATCATCTGTCCCGATTGGAATAGCTACTTTTTTGGGTGGGTTCGGCCAGGGTATACCACATTTTCAGGCAAACCCATATTTGTTTAAGGGGGAAATCTACAGGAAACCATAGATTTGTCCATTAAATATGGGGTTTTCTTGTAAATTTCCCTTAAACTAATCCATTGACATGCTTCAACCAGCCAACACAACATATCAAAACATTTAATATGTCGTCCTGTTTCCCAGCTACCATGAACCGAACTGAGGTTACGACTCCCTAGTCCTGACTGAAACCATGGCATACACAGCTCCAGCTCCAGAATTCTTTCTCTGCGAAGGATCTAGCCCAAATTCATATGGCTGGAAATTTGAGATCCAGAACACAACGGTTTCGGAATGTTTTGGGATGTTTTGAGTGTTTTGTTATTATCAACCATCCATTTTGGAGTTCCCACAACGGATCAAAAGTTCTCGAATCAAGTCTCCCAAAATCTGAGGCACCGATGAGTTCGAAGCCAAAGTCTGCGAACTCTTTGGTGCCCAGCGGGGTGGGGCCATGGGATGGTCGACCTAAAAATCGTGGATGGTGATGGCAGTTCTTGGCCTAACATCTTCGCAAGTCTCCGATGATCATATCGCCGTGGTAGCGATGTGGTGACTGCTCCAACGTGACGATCACCCTGTATTTGTCCCCATCGTTGTTAAAAAATCGCCATTTCAATCTCAAAGCCTTGTCCAATCTGTCCTGAGCGACGTGCATTCCAACCTATCACTGATCACCCTTTCACAAAAAGTCCACGTCCACCTGGCTGCGGGGTTTAATCTAGCGGTTTCAACATTGTTCAACCATAGAACTGGGAGATGTTTTTTTTAATGGTGATCCCAACCACTGAGCGTTTTTTTCAGAGTTGAAGCCATTTTTCAGAGGGTGAACTCACCATGTTTTCCCTCCCATCTCGAGAGATCACGGAGATCACGACTCGCAAGGCAAACGCCACGGCATCATGGTGAACTCAGGCAGTTCTGACGCTTGGCGACAAATTCTCCGAATTCCAAATCCCCGGTCAATGAGACACATACCCTCTGGTTATGTCAAAATAGCTATTGAAAATGAAATAGAAATAGTGGATTTTCCCATTCATAGCATGGTGATTTTCCCATCAGTTATGTAAACGTTTACCAGGCCGGGTAACAAGAAGCGATTGGTTCTTGCGACAAATTCTCCCCATGTCCGAAAAGTCGGAGATGAATGGGTTGGACTCGCAACGTTGATTATGTTTGAGTCACTGTTTTGGTTGGGTAAACTCCAATTTTTGTAGTTTGTATTAGTTACCCTCTGGTAATTTAACGTAGCTATGGAAAATCACCATGCTATGAATGGGAAAATCCACTATGTCTATGGTCATTTTCAATAGCTACGTTAAATTACCAGAGGGTAGTCAAATCTTGCTCACAAAACTGTCATTAATATGTTTAACTAATTAATACTAATTAAGATAAATGAACAAGATTTGACGAATTAACCCATATTCATATTAATTCTTAATTTGTCATGTTCAACATGTTCAACACCCATTTTAATGATATTAAACATATTAAACTCAGTATCAAACTGTCATTAATACCCAAACGAACATTAATACATTCGTATTTTCCCATGTTCAACAGCCATGTTTCATGCTGAACTCCCGAGCCGTCCCGGCTCAGGGCAACATCATTGGCTTAGCCGCGTTGGGACTGCAACGAGGTGAGCCAGCTGAGCTGCGGGCGATTCAATGCTATTCATATATTCCCTACAAGGTGGTGCCCCATAGTTAGCTAACTTGGTTTATAACTCCAATAACTATGGTTTATAGGTGATATATCTATAGTTAATGGGATTATAAACCAACTTATAACTGGGTTTGTCTGAAAATGTCGTGTACCCCTTTTTACCCAATGGTCTTGCTGATCATTATCCCGTTTTTAAATGGCTATTTCATTGGGAATATACATGAATATACCCTATTTTCAGACAAACCCATATTCCCTTTGAAACTTATGAATGTCAACCCTGGATTAATGTCACCCAAAAAACAGCTGAAAAAAATTGGGAGGGTACCATTTATATTTCTGTATCAGATGAAATGACGGAGGAGTACAACCCCTTTTTTTCATAAACCATGGAAGAGGTCTCATCCGGGGTTGACATTAAACCACATATCTGGGTAAATTTCATCACGACCTCACTGTTCTCCCTCACTGGGGAATCATGGTTAATAAGGGAAATCATCCCCATAGCCGAACTATTCAGGTTAGTGAAATATTATAATATGGTTAGGGAAATCATCCCCATAGCTGGCCTTAATTTCCCTTAATTCAGGTTAGTAAAAATTTACCCAGACATATGATTTTTATGATAATGATGGTTCCTGAGATTCAACGGATTCCATCAAGATGTCACTTGCAGCGAAGAGAACCACGGGGCGTTTTGACTTGAAGAAAATGGTGCCCGGCTGATGGAACATATGGATATTTAATAGTATTTAATTGGCAATGGGAGTTTGTCCTATCTATCCGAATTTATCCCTATTTGGATTGGAAAATGGGGTATTTTGGCCTACTGTTGCCATTCAAAGTTCACCAGGTGATGGAATTCGGACTGACCCAAGTGACAGTTGACCTGACTCCCACATCCCCCGTACTGTCCATAGGATATGTCAGAAACAATGAACATCTCGGAAGTGCCAAGAACCCCAGTTCTGACACAGCAACACAAGTGGCACGAAAGATACAATCTAAGCATTACTCAAAGGATCATACCAGTGACAAATTGGTTAGCAACTGGGCCTATAGTCCTGGTTGGTGGTTTCAAACATTTTTTTCCATAATGGGAATGTCATCATCCCAACTCACCAACTCATATTTTTCAGAGGGTAGGCTCAAGCACCAACCAGATATTTTCATGTCAACCCTGGATGAATAGATGGTTTACCAAGGTTTACCTATTAAAAATGGGGATTTTCTATAGCTACCTTAAATAACCAGAGGCTATATCTCAGCTTGGGGGACTTGTCATGGCCATTGTGTGGCATCCCCCGGCCAGACATTGGCAGAAATCTGCCAGAGTAAGTTGTAGAGAAAGCAACAGAATGTGTTGTATTGTTGATAACCATCATTACAAACCAGTAGTAACCGGTAGATGATGGTTAGTAAAAAAAATGATTGTTAATAAATAATGATGGTTAATAAATAATGATGGTTAATAAACAATGATGAGTATTGCCCTCTGGTAAACGTTTACATAACTATGGAAAATAACCGTTTTTAGTGGGTAAATCAACTATAAATGACCATTTTCAATAGCTATGTTTGTTTACCAGATGGTAACCAGTAGATGATGGTTAATAAATAATGATCGTTAATAAATACTGATGGTTGTAATTTGTATCGTTGGTACTTCTAATGATTGATGATACATAGAATCCTACATAGAATCAACCCCCAAATGATGATATGATATAATGGAATTAGATTGACGAATCCCATCCCCCTAATATTAAACACCCCCATTGTATGGTTCCAATGGAATGTCGAAATTCAAGACATGAAACCATGGTTTCTAAGAAGGTGTTTTATATCAGGGGGATGGGATTATTATGAGGTGTTGACGTGTAGTGACGAAGGGGATGGAAATCCATTGAACTAATTAGAGCTATGTGGTTCGTAGCAACCATTCCGTAGCATACTATTCATCAAAAATATTATTGTTAGTGATTTTAAAGGCTTTCCGACCCAACGATAAACAGCCGCCCAAAAAGAAACTGGTTTGAATATTCAATCTGTTCAAGATAGAAAAGCTACAAATGGGAACTGCTTTACAGTAGTAGGTGTTTTTACCTTCTGATACCATCAATATCTAACACAGATCTATGGTATAGTTGGTTGGTTAAAGTAGATGATACATCTCCGTTAAAAATTTGTGGTTTTCAATGGCGCCATGTTCGATCGCCGTAGCGGCTTGTCGTCCGGCAGGAGATGAAGTCATCACACCGGCATGTTGGGCGGCTCAGAGAGGAAAAAATGGTGGAGTCGTTTACCAAAAAAGGTGGGGAAGAAGTCAAAAACGAGCCGCTGTTTTGGCCAGTTTGAACCTGGGCTCCCAGGGTTTCCTGCTAGGTTGATGGTTTGTGTAAAACGCCATTTGCATTGGCATCATCCATGAACCGAAATCCCTATTCACCAAGCAATATCTCCAAAAGAAATGGAATTACATTCTGGGTTTTGAACATTGTTTGTTGTTCCTGTCCTTTGTGCAATGTTCACTTCATGAAACTCTGCAAATTCTGCTGATGAGAAATGCCCGATCGCCTTTTTGAATCCCCAGTTTGTCTGAATCCCAGTTTTTCATGGTTAAACATAGTTAGACACCATTTTTCATGGTTTTACCTAGTGTTACATCCAAACGATTGTTACATCCAAATGTTTGCTAAAAAATCCCAATCTTTGCTGGTTTCATCCCAAGTTTTGCTGAAAAACAAATTGATGGATAACTCGCCAACTCGTTTTTTTCTCAGCACTGGCGGCTTGAAACACCAATGTTCCATTGTAGTTGATGGTTGTACATCATAAGCCTTTTTTTCCGACTTAGTAAAGCTCCATTTGTGTATGTGACGTGGTCAAAACTTGCCATGGCCCATATTCGGGGGATGGTCTGGTCATCCGTTACCAAGGATCTACAAATATATACCATCTGGTTATGACATTCACAGTTTGCCAGGGAAAATCACCATGCGATTAATAGGTAAACCTCTATTTCAATGGGCCAACTATACCATGGCAATGTTAAATAACCAGAGGGTACTATTTTTTGTCTATAGCGCTGTCTATGCAGCTTTGTGTCAGAGAGAATCTCAGCTATGTTAAATAGCCAGAGGGTGTATGTATATATATATATATATAGCCGCTAGAGGATTCCCATCATAGGATGGCCATGTCAGATGTTTTTCTTTTGACCGTGACACATTTAGGTTTAGAGAACAACTTGATTGAAAAGAGAAACAGCTAAATTGCTACAGTAGATACCCATTATATATATAATTGTACCAAATGTATCAATGTTATTCATTTTATATCCATATAAATATGTATAAATATACATATCCATGATTACATGATATATCCATTGTATAATCCATATACCCCATTACATGATATAACATGAATAATAACATGATTGTATCCCCACAGAAAAACAGCCAGGCACCTTCGCGACGTGTATTGCACCCTTGGAACAGCTGGGGCCAGGAAAGCCCAGTGGTGCCGAAGCGCGGTTGGTGGGAAAACCGTGGGGAAAACGATGGAACTATATGGAAAAACCTGGAGAAAACACATCAAAAAGTAGGTTGAAAACCATGAAAAATTATGTTTAACTATGTTCTAATTGATTTAGAACTGGGAGAAATATATATGGATTAAAACCTATGGATTCAATGTTTTGGGGGGTGAAAAACATCTATCACTACCAGCTATTTTGGGGTGAACTGCAGGGTATCCAGGGCCCATAGCCATATAACATGTTACGACCATCAATAT